CTACTTTTTCATATTTTTTTTTATCAGTAAATAACAAGGACCACACAAATTATTACCGATATTCCGAAAATCCTGCATAATAAATAGGCTAAGTATCTGAGAGATATTTACCCTATGTCTAAATGAATTGCTCACGTTAACTAGTAAATATTACTTTAAAATTTAAGAATAATAATATTATTTTTATGAGTTATTTTACCAAGAAGTTCATGTATTTTTCCCAAGTGAGCTTCATGAAAGACGAAAACGCACACAAGGGCATATATCGCTATATACATATATTTATTTAAGGAATTTTCCAACGCCCAAGACAACACAACAATAACAATGCAACAGCAACAACAACAACAGCACCAACGACAGAAATAGCAACGACTGACGCAATGGCACGTTTATGCCACACGTGACCTGCTTTAGCTTTAGCTTTCGGCCAGGTCGCCATCAGTGGCTGCTGCCTCTGCAGTCGCACACTATTTTTACAAGTGTCTACAGTTAAGTGCACACACCAACACACGCACACAGCCGCAGAAGCACATACAAACATCCAGCCTGGCTGGCAGGCAGGACCTGCAGAAATTACCATGCTCAGGACTCGTTGTCGTTGGCATCCTTGCGGTTGTAGCGTGAAACGAGAAGAAAAACTTTGGCGCTCTCTTAAACAACAACATTAAGCATATACACACGCACACTCGCACACCAACACACACACACACACAGCAAAAAGAAAAGAAAAAGAAGATGTTTAAGCCAAAGCGCAGCAGCAGAAGCGTTGCCGCGAAACTGGAACGTGGAAAAAGGCAAGCCAGTCCAAGTCAAGCCGAGCTAAGAAGTCGTCCACTGAGACTTAAGAGGTGCAAGTTTTGGGAGCCAGCAAAAATAATTAAACTAATTTAAATTCAAAGCTAAATAAAATCTCAATGAATGGAAAATCTAAAGAAATGTTTATACCTTTTTTTTTCAATACAAACTAATATCAGAAAAATTACAGTGTAGGGCCGTAGCCTAGGATTTCATTATGCGCATTTTCTACAACTTTTTGGAGCAAGGCGCGTTAGCATTGCATACTTTTAGGCGCTGGTGCCGCTTCTGCTGCTCCTTCGGCTTCCCTCTCGCCGCACTGTGTTTTGTGTCGAGCTTTTGAGCAGACACTGAAATGCAATTTGCATAAGTTTCACAGCTTCTTTCGTTTATATAGCGAGACCGAGACCGAGGCGGCGAGACGCTGGCGCCGGCGACAGCGACTTTTCTATATAAATATAAATACTATGTGCATAACCCAAGTGCGCCGAACGACGTGCCACTGCGTCTGTGTGTGCCATCTATCCTCCACTCGCTTGCTTTCCCTGCTGCGTGCTAAGTATGTGTTGCCTAGCTGTTGGCAATTTTCATAACAAAAAAAAAAAAAAACAAAAAAAATATGTATATAAAATGGCTGGGAACGGAGCCAAGCTCGATGGGGCATGCAGCAAAATGAAATTTGTGTTTGTTTTCTACTTTAGCCAGCATAAAAAGTGAAATGACACTGTGTAACGCAGGAAAAAAGTTGCCGTGGCACATAGGAACCAGCGGAAACCAGCAGGAAATTCCCATTCCCTCGTTAAGATGTTTGCTTCGGTATTTCCTTTGTGCACGTGGGTGCGAAACGTCGTTAATGTAGCCAAAGGTTACATGCATGAATATCAGTTTTGATTGACATTATAGGGAAGAAGAACAGAGCCCTTACTAGCAATGTGTGCACACAAAAGCCAATTTCCTAGAACTTTAAGATGGAGATAAAAGAGATGTATAAACAGGTCTATTTTTAACTGGGCATAGCTTTTGGGCGTGGGTTGTTTATAGCCATAAATGTATACAAACAAAACCTACAGGTCTTATTCTATTTATATGTTATAAATTGCAGTTGTAATTCTTTAGGATTTAAGAGAGAGAACTACGTCATACTAAATAACTAAAAGGTTTGCAATGAAAAGTAAGTTTTCTACTAAAATAAAATCCTTCTTCTCTTAAATTGAAATCAAACTTAAATAAAATCCCAATTCATTTTAGGCAAATAAATTAAATCAAGTTGAAAATCAAAACAACAGTCTAAAACCTTATCCTAAAAGCTTCGAAAGGATTATGATGCTCTGAGCTTTTGAATACATTTATCCAAAAATAGTTTTTGCCTTCGATTTGCACTAATAAACCCAAATTGACCCATTTTCCCGCATGCACGACCTCACACACATATGGCTCCCGGCGTTGGAGTGACATTTGTCTGTCCGTAACTGAACTGTTGCCGCTTGTGGCTGCCCAATCCGGCGACCTCAGAAGCAGCTTGCCACCTAAAGCCGCAGCACGCGCCACTTTGTCCCAAAATCCAGCCAGTTGGTTTTGGCCGCCTGATTCCGTGGTCTGTGGACAGCAGCAGGAGTTCAGTCCCATGTGAGCCCCACGGGCAAATCACTCATTACACACTTACGCTTGCGCGACTCTGACGAGCTGGAGGAGCTGACGAGATGATGGAGGCGGAGGCGCATATCGCAAATTATGTCAATTTGGCTGCTGCAGCCCGCCAGCCTTTGGGACTCTGAGACAGCCACAGCAACGGGAGGAGTACACTTGAACAAAAAGATTTAATATAACTTAGAATTTATTAGTTTAGTTAAAGAGTTTAGAAGCTTCTAAAAACTATTTGCAGAAAATTTAAAATGTATGTAGAACATAATCTTCAAAGGATTTTAAGATTAAGATCATAGTAAGATAGAATTGAAATGCTTAGATAAAACTTCAGATAGCATAAGATAAGCCATCAATTAGGATACTGTAAAGGCAGCTTTGGATTAGAAGAGATTCCACTCCTTTAGACCTTAACGCTCTCTGCTTTCGCTCAGTGCTGGAAGCTTCAGCCAACTGATAGAGAGCCTAACTGTGTCTGCTCGTCGAGCATTTGACATCTTACATGGGAATTACAAACGCACGAAAATACAATACAGCTGTAGCGTGTACCCGACACATATACACCATGTATATTGAGCGTCCGATTGTCTGTCAGTTTGTCAGTCTGTCCGTTTGCCAGTTTGTCTCTCTGCCAGTGCGTCCGTTAGCCAGTTGGTGCGCATGGGAGTCCTTTCAGGGGGTGGGTGGGCTGCGCTGCGCTGCGGGCCGGCGTTTTCATGTGCAAATTTCTGTAGTGTGCCATAAATTATCCGACTGGGAATTGCTTTTCTATAAAACGTGCGCATATTAAATAAATGTCAACAATTTTTGGCATCGTCTGCAAGCCGAGTCCCTTCCCAGGACTCGCATTTTTATTCCTCGCTCGTTTTGGCGGCTGCAGAAATTAAATTACGCGTAACACGATTGTGAGGCTCCCTTTTGGGTATTAATGAGCATCAGGCTGCAAATAGGTTCATGATGGATGTGCTCGAGTTTCTGGGTTTTGACAGCTGGACAGGTGAGCGAGCAATTGAATTTTCAATACGATTCCCCCAACGCCGGCACACACTCACACACGCTTCGAAATCGATTCGTGGGAGTTTTGGTAAACGTCAATCGCTTGCAAATATCTCTGCTTCCTTTTCCTGATTTGCCTGGGGAATTCAATTGATATTCAAATTCTTTGGGGCTTGGCAGAAATTTTATTGTCAGGCGATGGCGGAACATTAAGTGCTCAGATTAGAGGGTGGAGGGAGGCGGCAGCAGCAGCTCTTTGATTTTGCACTTTGTCATTAATGATTTGGCGTATCCTTGATCGCTGCACCTACTGACCCCTGCTTTGCAACGCTTAAGAGAGTTATATTTAAGCATTCAGCAACTCGTGGACCCATTAATGTTTTATTCATCCGCCTGATTGATGGCTATGCATTTACAGTTCATGTTTCCTTATTAATTTACGACTCCTGGCGACTCCTTGTGACGACAACAGCAAGTAAACTAAACTTAAGTGCCGCCTCCTTCGACCGCTTTGATCCTCCTCACGCCAAAGGACAATTAGGGACTTTAACTCAACTGTCACATCACAACAGGGAAATCAGCCAGCCAACTTTAATCCATTGTCATTTGCCTGGATTGGATAGAGGAGAGCGGAATGGGAGTGGGAGTGGGTCTTAGCCATCCGGAAACGAAGGCAACGCCCTTAGCATTTATCTATTTCCAGTGACATCAATTGGCAGTTTAAATGCAAAAGACGAGGCCGCCCTGAAATCGCAGACCGGACCGCAGACCATCCTCGTCGTCATCGTCATCACCATTGCGACGTCATCGCTGTCGTTGTCGTTATCGTTGGCTTCAATTTGGCATTAATATTCCCACTCACGTACTTGGTTGTGATTATGCGACTACAACGCTGAACGTCAGCGGCTATTGCGGTTGAAAGGAGCTAGGGCCGGGCGATTGGGCGGCTCGGCGGCTTGGAGGTTGGGCGGATGGGTGACCGCCTTGAGGTTGTCGTGCGGTCGCCGCCGCCTTGCGTGCTCCGTGTTTGTGGAACGGGCGTCTCAACGTGACACTTAAAAGGCAGCGTTTTGTTGACATTTGCTAGGAAATCGACTAAGGAGTCGTCGAGTCGAGTCGATTCGAAGTAATTGCGGCAACGCCCACAAAAGCTCAGCCCGCGCGTCAAGGAAAAAGCACATTTTCATATTGTGTTAATGACTTTGGCAATAGTTTTGTCATGACATTTCAAAAGAGTTGCCCCCACCTGCCATTTCATTCAATTGCATTAGGTGGAAACGGTAATGATACACTAAGGAAAAAGGCTTATAAAGAAAGTTACAAGCCTTTTAAAAGAGAAAAAATAATATGAAATACAACACATTTAAAAGCTTGAAATAAAATTGAAAATTAATATATTTAAATATTGATACAAATCCTATATTTTAAGCTTGTTATTACTTTATGTGAGTAATTAAAGTAATCTCTTTTCTTCATCTTTGCTTTACAATTTTCAAATTCAATTTAATAAAAATTTTTTTTTTGCAGTGCACTAATAATTATATTCTCCCCTTCCTGCCTTTCAGTTTCCACAGTGGCCGTGGAGGCCGTTCTGGGACGCACCGCATCCTTGCCCTGCGACATCGAGCCGGAGGCAAAGGACGACCGGGTGTATATGGTGCTCTGGTTCCGTGAGAGCGCCGGCAAGCCGCTTTACAGGTAAGCAGCCTAATTTTAATAGGGGTTAACAGGCTGGCAGCCAGGCACTTGCTAATTTCATAGTCTCTTTGAGATTTCAAGTATATATCCCAGTGAGTGTCTGTCTGTGCGGTTGACAGAAGTTCCGCCCTTTGGAGGAGGATGGCCAGACCAAGTCCTGGCCACCTTTTGATTTATAAGCGCCGCACCTCCTCAGTCGACCCGACAGCTTCATGAGAAATGGCAGCAGTTCATAATTTTCAAATAATTTATTATTTTAATAACATCATCAATATCAACTCAACTGGGGTCGAGCCGAGTGGGGACTACACTGGCAGAAAGTCCGCTCTGACACGTTTTTCACATAAATAAAATTCGAAAACAAATGTAAAACAAATTATAGATAAATAAGATAGTCCTTACGCTCTTGGGGATTATCTTTCGGTACCTCACCGACTTTATTATCTCTTTTTTTACCCAAAATTGGGTTTCTGCGAGTGTGCTTTGCCGCATATGCCTAGGCCCGGAACTGGGGCCAGGACATGCTCCGGGAGTGGGTCAAAGCAAAACAAAGCAACGGCATGCTAGGCGGGCCACACAGGGCGACATGGACTCATATATTAGCCGCAGGGCCCGAGGCAAAGGACATCCGAGGTGAAAAGCGGGGCAGCAAAATAATGGCATCCAAAGTGAAAACTGTTTTGGCGGCAACTTTGATTGTGGGTGAGTCCTGGAGGAGCGAGCTCTACACTCCCCGATGCCCACCCCGCCGGCGATGTCGATGTCCTCGAGCTCCTGCTGCTGTTATTTATAGAGCTAGCTCGGCGAACGTGTGCTTAGGTTTAATATGTTGCACATTATAAGCAGACATCGATATCCTTTAGCCTTGTCAATTTTGCTTACATGTGCTTCCTTTTCAATATGTTGCCAGGGGGGGAGGACAAATCGAAGGCGGGGGCCAAGGGATTTCGGGAATGAGGACATAGACAACAACGGGGACATGGACATGGATATCGATATGGCAATGGATATGGATACGTATAGACGCACGTGTATCTCAAGGGCGAGCGCGAGCTGTTCACGAGTCGTCCTGCTCGCAGGACACTCTCTCTCTCTCTCTATCCCCCTCTTCCTTTCCGATCCTTGTTGATGTTGTTGCCATTTCGTGCACTCAATTGGAAGCAATAAATTTCAGACCAGACAAAGCAGGAAAAGATGAGGAAAGCCGGAAAGTAGGAAAATAGGAAAAGTGCGGCGAACGTTTGGTCCGACGAAAACAACAACAGGGGAAAACAAGGGGGAAAACTAGAAAAATGTCCAAAACAATAATGTCGCCAAAAATTTCCGACTTTATAACCAAAAATATCCGAAAGTGATTCGAATTCGATTTCCCTTCCAGGAAAAGTCAGCAGAGGCAGAAAAAAAAGAAAACAACGAAAAGAAAATTTAAGCAAATAAATAACAAGAACGAAATCGAAAATAAGAACAACAGCAACAGCTGCACAGGAGACAGGCGGGATACAACAAAACACCCCGGCTGGACCTGGGCTACGGTGTAAAATTGCCAGCTCTGCGTGAAATCGAAGGACACAAGGACGGAAGCGGGGCGGCAGCAGAATGGAGCTTAGAAAAGAATCAAAACCAAAAGCTAAAACCGAAAAGGCGCCGAAATTGAAAGCAGCATGTGAAGGGCGGAAAGAGAGACTCGTTGGGATAAAGAGGACCCACTGGGCGGGAGATTCCAAGGTTTCCCATAGTTGTACACTGCTAGAAAAGAGTTATAAACGAGCAAGAAATAGAGCTACTGATAATCTCCAATAACATTTGTATTATTAACTATTTAAATTATTTATTTGCATATGGATTTATATTAACAAACTAAATGTTAACAAAAAGTCTACAAAGACAGCATTCGCAACAGTTTTCAGTGGCCTTTCTAAAGCCGATTTTTTCTCTTATTAGTTTTCTCAGTGGCTTTTGCCTCAGTGTCGTACATCCTTTTTGGCAGAACAGGCTTTGCTACATTTCCAAAGGCTCGTCACAGCTGGCAGCCCCACCTAAACTTGCACACACACCACACTCCGGCACAAATACCCCGTGTAAAGTCCTGTCTAGGAGCCGCCCTGCATTTGACAGCTTTACACCCGGATACAAAGGCAAAAGCCACGGCAACAGCGTCAGCATCAGCATCAGCATTCAGCATCCGCATCGGCTGGTCCCCCAAACAAAACGATGTCCTGCCCAGGAGGCTAAACGCAAAAATATTAAAAATTATAATGTTAACTTTTGCTTTGTTGTTTGACTGGCCAACGGGCCAGTCCTTGTTGTTGCTATTATTATTGCTGCTAGGGTTAGGCCTTTTCGGGGCCTTGGGTTCATTTTTATGGGTCGGATTGCTCGCTGGGATTTGTTTCTGCTGACTTTGACCCTTGAAATGCGATTTTCATAAGATTTTTATACATTTATTTGTTATGAATCGGGAATCAGGATATAAAGGGGGTGCAGAAGCAGAGCGGAGACAGGCCAGCTTGGCGTTCCATTATTAAAATTAACATTTGCCATGACAGCCAGACCCACCTGTAAGGAGGAGAAGAGCGTGAGCTGCTCTCTGGGTCGACAGGTCAACTGTCACGTTCAATATTGCAGGCCATCAATGGCAATGGCAACCATGGTGGCGGTGGCAGTCGACCTCCCAAGCTCCTCACCTCCACAAAAGCCTACATAATAAACAAAAGGCCAGAGGAAATGGCAACGGCAGCGGACTGAATCGATACATAAAGCAGTTAAGAGCACTGCAAGCGCCAGGTCTCTGGCGACTTTCGATTCAGGTCGCGATCAGGAGAAGATGAAGTCATGAATAAAACAATGAAAATTAAAAATAAGTAAATACAACAGTGTTGTGTGGATTTATTTTAAACTCTTTGATTACCTGTTAATTGTAATTGGAAAACAAATTTGTCCGTTAATTACTGACCAAGAAAAAGTATATATCGTGGAAAAGTTTAAGAGATTAATGTTATCCCTCTCAATTATCCCCTTTATATATATGTACATTAATGCACCTCAAATCGTATATACCCTCGAATACCTTGCGTAAATATTGAAGTGCTTGCAATGGACTTTGAGCCTGGCCCACAATCAAGGTTAATTGATTTTTAAAGCTCACCTAGAGCTGGATGCCTGGCCAGCCGGCCGCTGGCTGCTGTCTGCCAGCTATCCATGGGTTTCATGGCATGAATAATGAAACTCGCTGCGATTGGATTGGATGGGTGTGTCCTGCTGCGGTCTTTCCTGCTCGGAACAGAGGAGTCGCTGGTCTGGCTGTCAAAAGCGGGATAATCCTGGTGCCACGCTAACTGCCATAATCGCCGGCAGCCGCCTGGAAATCGCCCAATAAATACAGTCTGATCTGGATGGAAACAGGACGGGGACTGGGACTGGGCAAGGGACTGAGCCAGGGACTGGTAATGGAAGTGGAAGCGATGGTGGCAATTGAAGGTGCACTCTCAGCAGAGCGGGCCGTGTGTGTGCCTGGATGGCTGCTTGAGAATCATCATCGGTCTGCCACAAAAGTAATAAACCACAAAATGGTATTCAAAATGGCTGGCAATAAAGGCCAACGCCGCCGGAAGCCAAGGGGGAAACTGAAGATGGCGGAATCACTGCAAAGAACAGGAAACGATACACTTAAATTACAAATTTAATATGGGATCCTTCAAAACTAACGAATTAAAAAGTTGGAAAGTTTGGTCTTAAAGCTTTCATGATATTTGCTTAAATAATTTGTTTTTAATTTTTTAAATCCACTTAAACAATTAAGCAATACATAAAATTAAATATTGAAAATGTTGACTATTTGAAACATTTATAGACCATTATTTTTATCAGTGTATAACAAAGGACAGCGAAAAGTCTTGGGCCAAAGGCAATTAAGTCGCATGCATTTTCGGGGCTTTTTACGAGCGACAAGCGGCTAGCACTTTGCGCGAATTTCAGGTTAGACGGGATATTTAAAACTGTAATTAAGTTTGAAATGTATATGCAATTGTGTGGGTGCCGTTCTGTGTGCGTGTGTGAGAAAGCGGAAATGCAAGCGGCGCATGCAAATCGATTTTACCGCCACTAAGCTTCGGTTTCCACTGAAACTGGGAAATGCCAACGCTGGGATTTTCTGTGTCGGCTCACCACTTGGTCACCATCCGGAGGAAATGGTCCTGGGCCCAATCTTCACAGCGATTGTGTATTCGGAGGCGAAGGGGGCGATGGTGATTATCAAACTTCTCTTACTTACTCACCCTCTCGTCAGGATTAACTTTTAATGACTTCGATTTCGGTAATTGGAAGCCATTTTGCAGTAATTTGAAAATTCTGCGAAATTAACTTCCTTGTGCCCTTGTTAAATCGGTTCTTAGTCCTAATTTCCCGCTATTAAATATTTATGTTATGTTCTTTTGAGTGAGAAGTTAAAATTTAAGTTGGAAATTGTTACAAAGTAAGCTAAACAAATATTTCTTTCAGAGAATAATAGTAGTCAATATATTTTTAGAACTTGTTTTGAACCATTCATTACCATTCTATAATATTTTATTATTTAAAAAAGGCTTCGCATATCATTAAAAACCCCTCTCTCACCCTCTAATACTTCCATCCTTGAGTAGATTTTTCACATCTGAAACACCAACCTGCGGCAACACAACACACATGAAAACCCGAAAACCAAATAGGCAACCAAGATGAAAGTTTTATTTTGAATTTATTGCGGAATTTATTGGGCGACACTGCATAAATTTGAACTTGGCCAGCGAGCACAACGACGACGGCGTTGTTTGCGTTCTTTGTTTCTTGCTTTTTTCAGAGGAGTCCCCGCCCCCGCCCTCAGTCCCCCCGGCTGGTTGGCTCCTTCATATATTCATATGCTACAAATTATATAGTAAAAGTTAAGAAGAAGATGAAGCGAAAACCAAACAAAAACCAACACCAGCGGCAACAATGTGTGGAATGATGCCAACAAATGTCAACACCGGCCCGCTGCCAAGGGGAGGGGATCTCGACCATCGCCGGGAGTTGGAGGGGGGGAGTTTGGGGCTGGGACACTGTTGTTGGCAATAACAAAAGAAATTTACAGATATTACACAGCATGGCTCCATAATAACACCAATACACATGCCAAAAAAAAGGAGAGAAAAACAAAGGGGCAGTAAAACCATTTGCATACTTTTGTCTGCGCCCTTGTGTTTCAGTTGGTGTGCCTGTGTGTGTGTGTGTGTGTGTGTGAGTGTATATGGGGGCGTGTAAACAGCCCCTTTTTTTTGGTGTTATTATTGTTTCATATTTCTCTCGGCGCTGTGTTTCTTTTGTTTGCACGAATGTAACTATGTCTGTGTGTGTGTGCGCGCTGCGTGGAAACCAATTTTAAATTTGTTGCCACTTTTGCCGAGTTACGGAGTATACATTGCCAGGTCCAGAGAGCGATAGGGTTTCTTTATGCATAATTTGATAGGGGCCGCCAGACAATATATATGCACACCTGAGTGAGTAGTGGAGCACAATATGCGAGGGCCTATTCTCACCTGTCTAATTTCGTTTTGTGTATAAAGCGGCCAAAGTGGGTCGTATGTCGAGGAGACCCTCATGCCCTCATAGTTTATTACCTTTTGTCATGCGCTTCATAGTTGGATTACTCCACTTTGTGATACCCTGTAAAATGGATAGTATTCGGTTGTAAAATCTACAGGAGTCTGTCATGTATTTCTTAAATTTTAAGGTTGGAGAAAGGAAATATATTACAAATATTAATCAAAGTAATACGAAATCCCTGAAACTCCTTTCAGATTTCTCGTTCATTCATTTAGGGAGCCTTTCTCAATAATTTACTTTAAAAGATACTCATAAATTATGGGCTTGGAATGATTATTATTATTATTAAAAGCCTTGCTTACGTCTTATCTAACTCACAGGGCTCAAATATATCTTTATTCAAGTTATCTTCTCATTCTTCATGTTTAAATAATGAGTATAAACCCGTCGAATCTGGGAATCTCGGCCAAAAGCGTTCACACGACAGCAGCATCTGTTTAAACTGTCAGAAAATACCGACGCACACTCGCACACCCCCTCCCACGCTTACACACACACCCACACACACCGACATGCTCTGACACATATTGTCATAAAATTATTCAATGGATATTGTGAGTGCAAAAGTTTTTGGTCCTTTTTTTTATTTTCTTTTTTTTTGGGTGAGCTCCTCCGTCCTGCCCCCGCTTAGCCCTTTTGCAATCTTTTTGAATAGGATTTCGTAAGCGTTACAAACTGAAGACCGAACAAAAAAGAATAACATTAAATGGCAAATGAGAAGCTTGCTTTGATATTGGATTTCGGGGGGGAAGGGTCGAAGGTTCTCGAAAAAGCGGGGGGCGTGGCGACGTCCGAAAGTTTGCACCCAAGCCACCGAAAAAAAAAACGAAGCGTAATTACCAAAACCATGCAAAGACCAGTTCAAGGTCCGCCCTGCTTCGGGATTTGTTTAAAGAACGCGGCTCATTCATTCAGTCCGAAGATAAAGTGCTACCAATTAACGCAAAATAAATAAAACTCAACTAATTGTTGGAAAAAAGCAGACCATAGACAAAGGAAAAGTAAGAGACTGAGTGAATGAATGAAAGAAAGCCAATGCGAGCAAGACAGGTACACAGGCAGAAACAAATTTAAAAAAAAAGTAATATTAAAGCTCTGGTGTTACGGATAAATATTTTCAATAGATCAGATTGGATTAGATTGGATTCTATAAATAAAAACGTCACAGAACAACTCACTCCAATGGGAAAACTGCGACTCCAGAGTAGGTGCTTCGGTTAGCTTTGACAAGCTGTCTGTGTCTCTCAGGTGCTTTGTGGGGGCAGCTCCTATAGGAGTATACTTACTCCCATAGGTATACTTAAAGCCTTATTATATTGTACTTCTTATATATATATTATATTAGATTTCTACCTTACGAGTTATAATTTTCTTTTAAAGAATCTGTTTAAGTGCACAGCAAACTCTTCAAACGAACGTTGGTTGCGTGGTCGCGACCAATTGTCTCCTGAGCACAGTCCTGGACTTTCTCCTCCGCTTTCTCCATCTTCTGGCCATCCTCGACAACGAGCGTCAACATTTCTGCAACTGCCACAATGTTGTCTTCCTTTCTTGGCTTGGCCCATTTCTATTTTGCCTCTTGCTACCCATTTGCTTTTTTCTCTGTTTTTGCTGCTTTACAATTTTTACTGCCCTCGCATTTGGCGTTTATTTTTCTGTTTTCTGTGCTGTGTGCCTTGTCCCCTCCCTTGCCATTTTCTTTGCCGCTTTGCTTATTGTGCAAACTTGGCATTATTGTTTCCTAAGGCCAACAACGGGAAAACACAACGTCAACAGAGGGCAAGGAGGAGTGCGCTTGGCCATATTTGGGCGACGGCGAAGGAAGCTTCACTCCTCGCCACTCCACTCCACTCCAGTCCACCTTGCCTTATCGCCAGAGCTCCTCCGCCTTTGTTGACTATTCGGCGTTTCTCTATTGTTTGCAAATGCGCAAAATTAAAAGCGGGAAAAGCGGGAAAAGCGAGAGAAAAGCGCGAGAGCCAGGAACTTGAAGCGCCGTCTTAAAAAGGAAATTTCCCAAGGAGTTCTCAGTCCGTTATGTTTACATTTTCGCGCATATATTTAATTAGGCTAATTAGGGAACGTGCCCGGCTTTGGGCAAGGCTTAGATGCCGTAATTTATTCGCCGCATGGCTTACTGCACTTTGAACACAATTAGAGGAATGGCCAAACACATGACACGGCAGAGGCAGGGTCCTAGCCAGTGATAAGCATAAGAAATATGAGCACCGGATATAAATTGTGTCAGCGGCGAAATGATAAAAAACCACTTAAAGGCGCAAACAATACGGCCGCCGGGCGGAGGCCGCGAACAATCCTGGCAGCCGGCACAATGACAAACCGCTTCGCTAACCGCAACGCTGGTATGGGGGTCCGGGTGGGTTCCGGGGAGTTGGAAGGACCCTCAGATAGCGCAGACTGCACGACGACGACGACGACAGCGGAAACAACAAAAGGACACAACTTGCGATGACTGTGCAAAGAAGACATGCTGGTGTGTGGGTCACTAGAAAGACACACTCGAAGAAAACTAATTAGCTTTTGTTAGGATTAGAATTTCTAAATGTTTATGCTTTTCTATACCCAAAGATATCCCATTTTTATTAAGGATGAAAGTGTCTTGAGTATAGAATTTAAGCAAAATATATAGCTTTCTTTTCTTCAAGTGCACGAAAAAGAATTGTGGGAACATTTCGCCACCGTCAAGTCATTTACGGCGTGTCGCAGGGCCAGAGCGTCCAAAGCCCTCAGACGGACATTAACAAATACAATAAAAGCGCCAAAGATAGCACGTCGGGCTTTTTAATGCGCAAAATTGCAAACGTTTGCTGGCCCTGTGCTGGGCTGCGAAAATAATGCGAAACGGAAGAAATTAGTTGCGTGCAAATTTATGCTCGGGGTTCGCTTTGTCGACGCCTGGCCCTGCGCGGAACATCGGGCACAGGAAAAGGGTCATTTCGTAGACGCGTGAAATTTCAGGCCCAGACCCAAGCCCCACTTGCGAGCGTGTCGTTTTTTACAATTTTCCATCCAATATTTATGGCTTAAAGTGGGGGGAAGTAGCAACCCAAGTCAGCCCAATAAGTTCTTGGGTTTATTTAGTGGCTCTCTCTGGAGACTTTAAAAAATAAACCTGGTGAAATAGGACCATAACGCTGGAGTTTCTTTTAAAATGTACACTTACCCAACTGCTTAATTTCAATAATTCTTAATACACTTTACTTTAGTTCTGTTTTTAATCATTGAAAAAAGGGACAAGTAATCTCTTTATCCTCGTTTTACTATTATTTTTATATAACATTTTTATATTTGGTGATAAACCTGTTTACATGAAGATAAAGGGGGAGGACAGGCCACCTCCGGTACACCGCAATAAGACATTGAATTGAAAAATGTTTCCCCATTTTTTGTTTGCTCCAAGTAAAAATTCACCCCCGCAAACCTTTACACCTTGCCTTTCAAACTTCCACATCACATTAAAATTTACGACCTTCGCGGCAACATCCGAAATGCTCTGGGAGGCAATTGCTGACACAACTTATCGTCAATATTTTGTTTATATTTCCCTTTATTTACTTTTCCTCCTTTTTTTTTTTGCATTTCCCCAGCGGCTGTGTAGATCCAGCGATAGCTGGGGACCAACTACTTAGGCAACTTTTAACACATTTTCCGCCTGCTTTTCCCGTATCCGTTACAGTTTCGATGTGAGAGGACGACCCTTCGAGAAGGCCCTGTACTGGTCGGACACCAACTCGTTTGGGCCACGTGCGTATTTTGTTACCGGACAGCAGCCGGCCAAGTTATCGGTGGACAACATTCAGCTGGATGACGAGGGCGTAAGTGGCTCAAAACGGTCCATTACCGGCCCCGAAAAGTACGCTATGTTATTGTATATTTTTTATTGCGTCCCCTCAACAGGTCTATCGCTGCCGCGTCGACTTCCAGAACTCGCCCACGCGTAATCATAGAATTAATTTAACGGTCATTGGTGAGTAACCCCCTAAAGGCAGTGCACTGTCATTAAGGAGAGCTCTGTGGAGCACACTCAGAGAAATGCTGAGTCACAAGGAGTATCTTGATATATTTATAGCAATCAAAACTTGATTTAACAAATTAAAGTAAATGAAATTCTACAAAATCTTGCCTAAAGTTTCATAGAAATGATCAAAACTACTCAAGTTACTCCTTGGATACTTGGCTCTTAGTGCATCCTTTTTGTAACAGCATCTCCACTCCTCTCTCCGCAGTTCCTCCGCACCAAATACTCGTGTACGATGCCTCCGGTCGCGATGTTGCCGGCGCTGTGGGTCCATTGCTCGAGGGCGATAATATTGTGTTGACATGTGAAGTGCGTGGCGGTAAGTAAATCATGATAAACGACACCAGCGCATACACGTACACTCTGCCACATAAATGTGGCACTCAGACAAAAGGCCATCAAGCTCGAAAGGTCGGCACAGAAACGCAATTCCAGTTTCCAGGATTTCACAGAGAGAGAAAATTGATTTGATAACTTAGCTATAAAAATATTTAAATCAAAATAAGCCGGTATTACTAAATCAAAGTTAATTAATTTTCCATATAATTCATTTATAAACCCCGGCTATTTGCAGCTTAAATGGGTTTTATTAATCTCTTTGCTAAAAGCCTTTACGGCCACGCCCTGTCCCAGCTGCCAGGATTTGCAGCACCTGCCTATTTATACATATCTCTCAGTTATTAGTGGAAAGCCAATATTGATGCGCGACTTAACGCCCCTCCTACAGGCAATTCTATTTGTTTTATACAATATTTATGTATTTGCTCAACTCTTTTCCTTTTTTATTGGTTTTATTTTAGGTATTCAGGTATTTATTTGAATTATTGCCAAAATCAATTTGAGTTGCTCTTGACAAGGTTACCACTTGGGTGGCTTACGAATAAGCGGTACATCACAATGATATTCATCAAATATCTTGAAACAAAAGCCAAAATAAAATGAATTTCCTGCATTCTAAATGATAAATGTCTCTAAAAACCAAGCTAGTAACATCAAAACATAAGAATTATAGTAGTATGTATGCATTTTTCTCGGTGCAATCGGAGACATCCCTTCCACTCGACCCTGTCAGTCTATTTAAAGAATTAAAGATGAAAAGCTTCAGATAGGCCCCAGCCGTGACCGAGGAGGCTGTGGGCGAGTGAAGTGAAAGATAGAGGATGGGGGACAGAGGACAGGCTGGCTAAGTCATCGTAAATAATAAAAATAAATGTATGTCAAAGTCTGCGGTGACATTGCCGCTCCGCAGACGCCGACAACATCGTCTGCGCTGTCAGTGCCAGTTTGCTTTCAAAGGAAAATGCAACAATTTTCCAGCGTCTGGGTGTGCTTTTGTTGTGTACGCCACCACATCCATTGGCCAAGCCATGACCTGTAGGCATATGCGGCATCGTAAATCTTTAAAGAGGTCCCCAAGGTGAACGGAGAAGCTCAGCTCCCCATACCTCCCCCAACCGCCTCTATCGACCGCATCCCCTAAACTTTTCACTTGCTTTTTTTCAACTGGCAAGTGTGAAAATTTTTGTACAAGTTGCTCGCTTCACTGGCTGACTGGCTCTGGCTCTGGCTATGGCTATGGCTTGAGGGTGCCTCCTCGCATGACTGAGCCCCCATGGATACTGAATACGAGCTCAACCCAACGGAACCGGCGATGGCGACGGCAACGGCGACGACGACGAATGCTCCGACATCAGCATTATAAATCATTAACTTTTCTGACAACAATATTTTCGGCACACACCCCAGGCATTTTCCATGTCAACTAGCAGCCCGATTTGCGAGCAGCTTTTTTTTTCGCAAAGCTTTAAGTTGAAATTTTCAACTGGGGTATGAGAAAGTCCTTACTGATATACGCGAAAGTTTTTAAGTCCTTTGTGAGAGGGGAATTAGTTAATAATTACAGACAGGACACAGTTCATTGAGCTGCTTGAATTAGCTGAAAAAGTTGACATTACTAAAGAGCTTTTCAAAAACAATCAAGAATCTTAAAGATTTGTGCAAAGTTAAAGCTAAAAGATCCTTGATGCTCTTGAACCCTGGAAGCCATCACCAAAAAGGCCAAAGTAGTGGCCCAATTCCGGCTTAAGATCCCCGGCTTTGTGCTGGTCTGCTCTCGGCGCTCTTGCCAAATGCTAGCTCATTATTCGACACGCCTCTCGAATGGCAGGCAGGCAGGTGCTTGTGGATGATTTTGGGGCTGCTGCCACAGCCACAACTGCATCCTTCTGCCACCGTTTACGTGCAGCATTGTGCTGCCAAAGGATTTGAGTTGCGCCTTGGCTTTGCTTTGGCACCTGTACGTCACGTCGTTGCTTTGACTAACCGCATGTGAATGAGGCAAAGAGCCAGTCCACCCGGGACTCAGGGTGCTCAGCGGGTTGTGAGGGGTTCGAGGGGTTTGAGCAGAGGCAGAGAGAGGGTGGGGGTGGAGGCAAACGTGAAACTACGACGACACTCGCTTTTGACACCTGCTGAGCGACACGCTTCTTGGCAGGTGGCACAGCCCAGGCAGTGCCACTGATTCGTATGCAACATTTTACACACAACCCCAGAGTTGCACTTGAAGAAATAAAGTAAATAAAATACCTGTACATTAATTGCAAATTTAGAAATGTTCCAAAATATTACTTAGAATGAAAGTCCCTTTCACCTTTCAATTAAATGATTTCAAACTGAAAATACTTGTACAACTTTCAAAGGATAAATTTTCCAGTGTATCGGGTAGCTCCTTCAGAGACCGCACTGCACGCTCGTATTTCATTTGGCTCCTGCAGCGGTGGAGGGGAGGGCTGAAAGCCAAATTAACTAATATCGCAATTTCAACGCCACATGGCGTCGTCGGAGCGATGGTGAGGAATTGTGCCGGCACAGGATTGGATGGATGATAGAGGGTCGACCCACTGCGGGTCCTGATTAAAGCTAATGCAAAACCTGACGCCATTTTTATTGCCAGCCACTAATCATAGCCCCCGGAACACAATAAACGCCAAATGCCAAATTGCTTTATCAAGTTTATTAACTTCGACTAATAGCAATTAATACCGGCAATAAAAAGCTAATCTAGGAATGCCCCCATAAAAGGGGCCCGGTTTATCCATTGTGTCCAGTTTGCAGATCCCGCAGTCCTTTGCATATTTCTGCCGCCCCAGCTCCAGCTCCGGCTCCATCTCCGGAGGAGCATTGTCCGGCAAGCAATTGTCAACAAGCGTAAGTATGGCTTAGCAAATGGCAAACGCGCGCTGTCTTCATTACACAAAGGAAGTGGGCGGGTGGGGGGATGGCTTGTTGTGGGTGAAAAAGAAGGGAAATGAACTGGGAGTAGGAACTGGGCCTGGGCGTGTGGTTGAAAGTCAGCTAAATGCCGCAGGGAAACTGTTATTTGTCTATTATCTCTGCACTCCCATCCTGTTCACTTTTCGGGGAGGAGCGTGTGTGTGTGTGTGTGTCTGTGCGTGCGTGTGTCCTTGCTAGCTTATTGTCGCCGAGTATCCTTTGCAATCAGCCACAATTCGGGCTGAGCCGGGGCAGTAAATTCCCAAGTCCACACTCCAGCTATCAGCTACTTTCACCCGCCAATCTTCACCCCCAAATCCCAAGCTCGTCTTTATGGACCCAATGCACTGGGGGAAAAGAAAGCGAAAATTTCACTTTTATGCTTTCTTACTAATACACAAGATGATTTTTTGGAAGCAACTTTTCTTGAAGAAAAGATAATAATTTCCAAAGGCAAATGATGAAAAGTGATAAAAAATCGGTGGACTCACTCTTTGACCCACCATCAAAGTCAGAAAATGATATAAAAAGTGTTTCTAAATTCTGTATTTTCTTGCTGTGTGCCTGATGCCAATCCCCAACTGCTTGTTGCTATTGTTGCTCATTTCCGCCGCATTCACTTGGCTCACTTAATGGGCCCAAACCAAGGCAAACCCATTGGCATTGGGCCAAGGAGACAGGGCAGGCAGCCCGGGGCCCCGATGCTTTTGGGCACTTAAACGGATTAAAAATATTTTCGTACATTTGATATGTGAGCGAGTGAAATGCCAGTGCCTCCTCCTTCTACCCTTCCACTTTCTCCGAGCAAAACGAAAACCTGATTGCAGAATTTCAATTGAAATCCGAAATGCCGGACTGCCGGATTCCGAAAAGTGCATCGAGTGCTCACAACTCACAACTCAGAAGAGTAAATCGATGGTTACTCAAACATAAAGCCAATATTCTCTTAATTTAGTATTTACACTTTGGACAGGTAAAAATTGAATTTAAACGGGCATTTATGATTTATTAAAAACACGTCAACAACACCAAACCGTATTTATTGACTTAAACAAATGAATTAAGATGATCAAGCACTCTTTCAAGCCTTTACTTAATTTATCTTCTTAATTTCACAGTTTATATATCACTCGTAATGTGGCAAATAAGCTTTTAAAATGATTCAAACTGTGTATTTTTAGAAAATGACTCCCCATAAATCATCATTTTGTAAATCCTCTTTTAATTAGAGCCTAATATTTTGATATATTGCAAATTGAATGCCGCGCTAGTCAAAGCTTTGTGATACACTAATCCGCTTTACAATCGCATAAATATGTGTCTAAATTTGCCTTTTTAATCTACCCCATTGCCGTCAGTATTGTTTTCCATCCAGGGTCATCAGCATAGCATGTCCCCCAAAAACTTTCCCCAAAACCAACTAATTCAATATTCACGCTTATGCGTTTGGCGGCGGCTTCGCCCCCTTTGCCTGGTCCATCCATCTGTCCATCCCGGGCAGGACGGCAGGACAGGGCCCCAACTTTGCTAGTTAAGCTGGCTAAGCCTTTTTTAAAAGCCTTGGGTACACACAGCTAAATGCGCATTATCATTAAAATGTTGAAAGTTTCCCTCACTTTTTTTCGGTCATAAATTTTCGAACGCGGCTCTGTGGTCACGCCGCTTCCGTTAGAAAACCACCTCGGGAAAACTCTCGCTAGACGAAAGGGCGGGCGGGTTAATAATGCATGAGTGGAAAAGTTTGCGGGGGCCACCAAGAAGCAAAAAACATTTGGCACAGAAATTTAAAATTAATTTATGCATTAAATATTAATTTAAATTTGAATTTAAATTGCAAAGGGAGTACCCAAAATCGTATCCATAACAGTGAAATATTTTATACAGTGACACCCTTTCGAACTTTGGCATAACCATATTTTATCTTTGAGCATTAACAAAAACCCTATATTAAAGTCCACAATTACACCAGAATTCTTGGCCAGTCATAACTGTGAACCATGTTCTTTATTGCCCACACAGGCCGCCCGGAGCCAACGGTGACCTGGCTAAACGGTACTCGAACCTTGGAGGCGGGCAGCGGGGTCTCTATGGGCCGTCATGTGACCGTCAACCGCCTGGAGGTGGCCCAAATCTCGCGCTCCGCCCTGAACAACACGTACCGCTGTCAGGCGTCCAACACGAAGCTGGTGGCGCCCGTGGAGCGCAGCATCCGCATCGAAATGCTACGTGAGTGGACCCATTCCGCCGAGTGCGAGTCAATATGGCGAGTCACGGCTAATCCTGTTATACCTTAAACCACCCACAGTCAAACCCACATCAGTCAATTTAACCAATAAGTTGAAGGTCTTCGCCTCGAACACGCAGTACAATCTCACCTGCATTGTGGCCGGATCGGTGCCGGACACGGAAATCAAATGGACGCAGAATAATCGGCCCTTCAAACGTGGCACGGTAAGCTCTCCTCCGGCGACTCTAACTCAATCTTGGCACCACCTTCGACATCACCTTACCCTTATTTATGAGTCGCCCAATCCACCTGCCGGTTGCCGGCCACCGGGCATTTCTCTAATCGATTCCACCTTATCTCTCCCCCCCAAATCCCTGCCACTCATCCCGCCCACCAGCTGTCGACGAGCCAGGGCAATGGCAGAGTCATATCCACGTTGACGTTTTATCCACAACCCGAGGACGACGGCACGATGCTCAAGTGCGAGGGCTCCAATCCCAGGCTACAGAACTCGGCCATCGAGGACTCGCTCATGATGAATGTCATCTGTAAGTGGAACGTTTATTTAACAAAATGAGGTGGAAGGAAGCCTTAGATTTGGATTATATTTTTACTAATTAAGTTATGAATCATGGATATTTATTTATAAAATTTTGTTATTTATAAGGGGAAGTAAGCCTTCCAAAATTCCCTCTCAAATTATAATACCCTTTGGCAAAGATATAAAAAATTATCTGCAGCACACAAATCAAAGTCGCGTGTGCGAATAATTCTAAATTATATGGCATTATTTACACACATACTATATATTTGAAATTTGCCCAGTATGAAGCCGTTCCCTCATATGTCAATATTTATTTCGTTGACTTTTAGCGAGCCATAAAAAAAGCTTGCAAAAAAGTTGTTGTCTGTTTAGCTTCGTTGCCGGCAAAATGCCATAAATTTTACTTTATATGATTATCAATTTAAAATCAACAGCACTGGCCCCCATAGCAGGCTTCTTTGGTTGCAAAGAGCGCAAAAAGCTAACAAAAAATATGTGATAAGTTCTTCGTCCCACACTAAAGTATTCCTCTAGGTTAGTTCCTCTTTTGGCCTGGGTAATGCCTTGATGTTATCATAAATGTATTGAATTTTAAAGTCACGCATAGATCCCCAGCTATGTATGCGAAATGTTAGCATAAATATTGAATGTGAATGCGCGTAAGCTGCCAACTAAAAGAAAGGGAAAGTTTCTCAACGCTCAAATCATGGTGAAAATATGAAATTACAAATACACAAACAGCAAAGCTGCTTTACAGGATTAACGAAAGTAGTTTAAGCTCTTAATGGACCTGTGCTTTGATCAGGAAAAACAGAGTGGAGAGCAGCCATAACTCCGTGATTTGTTTTACCTGAAGGAAAATGCTTTACGCTTTTCCGTCGTCTGGTTAACCCCTTCTCGGGCGTTTCTTTGAGCCATAACTGTTAAAATTTGTTACTTCCTTCCAATCATGATGCTGTAAAAAATATAAAAAGGCAAAATGCAGACGGGGGAAAACACTAAATATTTTATACGACCCATCATTGATATTGGGGCGTTGCTGGCAGCAACGAGAGCGATTTTAATTTAAAAATATTCTGTCATACCCATTGGTTAGCCTGTTTGGATGCGGATCGGATCGGCATGGCATGGGATGGCCTGGCAGGGCGGCGGTTTATGCCGCGGTTCCGTCGATGCGTTGTTAACTTTTACGGGCTGCGCTTCAGCGCTGCGGATTGACGACACAACAACGGCGCAACGTTTTATTATGCAATAATATTTTTCGATTCTTTATTTTATATGGGAAGAAGGCTCTTCCCTCCCTGCGACGCTGAGCGACGAACTGAATTTCCATATTAGCAAAAGCATTTAAAATGTGAAACCTAACCATTAACGAGTCGGGTTTTCTGCGCTTTTCAGATCCGCCGCAGGTCACCTTGTCGCTGGGCTCCACGCTGCGTCCGGACGACATTAAAGAGGGCGACGATGTGTACTTTGAGTGCCACATCAAGTCCAATCCCAAGGAGCATCGCATCATGTGGTCGCATGACGTAGGTTTTTCAAACTAAATTTAATAATCAAATTAACTCTCAATTTATTATTTTACCCAGGGTCAACCCGTCACCCAGAATGTGTCCTGGGGCATCATCATCTCCACGCGCTCCCTGGTCCTGCAGCGCGTGGGTCGCGTTCACTCGGGATACTATGCCTGTTCGGCGGCCAATGATCGCGGGGAAACGCAGTCAGCTCCGGTCAACTTGAGAATAAGATGTGAGTATATATAATAATAATAAAATACAAAGATGATATAGTAGTTCCAGTACCCATAAAGTTCATCGATTGCAAATTGAATAGAACATATGAGAAACCCACAACTGTTTTAGGTTCCGGGAATATTTACCAAAAAATATGCCAAAAATGACCGACAAAATGTGCACAAAAATTATGCTGGCAGTCGATGTCAGTGGAGCGGAGCATTAAAAATACATATGCATAAATTTATGCGCAAATAGACACACACACAGAGCCGCATTTACACATTTATTCTATACCGCCTCGCTCGACAATAGATGGGATGAGCCACGCCCCCACATCCAAAAATGCCAGCCACAATAACAACAAACGAGAGCAACAGCAGTCGTAGCGGTAGTGCACTTGACAAAATCGCACAATATCCTTACACCGAACGCCCCGCATTTCCCCTTGTCCCGTCGAACACACAGGATGGGCAGCAACAATGTCCAAAAACTAAAGTATGCTAAAATGACAGCAAATATTTTGTGCAAAAAGCCGTAATATGAACAATGCAACGGATCTATATTGTCCCGCTCCACTGTCATCCATTTACATCGCCACACAGAGAAAAATAATATAGGCAATAATTTTTTAGTTAAAATATTTTATTTAAAAAAAGTATTATACATTTTACAAAGGGAAGTATTCAAAGCTTTTATTATAATCAAAGTTAAACGAAAAGGTGAGACAGATCTTTAATTTAGCGGGTTTGATAGTACTGCTTGTTCAGAAGGGTTCAACCTCTTCATCATCAGTATCCACCTGATATTTTATATTAGAATTTGTAGTATTTCTTTTCCTCAGTGCTCACATTGTTTATAAACTTTGATGTTTCTTTGAGCTCGGTAATTTATTGCGAGTTTTTATTTTATAAAACAAACAAACTACACAACATTACACATTTTTTATTAGCCGAAAAACAAAAATTCGAATCTGCAAAACTCTTAATAACCGTTGGAACATGAATAAAAACACATTGAAAATGAAATAAAGAACATTTTTAAATCGTTGTAAAATAGTGACGCTGTGTACACTTATAATTTATATTAAATATTAAGAACTTAGCTATCACATAACACTATCAAGGGCACTGAAGAGCACTTAAGTGACTATACAAAATTTAATTTATATTTCACACAATACAATACAGGGTCTAGAACATCATTCATTTAAAAACTCGTAATAAATGGGAAACCTTTGCCAAAATAAGTGCAATGAAACTAGATATAAATACAAACTGGCAATTAAAGAGTACCAACTTCTAGGTCAAATTACTAAAGCAAACGTTGTTCCCTGTATAAATTTGTATGTCGGTTACCTGTGGTAGTTCCCAGGACTCCTTCCCAAACTTTTTTAATGGTCCCCAATTACCACTAGACCCAGACAGAGACGACTTTTTAATAAAAACAGCCGGGCAGGTGTAAATTGAAGCCAAACAAGTAATAAGTCAATTGATTTCTAATTGTCACAGCTCAGATTTGATGTGAGTTTTTATTGTCACAACATACATACGTATGTGGCTGCAATTTGGCCTCTTTCACACTGTCGAGCCCCAAATAGTATGTAATTATAATTTGTGGAACGACGTATCCACCAAGGGACAACACAGAAATAAATGACCGATAAACGTTGCTCGGAGCCTTTGTGTGCTCACATATTGAAAATGTCTCAATTACCGTTATAGAGCATTTACTTCCGACTGTATTTCTAAATAATTAATGATGCTTAAATACCAAGCACAATGTTTGTGTGTTTGTGTGTTTGCCTGTGCATAAATATGCATATGTTTTCATAAAGTATCCGTCCGGACATTCCGTAGCCATCGGTGGGCGGGCAGGGGGGTTCCAAAGTTTAGCCCCAGAACTCAACGTGTCAGGGTGGGTAATAAAAATGAATGATCTGCTTTTATTATTGAAACCCACAGTCATTATTAAGCCATTTATAATTACGGGTAAGGTCAGGCGAACGACCACCGACCGACCGGGGCAGGTGGGTCAGGTGAGCACTCACACAGGCATACATTATGCAGGTGTGTCTGTGTATGGGGGGAAAATTCAATTTTTATTTTGCATATTTAATGCAACAAAAAATTATGAAATTCCCACATGCAAACAAGCCGGGTTAACGAATATTATTTAATTAATTGCCCGGAAAATGAATATTTTGATGCAATTTAAGCCCGATTTTCCCTGGTCAGCTTATTAAACTAAAAACAAGTAATTATCCGCGATTCATGCGCTTCCCTGCACAGATGTAATACTCCATTTTCATGGCCAAGGAATATTATTTAAATAATATTGCATCGTTAGGGGTTCGAGCCTAAACAAATGTGTAATTACAACCGCTTTTTGTGCCTCGCCAAGCAAATGCCAAATTAAATTGGCCTGGATATACCGTTTTCCAAGACCCAAAACTCAAATAAGTAGCTACAACTGATTGAGTTCGGTGAAAACAAAATTTGCGCAGCATCAGCACCGGGGGGGATGTGAAATCGAAACCGAAATCCAGAGTGAATGAGAAACAACAGTAACATAAAGAAAGCGCAAAACGAAGACATCAGCAAACGTTTGCACTGCCTTGCCATTATCGAATGCAGAGCACAACGTTACCCTTTTTGATAATTACGATAATTGAAAGTAAATACGAGTACAATGCATAAGGATACACCGCCATAGCCATCGCCATCGACATCGCCACCGACTGCTGTGCAAATACTACGCGGACTGTTTACACGAGCATCGCGCATACGCCACGTAAACATTTACATACAGATGGGTGAATGGATTGATGGTTGATTGGATATGGAAGGGAGTGCAGGACAGGGCTGGGGTGGGGGATGCCTTATTGTGGGACTATGATTGAGATAAATTGATTTATGGCAGCCCGCTGCTGGCTCCTATCTCGGCAGAAATTAATCAGCAAACGTTAAAATTGACATTCTCCGATTGGGAAATTGACGCTGTCATAAAAATATTACGAGTGGGGTAGAATTTATTTCCCAGCAAGACCCTGGGATCATAAAATGGAGCAATCAGCTGCAGCCATAACCCCTCCTTGATGTTTATAGTAATCCCAAACAGCGTACTTATGCCGCAAATTCGCGGCAGTCTCAGTCTCTCCAATTTGCATGGCCTTAAACCCGAGTTCATAATTCTCGCAAAATTCCATCTGGCAGCCTTACTGCTCTGCAAACAATACCACGGGTTTTCATCTCCCTTTTCGGCCATCTAATTGGTGTGCTGGCCATGAAGAATTCGCGGCTCGGGTTCACGCCCAGCGACTTTGCCAGAGCCAAGACCAACCATTACTGCACCGAGCGCCCCAAGGAATTGGTTCAACCTGGGCATTGCATTTCCCGCAAAGGGCCAGCGACATTTTAGATGAAACCCAAATGAAGAAGGATGTGAAACAACGAGGGCTTTAAGAGCGAAAGTTGAAAAACAAGGACTCTATATTACAGATGAAAAATAAAGAAAAACGGACTTTATTCAAGCTTTCATCTATTTACTTACATTTTCAAGTCAATTTAATGGGTTTAAACTTTAAATATACATATTTGCTGAACGTTATTATTAAATTCAGTTACTTGAGAGCTTTCCTACAATAAAGTGGCAGGACTTCTACATCCTCTATTTAACATAGTGTCGAACATTTCCCGAACAACCGATCAAAGATTTCGACTAGTTTAGGCATTTCCCTCCCACCCCAGATTTAAATATTTGTATACAAACTCATTACAAGATTCTCTGCTTACGCTCGTGACACACACTAACTTTTCAAATAATTTTTAATAAAAAACAACAAAAAGTGTTGTGGCTTTTGGTAATAAATGCCTCCAGGTGCTTAGAGTGTTGCCTGTGTGTGTCTAATGTTGTTGCTGCTGTTGGTTGTCTTTATTGTTGCCATGTCTTGGGCCGTGTTGTGGGGTTGTTTATGCCAGAATTCCGTTGCCACAAGGCAAACAAGGAACAGAATGCGACGCACATCGCACACTTGGCGCAGTTTTCAAAAGTTGCTAGCAAAAGTTTCCCTTTTTTCCCCGTCGTGTGCGGTGCCGTGTGCTTGGGGTAAATGGAAATTTTTGGCATGCCGCGTGTATGACAGAAAATTTCAAGTTCAATCGTTTGTAACCGAAAAACTCAGAATGAGTTTACTTTGAATAAATCATGAGTCAAGTGGAGGTAAGAGGCAAGGAGTCTAAGCTATGATGGAAACTTTTAACCGCGAGCGGGAATAAAAAAGGAAGGCTGTTTAAAGCTCAGCCATGCTTAGCTCACCCACAAAGTTTTATCTAATTAATTTATATTTTAAACAATGAATCAATATTTTGAGTTTAAACCACAGAAATACATTCCAAACTAAATCTTTTTATTACGCACACAAATATAAACTTTATTTGGTATCAACTGCAGCTTATACAAATATTTCCATAGATTTTTATTCATTCAACAAACATAATTCCCATTGCAAATTAAAGACACATTAAATCAAAGCTTAAAAAGTCTGCCTCATACCTGCTCAAAGTCTCAACGCCAGCTGCTTGCTTTGCTTAAATTGAAAATCTAAGCTGTCAATTTAGCCCGGGATCCCATTCCACCGGACGGAGTATTTATATTGCAAACATTGTGCTGACAGTCGCACAATGTTTGCAATATAAATACTTGATTTAGACAGAGAACAATCGGACAATTGCAGCTGCTCATTATTTTGCATTTCGTTCATCTCCTCCTGCTCCTCCACTGAATTCGATCTCTCAATTGTGTCGCCAACAGATGCGCCCGTCTGCAGCAGCAGCACCATCACCGTGATTGGCGCCTCCTTGGAGGAGGCTGTGCCCATACCCTGTCGCGTTAACTCGGATCCGCCTGAAATCGATTTCGAATGGACCTTCTCCACCAGCGGCGAGCACTTCGAGGTGCCCTCGGGTCACTATGCCACCATCCAGGACCCCACCATGACCACCACCAGCGATGTGAGGCGCACCGTTGTCGAGTCCAATGAAACACATTTCGAGAGCTATGGTAGGTAGCAAAATGGGAGTATTTTATCTTTATATGTTAGAAAGAAGTACATGCAAAAAGAGTCTATAAAAATATGATTAGTAATGGAGGTTTTCCATAAGTAAAAAACTGTTAAAGTTATGGAATAAAATGGATAGGAAAAGTTACCTGAACTCGGACTAGTGAAAATACATTTCTGGTGCACAAAAATACTGTCTTATTTCCCTGAAATTATTGAATATTAGATTCCATACCAGTTACAGCCCAGTTTAGGCTTCATAGGCACATGGTATGCACATTTAGAACCCTTGATGTACATGCGGATGAGAGGCATCTGCATGTGCTTGCGCCTGAGCGACTTTAGAAATTAACATTTCGATGGGAGCCGATAGAGGTGGGATGCATGTATATAGTGTGTACTGTTAACTGAACAATGGAGGTGGGCGGTGGTACTTTTATCAATATCATGAGAGTGTGTGCGTACACACCAGCACTCGCATAGTGGCAAATTGGATTATCTGATGCCGTCCCAGTTGGCTTGACTGAGTTGCTTGGGCAAGCAGAACTTATTTCATTTAACTTGGCCGAAGAGGCCAATTTAATAAGCGCCGAAACTGGATTGCAATTTATACCTGTATTCTGTTTTCCCCCCCTTGATTCGCAGTGGAAACCGTCAGCGAGCTGATCTACACGCCCAAAGGAGAGCGCGACTATGGAACACTGGCTTGTTATGGCCGGAATGCGATTGGCAAGCAGTCGGAGCCGTGTGTGTTCCAGGTGGTGCCAGCAGGTGAGATCGAACTCGGGGAGAAGTCATGAAAAATCTGTGTTCTCATCTGATTTGTTATTTATTACACATTTTGTATATTAATTACGGACACATTTCACTGATTTTCTTATTCGCTTGCTCCGTCCCTCTAGCCAAGCCCGGGGCCCTGCGAAACTGTACTCTCCGGCCGTATGTGGTGACCTCTGCCTCGCTGAACTCGTCGAACCAGACGACAATGCACGCCAATCAAATGCTGCCCACACAATACGGCAGACACGAGTCGAATTACCCGCACATGGAGTACGTACGTGAGCGCAATAACAGCAGCGGCAGCAGTAGGAGTAACAATGCCACGGCCCGGAACAATGCGTCCAATAAAAATATGAGGGGGAAGACAGGCGCTGGCCAGGCCAAATCTAATAACTGGCAGCTCAGCCAGCAGCAATTGCAGCGCCTCAAGAAGCGGACCTCGTTTACGCCGTCGCAGACATTGGCGGCCATCGAGAGGCAACGCCAGAGGAAGCAACAACAGCAGCAGCAGCAAGCCACTGCTGGCAAGTCCACTGATGGAAAACCTGATGGATCGAAAAAGCAGCGGATGCGGCGAGCCAGCCAAATCCCACAGAGACTCCCAGGACAGCAGGAGCAGTATCAGCATCAGCAGCAGCAGCAGCAGCATCAGCTGGATGCAGGCAACAAGCTCCGACTGAGAGCATCAATAACAAGCCAGCGGAAGCCAGCAGAATCAAATTTATCAATGTCACATGTAGGCAACGGCAACAGCAAGAGCCAGAGCAACGACAACAGCAAAAGTAACAACCCGAGCAGCAACAATGGCAAACTGCCAGCAAAGTATTTTAATAAGCGACAGAAAAACATGCACAAACAGAAGCACAAACTGAAGCTGAAGGAGGAGCGGGAGCAGAAGCAGGAGCCAGCAAACGAGCACAACGCCAATACAATCCATCATTATGCAACTTCGAGGCGAAGAAAGCGGCTGGCGCCAGGCGACATCTTAGCGACTGTGGCAGCAGCAGCGACATCGGCGTCATTATCCTCCGATCCTGCGGCCACCTCATTGGCGGCCACATCCACGGCATCGCTGCAAATCGAAAAGGATGTGGCTCTCAGCAGCAGCAACAATAAGCGAGCTCGCAAGTCCTTAACAATCGCTGACAAACAGACGAAGCAGCAGCAGCAACAGTTGATGCCGCCGAATGCCCCGCAAATAAGCAACCAGCCAGCAACATCAATTAGCTGCAATGATGTTAAGGAAACAGCGGCAGCAGGAGCTGCAGCATCATCAGCAACATCGTCGCAAGTTGCAGTTGCAGCAGCAACTGGGGTCCAGGGCAAGGCGACGACTAAGCGGCAGGAGGACTCTAAGGATGCTGACCAGGACAATGACGATGGCGCTGGTGACGACGATAATGATGACGATGATGATGATGATGATGATGATGATGATGGTGATGGGGCAGAGATGGATGCTGACACAGAAGCCGATGATGGTGAGCAGCAGGATGAGGAGACTGCTGGCGATGACTCTGCAGACCTAGATGAAGACGTTGCCCAGCTGGCCACCGATGGCGATTACTTGGCCGACGGTCCAGGCGATTTGGATGATTACGAGACGCTCGAGGTGGCGGATGGCGGCAAGCCGCAGCAACACGAGGACATGTTGTCGCTGGAACAGCAACTGGACCTCGAGTCGCTAGAGGACAAAGTCGATGCGGTAGAGGAGGCGGGCGATGACGATGATATGTACAATGTCAGCGATGATGACTTTGTGGCCAGCGTGGCCCTCTCCACTTCCGACACAACGACAACGGCAACAGCCACATCCAGGCCAAAGGCAACGGAACCACCTCACAAAACCAAAACCAAAAGCCCAGCCAAAACCAAAACCAGAACTGAATGGCAGCAGCCGCACTTTGACTACTCACGCATGGAGTATAGCTTCAGCAACGGAGTCGTTACCCAGAGCTTGCTCGGTGGTTCCGGAACAGCAGCTGGAGCGGGGGCCGGACACGACGCGTACGGACCGAGCGGCGGAACCATCAATTTCGACAACTATGACAACATCATCTACTCCACCATGGAACTGGAATGCATGCCCGGCTACGATGGCGGACTGCAACAGCAGTTCTTCCTGGAGGCCTACGATTCCAAGACCAAAAAGCTCAGGCTAAATATGAGCAGCACGTATGTGGATGTGCCAGTATTTAGGATCGATCTGTCAGGTGAGTTAATTAATTAAATAAATTAAATAGCAATTCAAATAGCTTTAAATTAGTGTCAAACTTTAACAAAGACTAAAATCACATGAAAGACTATACAATATAATTTTCAACTTATAATTCACTTTCTCTTAGACGCATTGCAAAATTTTCATTTATGTAATTTCAAATATATCTAAATTTAAACAAAAAACTCGTTTGCAAACTGTGAACATTTTTCTACTGGCGGATTTCTGTCCGATTTAAGCCATCGCTTTACATTTCCTTGTCCATGCTTCGCAGTAGAAATAAAATTTCCAAGGATTTAAATTGCTTAGATAGTCCGCTTGTTGGCCTTAAACTCAATTGCTTGGCCCTGGTAATGGTTCGAGGAAATCTAATATTTCCGCAGATTCTCACTGGCCCCCAAAGCAATGTTTTATTACACGATGCTTATGTATTATTATATTTAAATGAGGTTGGCTTAGAAATCACGAGGCCCGGGGTGTTGGTGGTACAATATTTACAGTGCTCGGTGAAAGCCGCAAACTAAAGACTTGACTTTTATGCGGCGGCCAGAGCGGCAACAAGAGCAACAACAAGAACATTAGCAACAGCAACGACGAGCAGCGGCGCAAACAGTAAAAACAAAAACAAATCAAAGTAACAAACTGAGCAAAAAGTTGAGCTGGCAAAATTGCGCGTTGGCTTCAAGACAAGGACGAAATAGGGACGGGATTCGGGATAGTTACACAGTGGAAAAAAAGGAAGAGTACCTAACTATATTTTTAGGGATTTGCCTTTATTTTGGTAAGAAGAATTAGGAGCTTTTACAATATTTATAGAGGGAAAAGTAGTTTTTTTTTTTAAATACCTAAATAAGAATATCTCTCTTTTACAATTTCATAAAAATATTAAATTTTTATCCTTTTAGATTCGGATTTAAAACTTGAAACTAAAACCATTCAAAATATATATGAATAGCTGACACCTTTCTTAGATGTAAATTCGCTCAGTGCATCCTGGCCAGCCAGCCAGCTCTACGCAGATTAATTAGTTGAGGCTGCCAACCTCTCGTTTCCCCCGCCGCCACCTAGCTCGCCCCTAAACCATTGCTGGCACATGCTGTTGCCTGTTTTGTTGTAATGAATTTTAGCTAGTCAGCAAAACTTTTATGCCAATGGCGTTTTGAGGTGGGGAATTGGATGAAATAGAATGCTGGCAGCGACCAGAGGGCGTGGTCTGCCCGCAAGGCAACTGGAGAATCAAGGGCCAAAAATTCGAATCGAACTGTTGAAAAAACAAGATTTATCATGGGGGCTAAGAGCGTACCGAAAATTATAATATTATATTTGATTCTGTGGTTACGAGGCGAGTTAATGAGCCACATTTGGGATTATTAAAGTTGGCGGAGACTTGGCAACGGATAGGTCGAGCCGATCTGATCCCTGCTCCTTGCTCCCTGCTCCTGCAATGCAGTGGCATTTTGTTGTTTTTGTTCTTATTCCACGATTCCTGTGCCATATCGATGACTCAGGGGTTAAGGGGTATTCAGCGATATTTGCAAAGTCAAACGAAGCGTAAAGTCACGATTAGTTAGACAGGCGTGTTAACGACGCTGTCTGTGGGATTCGGCTTGGATTGGAGGATGCTTCTGGGGGCATAGAAGCTGAGCTGAGGATGGGGGAATCTACCAAGTGTTTTTGTTCCTGCGGCTTGCCAATATATGCGTATTAGTCCTGCCACGACCTCGGCACCCCTCCTGCAGCAGTTGCCATTTTAATGAGCTGCTGCTCTATCGGTGCACGGAGAGAGAGCACGAGCACAAACAAAACTTTTGATGCGCGCATTAAGAATAACCAGAAAAACGTAACGGAAAACGGGAAAGCGGAAAAACGGGAAAGCGGAAAATCGGGAAAATACCATGGGGCGAGAGGGAAAAACACACGCAGCGCAGCCCTCAGAGAACTTTTCATTTTATGCGACCAAAGTTTCGCACCGCGACGTGCTAATTAAATGCCTCTTTGCCTAATGAAGTTACAACTACGGCACTACAAGTTTTAAATTAATGATCAAAGATGACCTGACTATCTTTATAGTAATACAAGAAGGAATACTGACTATTAAATGCATTCAATTAAATCTGAAAATAGGTTCTACATGCTCTGTTTTCTGTTATTTAATATTTCTGCAGCTAGAGCTCCCCTTTTTGCCAACTGTATCTTTTCAACTATGCAAATTATTATTAATTACTGTTCTCCAGGTAAAGCATCCGCGTATTAATTAATTGTTTCCCCTTTCTCCCAGATCTAATCCCCATGGACTATTATCCGGATGCCCATCCGGCCCTGCATCTGGTCGTCTACAGCGTCAATCAGAAGGGCCGCTCCGAGCCGATTGTCCTTGAGAATGTGCCTATCAATGAGGCGGACAAACGTTCAGGTAGGTTTACAGGAAAAAAAAAAACTCAGATGGAAACTATTACAAAGTTTCACCAGGTTGGAATGAAGGGAGAAATGTGGGGGGTAAACACCCCCTAGACCAGGACAGAACATTCATTGCTTTTTAAGCACCATTTCACCTTTAAAAAGTCATTCAAGTATTTGCATATTCCGCTTAACCGTTTTAGTTCCCTTCTTTCACTCATTTCTTTGTTGTGGTTGTTGTTACTGCCGCTGTTAGTACAATTGCTCTTTTATTTAACGAGTTTTGTTTACGCTGGGGCGACACTGCAACTCCACTTGGGCTCCGCGATACCTTGAATCCTCCTCCGTCCCATAGCCCACATCCTGGGATAGCCAAAGTAGTGACACAAAGATTTCTTATTCATGCTTTGTTATTCAACTTTGACGCTAATTTTCTTTAAAAGTTTTTCCGTTCCGGCGACAGTCGAGGTAAAAAGTGTAAAAGCGTTTGTTTTTTCAAGGGAGTGTGTGTGTGTTTGAAGACTGAGCTAGAAGGACATTATTCAAAGTTACACTGGAAGGGAGATTTCGGAACAGCTACGGAAATTGTTTAAGTTATATAAATATTTGATCTCCAAGAATTTCCTTGAATTTGTCTTCACAGAATATCTATTATTCTGAAATGTCACAATACAAACTCAATCCAATCTATTCGTTTTTGCTTAATTATATTGAGCTCAGAAAGTATCACACAAATTGTCATTATATCTTATTAATTATTTCGATTATTTCCCATTGTAATCCTTTATTTCAACCAATCAATATCTTGTGAGTAGGCATTAATAAGTATATTCCCAACAGTATTCAAATTGCATTTATTGTCTCTTATTCAATCAGCCGAATATCATCGCAAACGAATTATGCACACTACTTATTTATCGATTTATTGCATCGGCAATTCGAATGCCGACACTACCTGACCAGCATCATTATTAAACTCATCATGGTTACCTGCATTTAGCCCACATGGAGAGAATTATGTACACTTATGTCCCAAATACTGTCCGCACTTGGTCGGCCAATAATGTTTATCTGCACAATTGCATATTTGAACGCTTCGGTTGCCAATCACCATGAGCAACAAATCCACTCAATCATCTCCTTAATGCGCTCCAGACGCACACACGAGTCCTTCCTGACCCGGCAGATGGCCCTTATTTTGGGGTGTCAGGTCCTTCGGATTGAAGATTGGGGCAAACTTATCCGATGAGTGGAGCAAAGATAACTAACATCACTGTATTGGTGACAGCTCGCAGAGCGATTGCACTCAGAAAAATACATTTTTATTAATAAGAATAATTTAATAATTAAATTTAAGTTTGTATTGCATTTTATTTGAATTATTTCTTACTTTACTAATTTGATCAATTTGGAGCTCAAGTTGATTTAGTTGATTTTGCAAATAATATATTATTGAAAACTTTGTAGCTGGTAATCAGCGTTAACAATATATTCTTAGCCTGACTTTACTTAAATATTAAAACTACAATAGGAGTCAAATTAAGAATAGTAATCTAATTAAGGAACAAGAGTTTTGTGTCCTAATTTAAAGGATATGAAATACTTACCTGCTCGTATGTATGCATTCCACCCCCAATATTTGCACCTTGGTAAATCTAAAAAGCTTTTATACCAACAACAGAATAAAATTGGTTAGTGGCTCAAGGAAGGGAAAACGGCGAGCGGGAAAAGCGGAAAATTTTGCAATGGCAACACTTGATGCCACATTAATGTAAATATAATCAATTTCATGTTTTAGCCAAAAATAAAAAGCGATGGCAAAGTAAAACCCCAGCAGAGAAAGAAATATCTTGTTATGCTAAACTGACACACAGAGATTCCCCAGGAGTTACATTATTCCAGCATCACACCCACACACCCACTATAGCAGGTGCACACACACTGCGGTCGACGGGCATCAAGGTATCAAAGGCGGAGGCCGGAGGAGCAGCGGAAGCCGAACAGACACCGAAACGAAGCTTTGGCTTCAGATACAGCTCCATGTTGAGCTCGGGCTCGGGCACAAAATATAAACGATTACTGTACGACAAGAAAAAATACATTAAACATGTCTTATCTGAATACAATATCCCAAAAGACAACGGTGCAGAAAGTGAAGTAAAATAAAATAAAATTATATGTTACAGCGGATCGAAGTGCGGGGTGGTCTAGGGGGGGGAAGGAAATGTGACCGCCATTGCAATAGATGACAGCTCCCTCCGCCCCTCCTTACCATTCCATTCATCTTTTCTTTTTTTTTCAACGCTGTCTGCCTTGTTTCCTTGAAATTGAGGAGTCAGGAGCACACAACGTTTCCTTTATTTATGCTTACTTTGTGTAAACGCATTCCCGCCTTAAAACCCACATGGGCACGATGCCGTACACTGGAAGAAAATTGTGACAGCCAGTAAATCGTACTTTAAACTTTCTCAACCAGGCAATGCTGGTAATAGAAAATGGAATATCTATCTCAGGCTTTGCTCCGTTTTAAGACCAATTTTTTGCAGTGCCTCTCGCATATTCCCAATACATTTTAACCAATCCACTTTTTCATCATCTCGTCGATTCATTTATATCACAAACGGGAGCATTAAATCGAATTAAGCTTATGAGAAGACGCAGCCGGAAGGAGGATAGCCAGGTCCTGCACTCATCCAAATGAAACCCATGCAAACAATTGGCTTATGAGCGGCACGAAGGGCCCCGGCCCGTTCCGGCTCCAGATCCTGGTCCGGGCCAGCTCCTCCCTGTGCGGGCATGTGGGGGCGAACACCAACAGATACGGACACCACACACCGCCAGAGCCGGTGAGCCCCGGGTACCCACACGAACTGACTCACTCGATGGCTCTTTGGTTGGTTGTCTGGCTTATCTGCTTAAGTCGGGGCATGTGCATAGAGTATGGCCTGGCCCCTCCGGTTGGCACGCCGTTCCAGGTGGTTTTATTGGTAAATATTTGCACAAGTGTGAAAATTTCATTACGCCAGTGTGCTTATATTTAAATTAAATTTCTTTTTCTTTCGGCATCTCTCACCTTGGGCGCCGCGCCGTGTCGTCGTGGGTCTCCGTTTCAGTTTCAGTTTCTGTTTCAAGTGCCCTCTTCCTGTATGCCAAATATACATTTTATTTGGCAAACGATTGCTCGATTCGGTTTTTATTCCTTTATGCCTGCCTTTGTGTTGGGTTTTGGCAATGCGATTGGGGATTTGTCGCCGGCTCGAGGACATCCATGCTCGTATGTGACGAAGTGGAGGATGCTGGGGTGCCGATTCCTCACATTCTGACATAAATGAGATAGTAAATTACGTATACGCCCTGTGCTGCTATCGTATGCCGGAACATCAAGCGGAGTGATGAATTTATAATGAATTAATAATATTTCCACTTTCGAATGACAGTGAATGGAACTGAATCAATTTCACATTTAATTTAAATCTTTCGCCCAACCCAATCTGGCCATCAATTCATAAATCATTCAAGCGTTCATCGAACATTACGAAATTAAATAAAGCCTTATTTATCCGCTCGAACGAGCGTTAGGAAAAGTAAGCAGTTGGTTTTTGGTATCTTAATGTAGGTCGAATCCTTCTGGAGTTCCATGGAGCAATGGTGCCATGCAAATAACTCCCCTCATTGATGCCTTGTCCCAAATCCGTTGGTAAACTGCATTTGCCAGATGCATATGTTGTCCGTTCTAATTAAAGGCTAAATTATCTGCTCACTTTCCACCGAAGTTAATTAAGATACAGAACGTTTCAACAGTTTAGTTAATTCAAGCTATTTTGTCCATTTGTTGTAAATTTAATGTAAATAAAAGCAGAAGCAGAATTTAGTTTACTAAACTTTTAAGTGTTTGGTTTCATAATAAATTAAATATTTGAGAAAATGTAAATAGAGATGAAAACATTTATTAGATTCGTTGGATAAATCAACCATATTTGTTTATTTATTATTATAATAAAGCTGCTTAAATATAACAAAAAATAATATTAAAATCATGAATTTAATCATCAATGTTAAATTTGTATCCATTGATTTAATTGATTTGCCTATTTTTTTTATTTTGTAAGTATAATCTTCTTATTTAATCAAATCAAATTGCAAAAAAAAAGTAAATTATTCAAATAATTTAATCATTTAATTAATAGTATTTTTTGAACTAAATTAAACAAATCCTTAGGTTAAATATATTCGTTTACAATTATATAGACAAAGGATAGCATGAAACGTGCTTTTTGGCTGAAAGCACAGCGAGAAAACATAAATATTTATTAATTTTTTTTGCTTAAAACAAAACCCTGTGCCGGCAATTACAACACACATACAAATTAGTCGAAAGCAGTAGCCGGTGCTTGTGTGTGGTGTGTGTTGAGTGCTGTGCTGTTCGGTTAGGCGCAGCCATGCATAAATGAGCCATTTCGCCGGCGGCGCAGTTTCGTCAACATTTGGCGCGCCAAAGAATATTTATTGATTTGCAACGTTCACTGACAGCGAGCTCAGGCATATAAATTAGTAGGCAATGCGATACCCTCGTAAAATGAGCCTTAAAATAAAAATAAAAGTATTTATTTCTAAATCATTTTAAAGGATTTTAAATAATGTTATAGGTAGCATTAACTTATCCAGTATCAATGATTAATATATGTTTTGTATTCATATTCTATACTAAGCATTACAGTTTTTAAGTCAACAACTTTCTTATATATTTTTATACAGTTATTTTGCCCTACAGGGTATTATGCTTGTTTCCCTCCAAAATATTGTGTATATTTTTTTCTGAAATCACAAGGATTTGCTTATCCAATAACTACCAAATTTTCGCTGATATTTGCTTATTGAAATTCTGCGTTGCATATCCGCAGGCGCGCACGATTTGTTGAATGACGAGTTTCCGCATATACAGGAGCCGAGCGTCGCGTCGCGTCGCATCGCTTAGGTTGCGTATACGCAGTGTGTGCGGCCTTGTAATGCATATTCAATTACGTCCCCCCCCTAAAATCGAACGAAAATTCAGCCGGCAAACAGATTTTAATTGAAATGCTTAGCGCTGATGTTAAAGCCATGGCAAATATAACAAACTAAGCGAGCTAGCGGCTGAAGGACGGCTGCCAGTGGCAGCCACTTGACATGCGACGTGCGTTTTATGGGCGCCCAATAACTGGAGCGGGGATCCATATATCGCCGGATAAGGGACTTGCACGGGAGTGGCAGGTGGTGGTGGATGGAGGTTTGGCTGAAAAAGAGCTGGGCGAGCAGCATTCAAGTGGCGCATCCAGTTTATTGGACCCTCGAGGACCAATGGCTATTTATCGAATTCAGTCAGACAAAGGACTGGCATATTGCTTTCATCATCGAAATTCGCGGGAAACGTGTGTTTCACTCACATGTGTGCTTTATTTTACAAATTGTATTTTAAGTGGGACATTGTTGGGTAAATATCACCTTTGAACTGAATGGGAAATTCGATGTAGATTAAAGTGGGTGTTTTTATTTTAATTTCTGTTTGGATCTGGGAAAGAAAGAGTTACACCAAAAAATACATATAATAAAAAATAATATTTTTACGCATTATTTGAGTATATCCATATATCTTAGTTGTAGGTACACCTTTGCTAGAACTATGTTAATTGATTTTACCTTTTATTTATTTATGCTTCAGATGGTCGCATAGGTCTATCCATTTTACCACTGGCTGCTCTGCTAGCCGGCACCTTATTCACCGTGGGCATCGCCGTCCTGTCCGTAGTGGTGATTGCAGTACGTAGACGCCGTGGCCAAGGAGCTCGAAACATGTGCGATGACAAGGACAAACACCTGGGTGAGTCATCGCGACTTAAAGATAACAATGATAGACATTCCTAACCCTAAGCAAGGGGTAGTCACAAGCTCAAGCTTCCGGCTATAGTATACTTCCTATCACGTTGCTAATGTTTCATACACCTGACAGGCATGGATGTGACAGTGACGGCGCCCCTGGAAACGGGAGCTGGCCATCAGCGCCTGGTGGTGGCCTACACCCTGAAGCAGGGCATCGAGAAGCAGCCGGACATATTGAGCGCCCAGAAGAGTGCCCCAACTGGCGGTGACGCGGCGTCGCCGCTGGGAAATCGGCCGAGTGGTTTATTCGCCGGAGGAGGTGGCGCTGGCAGTGCATCTGCCGCTCCCATGGCCGGCAGTGCAGTGAGCCACAAAACCACGGATTATGTAAGTGCCGGTGGCCAGCAGAAGTCGTTGCTCTCTGACTGTGTTACTTTAAACCATAAACTGCAAGTGTTTAATTACATTTAAGGGAGGGATTTACAATACTTCTTTAAATGTAAAAATATCGTAAATTCTTGGTCTTAGTTTTAGGACTTGCTTAAGTCTTTGGAATATAATTAAACTTATTTGTATTCCTTATTTCAGGATACGAATGCCCCGCACCTGAACAGCCCGCCCTCGCAGTCCAGCACCTTGAAGCTGGAGAGTGACCCAGCGGCGGCTGCAGCCGGAGCCAGGAGCAACAATGCGCCCCCACTCCTCTACGACGCCATGCCCTCGCTTAGCCGCTACGAGCAGCTAGGTCTGAGCATGGCCAACTACGCTGCCGGAGGTGCGGGCACCGGCGGCAGCAGCAGCACGCTCAGCTCCGCGGGCAGCACTGTCAGCAATGCCCTGGCCGCCAACGGAGTGGCAGGTGGAGGTGGAGGCGGAGCAGGAGGCTACGCTTCGCACTTGCACCACACGCTGCCTCACAATATGTCCCAGCAGCAGCATCAGCCGGGAGGAAGCCTACAGCATCGCGGTCACGATCCGCTGAACATGGGCGACTACCTGGCCACCAGCAGCCTGATAGACTACGGCCTGAACAAGCCACCGCCCGCCGCGCACATGACCCTGCCCAAAGGCCTGGGTCTGGGCCTGGGGATGGGCCTAGGCATGGGCATGGGCACGGGCATGGGAATGGGTTCCGTGATGGCCGCTGGCACAAGCCTGTCGCCGTCGCAGCTAAACACCATCACGCACAAGTCGGCGGCCGGGCGCAACCACATCATCACCGATACTCTGCCCGGGCCAGAGAGCTGCGTCTAAGCATCATCCTGTCACTACCCTGGCATCCAAACCAAAAGACTGGCGCACAGCAGCAGCCCAAAGCCCGAAGCCGAATCGAAGTGGCAGATAAATACTAACTAACCATGTGGAGCTGCGGTCATAGGAGTATTATTTACAAACATACTTGAGTAATTATTATTTTGTTGTTTAACTCTAAATGGTGTTCCTGTGACCGCAACTACATATGAATATCCTGTTCGGCGGCATCGCTTAGAAGTAACTCTTAGACCTAGAAGTGTAGCTTCAATACGATTATTTAAATGTAACGCGTGTGTCTGTGTCTCTGTTCGTTTGTAAATGTTTAAGCTAAGTGTAGACCTACTTGTATACTATATACGTTGACTGGTGAATATCGGAGCGCCTCCGATCGGGTTCAGTTTTAAATTTGAAGGGGGTCGCCCCCAAAAAGGTGAAACTTATCTTCCAGGCCCTGGACTCCACGCCACGAAACGGAGCTCGTTGTTAAATCTTTTTATCCCGCAAACATATCCCTTCCTGCCTAAGCCGAAAAAAGCAAATCCACAACTATTTGAACTGCCCAAGATCAAAGTCGGAGCAGACCCAAAAAATACAACAAAAACCCAGAAAAAAGGAAAAGTTATATTGGACACGTCTTGCGCCATTGCGTGCCCGGTGCTGGTCATTATTTAACTTTTAAACACGCGCCAAAAACAGCAGCAGATTTGAATTTAATGGTCACTCCAGCAGCCGCTCCCCGCATCACCATTTTCCCTCTCCACTCTCTCCATTCTCCACTCTCCGTTCGCCACTGCTAATAGCGACAGCCAACAAGTGAGCAATAAAGAAAAGTTTAGAAAAATATGCGATGGCCACCCCAGGCCACCATGGCCACAATCCCGAACCCCAAGTAAAAATGGCATTCCCCCCTCAGCCCCGATAATAAGCTCACGAGCGATTGAATGGGTATAGAGCACAATAAAAGCGGCGGAGCACAAGAACAGGGCACGGATTTGTGCGCACGATAGCGCAAAACGATGACAATAAATGGAAAAGTTTTTAATAAGCTAATAAAATGATTTATGCGGGTCGAGTCCGGGATAAAAAGCGCCGAGCCACACACAGTCGATTCTACTTCAAAATGGCGATTTGATGAGCTCGATTTTGGCCACTTCCGGCACCTCATTGACGGACACACCACCACACACACCACAACGAAAGTATTTGTAAATATTATTTATGGGCCATAAAATGGGTCGATGACCGCAGTTTCGGCAGTTCAAATAGTTGGAAAACTCTCTCGATTAACGTACTGTTCATTGGAAATTGTTATCAAGGCATAAGCATATCAGAAATTCGTATTAAAAGCAAGCAGAAAGTATTGCAAAGGAACTATATCATAGACAAGGGCTAAACGACTATAAGTGTTCAACATTTTGCCATATCATTTGTGCGATTTCTTTCGATATACATACGTACGTCTTGACTTTTCAACCAGAAACGGAAATATATAGGAAAACCAACAGTAATTAAGCGAAAATCATCAATAGAGTTTAGTGAAATCAATGTAATGTCATAATGTTTAAAGGTTAAAGTTATAGAGCATTCCATGGCAAACTAATAGAGCAAATCGTAAACTTCCTCCAAGTTTATATATATGTTAAATATATATAGGCAAAAGTCCCCCTGCTGTAGATATCCAAAAATGAGTGCGAGTAGTGAAAAATTTGTAAGCGAAACCGAAACCTGTAGTATCATGCTCTTAACTTGAGAAACCATATTAAATGGATCGTAACAGAGCAGACCTTGTACATACATATGCATATAGCAAATCCCTAAGAAAAACATATACACATCATTGTAACTAACGACATATGTAAAAATGCTTAAAATATTTGTGATAAAGTAATAATGTTAATGATAAGAAAATAAAACGTAAACATTAATGAATGTAAGCTGTGTTTGAATTTAATCATCAGATATTTATGGGTGTAGTCATGACATTTTAGCATTTTCAGAACACAAACTTGATTCGACAAAGGAATTCTCCCTTTTTTTCTTTGTAATGCAGTAATGAGCGTTATTTTTTACATTTAAATTATTGCCGCCTTTAAAAAGTGTTGGTAAACCGTGCGTTTTCGTGCGCCCAGATGCCGCGAAGGCGGAAATGTTTGCGGCTTTCCTGGGTTTTAACATTATCAGCGGTTCAGCCGACAATCACACTCAGGGTATTCCCGTGACAACTGAATTACTAAATATATCGGCTGTGTACGGCGATAGTCGATATTTTTTAAAAATATGAAAAACTTAAAAAGGATGAAGAAAGAAATTTTGCCGATATTTTCAGTAGTTTAGTCATTTATTCGTCAAAGGAATACCCAGATTGATTTTTAAGTTTAAAGCAATTTAAAATGGTAAAATATATGTAAATAAACCATGTTAAGTCTGTAAATACATTAGGTTTCTTATAAAATAAATTATGTCACGAATGAAATAAATGCTGAAATATGCTAGATTCAGCTATTTTTTGTGCTATTTAGCTATAGCCTGAAATAAGCTGAACTGGCAACACTAACGTCATGAATTATTTTATAAATGTTCAAAGCATCATAATTTCGCGCTTTTAATCGCGCCCGCCAAAATTATAAAGTTTACTAAATGCACCCAAGAGTACCAGGCGTGCCCATTATCATGGCAGTGTAAAGGGAAATGGAACACAAACCACCATAAATCTTGTACGAAGAAGTCATCCGCATTTGGGGATTATTGCATCAGAAAACCAGTTTCTTGGCCCATTGCACCAATTGTGAAATGTGAGTGTGCAGTGCATTGACATTGTTTCCGTTTGGATGATGAAATCGCAATGTTTGTTATGTACACATTATGTGTTTTCTAAGAAATCGGGGGGTCTTGCACTCATTGATTGCGGGTGACACGTAGTAATGCCAGTAATTCCCCGCAATTCGAGCAGAAAGCTTTTCGCGAATCGGCCGCAAATCAATTTCGTGATATAGCGTCAGACGCAGCTGATCCGATCAAAACAAACTTGTGTGTAGAAAACCAGAACAGAAGAAAACGTAGCGAAAAGACGCGAAAAAGCTAACCAAAATACATACGGGCCAAACCTTGAGGGCCTGGTCGACTTGTTAATGCGGTTCGTTAAATAATTTAAGGTTCTAATTAAATTTTTAATTCATAGTTCACAATGTGTTAAGAAATTAATGCTTTTATGCTACTACTACTATTAAATGATATATTTTAATAATTATTGAAACAAATAGTTACTCCCACGCATATGCCCTGCACTGTAGGGTATCGCAAAAGCTCTTGAATCCTATTTATGTACTCGTCGTGCCCCGTACGTAGTTGGGCTTCTGTCTCGCACATTCATTCGTTCGCGAGCACAAAGCAGAGCAGGTTATAAACAAAATCGAAAGCACGAATTCGGAGAGAGCCCAGAAGCAGATAACCGAATAACAAATTTGGACCTGGGCAAATGTGAAGCGCAGCCAAAATCGATAATTTGTGCCAGGCCCGCGCGCAAATAGGAACTGTTTTTGTATAAATTGCAAAAATTCAAAGCTCCTTTTAAAGTGCGATTTTAGTGAATAACTAAAAGTTTCTGGTGAGGAGTTACTCCGCTTTTCCCCCACTATCCCCCCTCTGTTCGTGTGTATCCAAACAAAGGCAAACGTCGTGGCAAACATAAACAAGCGTTTTCAAGGTCGCTGCAAGTCAAAGAGGACGGCCAACGAAAAAAAAAAACAACTGAAAAACTTGATGGATACATAAGCATACACTGACGCGGTTAAGAAATCTCGAGATAATTTTTTTTTTCTACTTTTAAAAAATTAATTAATTTTTGGCTTATAAAATAATAATTAGATTTATTTGGCTGGTATCACTTTATTACCTATATATATTTTCAGTGTTATCAAATGTTGCTTTTTTATTTCTTTAAGTTCTTGAAGAAACTTTTTTATATGTGCCATAATTATTTATTTTACTAAACAAAGGTGCTCAGTTAGTGCCCCCAAGAGCCTAGAGTTATTCGACTTTTCGCACATATAGGGAACGTGCCTTTCTTTAATTTTAAAAATATTTTAAATTCTATAATTTACAGCAATTTTAAGAAATATTTAACAATATTTTGAGACCTTTAATGCTATTTTTTCTGCCACAACTGTTTTTTAAAATATGCCAACTTTTGTTTGGATCTCAATGTCGCAATTGGGCCTTTCTTTGTTTAGATGGAAATAATGGGATTGCTTTATCTTATTGTGTGCTATATTTTTATTTTAGCCAGCCACTAACAGTATGGAGTCCTTCCTGAGCCTCTTCGATCCGAACCAGGACGACGGCTTTGACGAGGAGCCGGAGCTGAATGGCAACAGCAGCGGAGGAGGAAGCAGCAGCAGCGACTACGAGACAGATGCCAATTCCAATGAGTGCGCTCTTAGCCTCGTAGGTGGTATCCCCACTGAGCGTGGCAACCTGATCTTCGACTTTGAGCAGGGAATGTTGCCGCCTGAGCCGCAGATTGGAAACGTGGAGTACAAGCTTAAGCTGGTAAATCCATCGAAGCAGCGATTCGAGCAACTGGTCACGCAGATGAAGTGGCGGCTGCGTGAGGGAAACGGTGAAGCCATTTACGAGATCGGTGTATCCGATGCTGGATACCTCCAGGGACTTAGTGACAAGGACATGAACGCCTCTCTCACGACACTAAAGCAGATGGCTCACCACCTGGGAGCCAGCACCTCTGTGCTCCGTCGGAAAACCATCAGTGCTCGTCGGGTTGTAGCCGAGGTACTGGTTCGAAAGATACCCGACGACCAGCACAACATCGAGGTGCGGGTGGCGGTGCTCGGAGGAGCTGATGCCGGAAAGTCTACGCTGCTGGGAGTACTCACTCAGGATGAACTGGATAACGGACATGGCAGGGCACGGCTCAACATGTTCCGGCACATGCACGAGATTCAGTCGGGTAAGAGGAGCCTTTCAAGGGTTTAACTTGAGACAATATGTGACAGTCCCATCTCCTTCAGGTCGCACCTCCTGCATCTCCCACGAGACCCTGGGCTTCGATGCGTTGGGCAATGTGGTAAACTACAAATACAATGAAATGATGACAGCAGAGGAGATCAGTGACCGGTCCAGCAAGCTGGTTACCTTCATGGATCTAGCCGGGCACCGTCGGTATATGAGGACCACCGTACAAGCGCTAAGCGGCTACTCGCCCCACTACGCCATGCTGGTGGTATCCGCTGGCAGTGGGTGCAACGACACCACCGAGGAGCACTTGGCCATTGTCCGAGCTCTAGACATGCCATTTTTCATACTGGTCACCAAGACGGACATCACATCGCCGGATGCCACAGTGCAGGAGCTATGCAACCTGCTGACCACCATTGGCTGCCGAAAGGTTCCGTTTGTGGTGACCAACACAGATGAGGCCATCTCCGCCGGCTCGAATCAGGTCTCCGAAAATATTGTGCCCATATTTTGCGTCTCGAATGTCACCGGCACGGGCCTGAATCTAGTCACAAAGTTCTTGTATGTCCTATCGCCGGGAATCAGTAATGCTGAGAAGGATCGCCTTGAGCAGGAGTCCTGCGAGTTCCAGGTGGACGAGATTTTTCGAGTATCTGACGTCGGTCCCGTGGTTGGTGGCCTGCTAGTCCAGGGCGTACTCACCGAAAATATGCCAATGAAGATTGGCCCGCTGCCGAACGGAAGCTTCCATCCCGTGACCGTCAATACCATCCATCGCAATAAGGCACCCTGCCGTGTAGTTCGAGCTGGCCAGAGTGCCTCGCTTTCGTTCAGCTTGGACCAGGACCTGCCCACGCTGCGGAGTGGCATGGTGCTGCTTGGCGATACGGGAAACAGTCCGGATGAGCCCTGTGGCACTTATTTCTTTCAGGTAAGTTAAGGGTAAATTGGGATCATTTAGCTCATTTAATTTAAATATACCTTTTTTGTTTTCCAGGCTAAGGTATCCGTTCTATTCCACGCCACGGCCATCTACGTCGGCTTCCAGACCACTGTGCACATCGGAAGCATCCGCCAGACGGCCGTCATACGAGGCATCATGGGCGGCGAGCGGCTGGGCACCAATGATTGTGCTTCGGTGATGTTCGAATTCGTTGGTCATCCGGAGTACGTGCGTCCAGGGATGCGCATCCTGTTCCGCGAGGGAACCAGCAAGGGCATCGGCGTGGTCACCCAGGTGTTTCCCGTCAACAAGACCATCGTCACAAAGTAGAGCAGCCCCGGTAGCTACAGGACAGCTGGATAGTTCCAATGACATTACAATATATATCTCAAACACAGATGACATGTATATATATAGATATTCTTAATTAGCGGTTAAAGAGAGGCGTTAAATCCTAGGCAGATCTTCTGTACTCTTAGTTTCGGGTTCTGTGATTTTTCGTTTAAGCTCGGTAAAAAACCACCTTAATTACAATAACTTAATTAAAAAGTGACACCCAGATAATTGTTACTGTATATTTTCGATTTAATCCCCTTATTCTTCGTACTTGTTATTTATGAAGCAAAACAAGAAAAATGAATTATAATGCACAGTCTTGAATAAAATTATGGAAGAATAAGTGGAATCACACCGAACTGCATCTCGTTAATAGTGTAAAATGGAGATTTTTTCATATTAAAGGTAAGAAACTGCTAAAATTACTTTAATTTGTCCTTGTCAAGTTCCAAGCTTGAAATTCGGTGCCATTGCAAGCTATAAATTTGTAAATATAGCTGGGACTATACCCCGTAGTCAGTAAAAAAAAAAACTCAAATTTTTGCTCAACAATTAATTTATTCCCGTCTGCTGCTTGGTGATTCATCTTTACTACTTCTGGCATTGCTTGTTGCTGGTACACTGGCTGGTCCTTCAATCTCCTCCGCCTTGGCTGGCACTGTTGATGTAAACCGGAAGAGCACAGGTACTTCTCCGATCGACGAATTGCCATTGGCCTCTAGCAAGCGAATCCATGAGAGCAATGAGTCCTTCGTAGAGGTACCAGTGGCGCAGATGGCTAAAATGGTGCCATCGTCTTGCTGATGCACGGAACGCAGTTTCCCCAGCTGATTGTGCCGCCTTGGAGGAGCGCGCCCTAAGAACGGAACCTCAATGTTGGACACATCATCGTCGTCCAACTGCCTTTCATCCAACTGGGCCAGAAACTGGGTATCCGGATCGGCGCGCAGGGTGAAGTAGTTGATCCGGCGATTCCTCAACCATATGTGAAAGGGTCCCTCGATATACAGAGCCTTCTGTCGGGAGTGCTCTCGCAGCAGCTTCTCCTGCTCCGCGCTCATTCCGCTGACTATCCACGTGTCGTCGATGGCGTCCTTCAGGTCGCTCGTCTGAAACACGGTGACTTTCGACCGCAAGTCGACCGTGCACATACGCTCCACTGCTAGTTTAGCGATTTCCAGTGTATCGTCCGGCACTGGATCGGGAAGTGGCCATGGTGACAGGTTCTTGAACTTGGGCATCCAGTACATCATGCGCCAGTACTTGCGGAGAGGGTGTCCCTGCCTGCCGAACACGTTGAGAAGCATCGCCTCCATCTCGTAGTCCGGCATCACCCCGAAATCTTCCATTTGCTCCAGGAGATCAATGATGCACTGTTGTTGCTTGGGATAGTGCATGAACTCCGCTTGAAAGAGGTTGGTGGGTATGAACTTGCCCTTCGGCATCACATTGATCAAGGCCTTGTACACCTCCAGATCCCGCTCCACTCCGAAGTCTGCCATATTTTTCAGAGCCGCATAGATGAACTCCACATGGTTGCGACGGTGAACATCGCGCTCCTGGAAGATCTCCACCATGGTGAGGTAGGTGTCCTTCGTCCTATCCTGCGCTGCAGCGAATGGATTCCTCACAGCCGGCAGGTTTCTGGCCGGTTTCTGTGCCCTCTGATTGGGATTCGCACTCGGATTCTGCTTTGGAGTAGCCTCATCCGTGGAGTAGCTTCTATGGCGGGTGAGGGTGGCAACTGACTGGCGTCCATGGCTGTGCAGCCTCAGCAAGCACTGCGCACGTCGCAGCATTTCTAATTAATAAAATTAAGTTTAAACTATTTGTAAATACGATTACAAAACATTGCACAAGTAGAAGTTTGCGTTTTGCAACACTGCTAGTGCTGGCAAAACATAGAAGCACTATCGATATTGACATTTGTTTCAAAACATCGATTTTGTTTTTTTTACTATCGATGTATTGTATATTATCCACGATGTATCGCTATGGTTTGCCGATATTTTCTACTGTCAACAGCTGTTCCCCCACAAACTGCTGGAAATATGGAGAACCATCGCTATACTATGCCGATATTTTCAGAATTTCACCCATCAAGAAAATACCCTGAATATAGATCACTTTCCCAACAAGGAAATATGAAGATTATATTTTAAAAATAACGATACACGAAATATAACGTAAAAAAATATCACGATATAAATTCTCATTTGTATAAGAAAATATCGATATATCGATGTTTTGATAGACTTTTCACATCCCTAGTATCCTTTGCTGCTTTTTTGTTGTTATTTCACCGTCTCTGCATTATCCTTATTCGCATAGTTTTTGATTGTTTTCTTTAATTTGATTTTGTTGATTCCAATAACCCTGATTTAATTGCACCGCCGCGAACCCCCGGGAAAATGCGATTCAACAGGTTGAACTAAGCTGGGCTGAGAAAAAGCTGGCCAGTCAGCGCAGGAGGCAGTATCTATAACAAAAGCAAAACAATAGCACTTTTGGCACGGTCCCAAGGAGCGCCGCAGACCAGTTCAAGGTTATTGGAGGCAGCCATTCAGGACAACCAAGGATGCACTGATGCAGCAACGGGAGCACAACGGGACAACAATGACAGGATAAGAGGGTTAGGATATTGTATTTAGCTGCAACATGTTGTGTTTTGACTCGGAGAAAATGAACTGGTACTACCATGTTCTGGCCAGACGGCCGTACCTGGTGGTCGTCTCCATTGCCGTCTACTGCGTCGCCTGCATTATAGTGGCCCTCATCCTAAACAAGCTGCCAGACTTCAGCGATCCCACCTTGGTACATAGAACCTACATGTGTATTTTCATGCCCCCATAATGTTGGAAACATCTATTTCAGGGCTTCGAGACGCGCGGCACAAAGATAGGCAAACGCTTGACATCGTGGTACAACCTGCGACAGGAGACAGACCACCATGGAGTGCTCTTCTCAAATCCATCGGATCTGTGGGAGAAGCGTCGCGTGGAGCAGGGCCTCGGGGAGACCAGACAGCATCCGAATCACAAGCGGCACCGGAACAAGCAGAGAAACAGAGGCAAGAATAAGCGGAGGAAAGAGCAGAATCAGAGCAATCACGAGCACCACGACGTCGTGACCCAAAAGATGATGCAGTTAAAGAAGCGATTGAAGGCCACAAGTGCTCCGGTCACAGATCTGGATAGGGACACGTGGATGGGTGACAGCGGGGTATTCCGGGACTACGAGATTACTAATGATAACGCCTCTTCCTCGTCTCTGGAGCCCACTCGACGTAGCGAGCCGATTGAGTATGGTCACAATACCACGTCGGTGGATGAAGAAGAGCATCGGGAGCGAGTGCAGACCAAGAAGAGCACATGGCGGCTGCTTAAACAAGCTGCAACCTTGCCCACCGATAGTTGGGTAGATGCACACTACCGCCAGCCCATTGAGGGCTTCTTCTGCGACTCATCGCCGCGCAAGGAGTACTCCCATTTCGTAGTCCATCGGATCGGCCCCAATGCCACCGATTCGCTGTTTGACTTGAACGGCCTGCTAGCCATGTGCCAGCTGCAAGACCAAATCACGGAGGTACCCAGCTATCGGGCCTTCTGCGAGCTCACCACCGAGTGCTGCCGGCCCTGGTCATTGCCCAACTACGCCGCCATGCTGGCCAATAAGAGTTCCTGCTTCGACCTCACCGTCGAAGACGTTACCTCGCTCCAGACCCTGCTTACCGGCTGCTATGAGTACTTCCATGACCTGAAAATGGACAACCATTGCAACGAGATTCCGCACTGCAGGGCACCCGAGGAGTGCAAGCGTCACAACATCGTGTTCAACGTGCTGAACTTTCTCACCGATTTTACGTTTATGAAATCCAATGTAAGTATTTAGCAGGTTTATTTGCACTTCCTTAATTTTAACATATACATGCAATATTCGTATTTCCAGGACTCCAACGTCTACCTGAAGTACGCCATGATATTTGTGCCGGTGGCGCAATCCAATCGCGTCCTCCCACTGTTCCACGAGTGGGAAGATGTGTAAGTACTCCAGTTCCAGCCTAATACTTGCGAAATTGATAACGATCAATGGGTCCCGAGGGCATTATCCCGTTCTTTGCCTTCAGCAGAGCCGGTGCGCAAATTTCGTCAAAATAAGTTGTCAAGTTGTACTTGGTAAAGAGCTTGCGCATATTGGTGGAGAACCTGTCCAGCGTCATGTTCTTCAACGGAGCCTCCGGGTAGCAGTGGCTTCTGAGAGACTCAATATCCTGCAGTCGATTGTGGTAGCATCCATAGGTTGTAAGATAGTCGCCCTCAAATGCCTTTGCTCCCAAAACCGATCGTCTTTGTCTCACTTTCGATATGTACGTATCTCGAGAGAAATCATACATGTAGATGGACTTGCGCAAGTCCTTAAAGTAGTTCTCCAGTAGGCGGTAGTCAACGGGCGGACAGACGAAGAAGAGCTTATAGAGATTCTCATTGCACCACTTGTTGCGTTTAACGAACTGGGCGTAGTCCTCGCGCCAGTCCATGGATTGAGGCCATGTCTTTGTCTTCTCCTCGCCGCCGCGGACCTTCAAATTGTTCGCAAAATGGCCAGTTATTAGGGAGGGATCCATTTGAGTCTGCCTAGATGGGGGATTATGAACAGCAGTGGCCGTATGGTCGACATAGTCCGCTCTTGAGGTACTGATGTAGTCTATCTTTGAAGGCAATAAGGAATCCATGTGAAACGCATCCATATTCCTCAAATGCTCTTCTCTGAGCTTCATCGCCCGAAGTTTGTCCATTTTTTTTTATATTATTTATCTTTATTTTATTTTTTTTGTTTTGTATTATTTCTTGTAAAAGTTTTCTAAGTGAGTTGAAATGTTTGACTGATTTCTCAGGACACTGAGCAACGAGCTAGTGGAAGTCATTGCCATGGATTTGGGCCTGGAGAACGAGCTGTTTAACGAGCTGCTAATGACCGACGTCTGGCTCGTTTCCCTGGGTGGAGCCTTCGTTATGGCCAGCGTTTGGCTGTACACCGGATCGGCATTCATTACGTGCATGTCCTGCATTGCCATTTGCTTCTCGCTGGGATTGGCCTACTTTTTCTATGCCATTGTGTTCGAGTTCGAGTTCTTTCCGTACATGAACCTGCTGGCTGTGGTGGTGATAATAGGCATTGGCGCCGATGATGTCTTTTTGTTTTTGAAAATCTGGCAATGTGTGCTCGCCGAGAGGTTCAGCAATCGATGCACCTTGTCCTCTCAAGCGCAGAGTGCTCTGCCCACGCCCCTGGAACACAGTGATCACACAGAGTCGCTGGAGAATATTATGGCACTCACAATGCGACATGCTGCTGCTTCCATGTTCGTGACTTCGCTGACCACCGCAGGCGCCTTTTACGCCTCCTATAGCAGCTCCATAACGGCCATCAAATGCTTTGGGTGAGTCCATACGACATGGAAGTCTGTATATAAACTGAAATATTGTGCACTCTTTTTAGGATCTTTGCAGGAACGGTTGTGGTGACGAACTACGTGCTTATGATCACTTGGCTGCCGGCCTCGGTTTCGATCATGGAACGGCTGTTTGCCAGCAGAATGTCGTGCCGCCGTCCAATCGCCCAGAAACTGATCCATGCCAGCAAGAAGTCAATTAACCGATTCTGTCAATTGTTCGAGGAGTGCGTAACGCACAGTATCTTGAACTATGCCTATTTGTGGTTACTTGTCTTCGGCGCTTTGGGCGCGTCTAGCGCCGTCATTGTGTTCTGGTATCCAGGACTGCAGTTGCCGGAGAAATCGCACTTCCAGCTGTTCGTTGCCCGGCATCCATTCGAGATGTATTCAAGTCTCAAGCAACAGTTTTGGTTCGAAAAGACATTGCAGGCGTACGAGAACTTCAAGATGCCAATGCACTTCGTTTGGGGCATCCGGGCGGTGGACGATGGCGACTATACGAATCCCAACTCCTACGGCAGCTTACACTACGACAATAATTTTAATATATCCAGCAAGACGGCGCAGCTCTGGATTCTCGACTTTTGCCAGAGTGTGCGGCAGCAGCCATTTTATAAGGAGACTTTGGGCTTGTTGCTTCCCAATTGTTTCATTGAGAATCTAATCGATTTCATGAAGCGCAGGTAAGCAAAAAATACAAATAAATCTGAATAGTACTCAAAAAAATAACACATTTTGTATTTAAGATGCATTGACGACATGGACATAACTCGGAAAGATCGCTCGCCCTGCTGTGACGCCGAGTTCCCCTTCGATCCGCATATCTTCGAGTATTGCCTGCCACAGAGCGTCGCCAATATGTATGACACCACATTTTTCCGACCCGGAGTGGCTGGACCCAAGTTTGCAGATTTTTCTTCTCGAACGCCTTCTGAAGATTACTCGGGAATGATCGGTGGAAACGAAAGTGCAGAGTACACCAACTACTCATCGTCAGCGACACCAACACCGCTGTTGGTAAAAGCCTTGGTCATCGAGTTCGAGTCGAATGTGGCCTACAGCACCATCTATGTCAATGTTAAGGACTTTTTCGAGTCGGTTGAGACCTGGTTTCAGCAGCAGTTGGCCACGGCGCCTACGGAACTCCGGGGCGGATGGTTCATTAGCGACCTCAAGTTCTACAATGTGCAGGACACACTGTCACACGACACCCTGATTGCCATTTGTTTGGCCATGGCTGCATCGCTCATCGTTTTGCTATGCTTCACGGTCAATATCCTAATCTCCATATACGCCGTTCTAACCGTATCCTTGAGTATCTTCAATACCGTTGCTGTGCTCATTCTGCTGGGCTGGCAGCTCAACATCCTCGAGAGCATTGCGGTGAGCACGGCCATTGGACTGGCGGTGGACTTTAGCCTGCACTATGGCATTCATTACCGGATGTCTCCGGTGAAGGACCGTTTAGCAGCTACCCAGTTCGTACTGTCTCGGATCATAGGACCCACGGTGATGGCGGCTACAACTACGGGATTGGCTGGCGGCATCATGATGGCCTCTAATATCCTGCCTTACATACAGATAGGCGTCTTCCTGGTGGTGGTCATGATCGTTAGTTGGTTTTACGCCACCTTCTTCCTGATGAGCCTGCTGAGGGTGGCCGGGCCGCAGCACGGCTTCCTGGAGCTCAAGTGGCCCTTGATTAGCAGCCACCGCAACAGTGCCGGCAGCAAGTTCTACGAGCGGTAATAATAATAAACACATAACTCCATTACTTACTACATTAATTATTCTTTTTAATTTATAGTAAACCCAGCCAAGTGATCGCCAGCGAGCAGCTGCTGACTCCCACCAGCTCGGCTATTGTGGAACTGGCCAACTCGGAGACACACGAGCTGGAATCCCTGAATTCGAATAGTTTGATCAAGACTATTTCGGGCACCGAAGGCGCCCATGCCCTCTCCTCGCTGCCAAGGGACTACGAGCACTCGTTCCAGACGCTGGGCGGCAGCGGCGGGTGCAAATATCAAACGTATCCGTCTACATCAAAGTGAGTTAGTTACTATTGCCGGCCATCGGACGATGCCAGTTGTGTTGCCAGTGCATTTTTATATACAGGGTATGGAGGCTTCCCTGAAGCCTGCCCTCCCCCAAGATATATATTTATATATATATACTTATATACAAGTGACACCTGTGTCCGCATATACATATATAGTTTTAAGGATATTGTGTGGACTCTACATGGATATACTCTAGAGCTATGTATGTACTTGTTAGACGTAAGCAAAAAGCGAAAACGTAACGTGTAAACTTCTCCTTAGTGTGCTATTTTCAAAAGACTTCAGACGGCTGCGCAATATGCTTTTAGTATTTGGTTATTGCCCGCTCGATGATCGCTCCGGCAAAGTGAATACAATTTGTAAACTGAAGCAATTAGCCGAGGTACTACTGGGTGACTGTACGATGACGGTATTATTAGTTTTTAGCCAAAAGAAAACGTTTCAACGCTGGTTACGTACTCAAAACTGTAATCAAAACTATATTTATACTCTGGTTTTTATTAGATGTTAAGTTGGGCCACATTCTTGGCGCCAGCAGCAGATGTAGTTACTTTATATGCTAGTTCCATATGCTCAGAGTTATATATGCATACGTATGTTGTGTTTACTGATGCAAATGCATGTGTTGTCTATCCTAGTTGTATGCGTTTAAAACACACAAAAAACCAACAAACATACACGCACTCACGTTTGTAATAACCATGTAACTGTGATACAGAAGGTGAGAAACTTAAGAAATCGGTGTTTATACAGACAAACTGTTATAATACCCCGTAAAATCATGACGTATTGTAATTACCTACAACTAAAAAGGCCCTGTACTTCCTATATTAAAGATATGTATGTGTTTAAGTGATTTAATAAATGTTACTTGTAAAGCCACTACTCGTATATTATTTGGGGAACTACAAGCATTATATGATGAATGAAACATCTTATAAAGAATACCTATAAATAAAGCTGAAAAGGGGAAGTTTGATGGATAAGTTTTGTGTAATGCTTCATCAATGATCATTTGTATTTATTAGTTTCCTGAATTGTGGCATGATAATAGGAGACTTCCTTTTTTCTTCTGGGGTTTTCTACTTTTCTAAGTGTATCCTTTTTGAGTTCGGCGCCTTACCATGCATACACCTGTTGACTTTGGAGGGAATAGTAATTTATAAAATGTATACTAAAAACCCTCAGAATTGACCTTAAAGAATATTAATATATATAATTGAACTGAAAAGGTTTCAAACCTTCAGCTTGTTCGCTGAACCATTAATGCCATTCTAGGTAATATTAAACCAAGTTATTACTTCAATATTCTTTCGTAAATATTTTTATTTATTTGGTTTATTTGTAATACATGGGCTTTTGGGCTTTTGTGTATCCAATACTTCAGTCAGTTAGTATTCCTTTTAATTGCAACACTTGAAACGTCCAATTCCATTTACACATGCATCGATTAGAACGATTCGCCTATGGGTTTAATGATCAGCTCATGGATCTGGACATTTGGAGGCGTCTGGATGCAGTAAGAGACAGCATCGGCTACGTCCTCAGCCCGCAGCATGGGGAAGGTTGGCAAAACTTCTCTAATTTTGTCATCAATGATCTCGGTGTCGACTGCTCCGGGACTAATGCTCTATGGATTTAAAAATAATTACAGAATGATTAGTGACTCAATGTTATCAGCTTCTATTTAGTTATTATAACATAATATTTTGTTTCATATATTAATGATCCAAAAAGATATGAGCGGCAATTAAGCGATATAAAAACAGCCTACTCCATATCTTTGTTTATCAAAGCAAACATACACAAGTGATCACGATAAGTATTAACTTATATTTTGTTCTCTAGAAGACCTTCTTGGAACTTACCGTGATCTTGGTCTGAGTCTTCTTCAGCTGGAACTCCTGTCGCAGAACCTCTGTCAAAGCGGTAACTGCGTACTTCGAGGGGGCGTACATCTTAAAATTAAAGCCCGGCACTGAAGGGATTTTGTGGCCCACCACACTGTTGATGACTACCACATGACCGTCGGTGACGTTGCGCTTCTGCTGCGAGCGGAAGGCCTCACGGGCACACCACACGAATCCTAGGACATTGGTGTCCAGGACGGCTCGCATATCAGCAGCATTGTCGGCATCGGTTATCAAGGAAGGCGTGGTAATGCCTGCGTTGTTCACCAAGACATCTACACCTCCGAGGGTTTCATCCACCCAGGCGAAAGTGTCGACCACTTGCTGCTCCACGCTGACGTCGCACTTGCGGCCATGGAAGCGCGCTTGTTGATCCGCCGGCAGAGACTCCTTCAGCTGCTTTAAACGCTCCTCGCGACGAGCGAGTCCAACTACGATCAAGCCCTTGGCCACCAGATCCTTGCAGCAAGCCGCTCCGATCCCAGAGCTGGCACCCGTAACAACAGCAACACGATTCGTCCAGCGATCCATTTTTTCGATATAATGATTAGAATTGTGTTCCCGAAAGACCTTTTAGTTGAATATTTCCACTGTAACTCAGCTCTCTGGCCCGGACACCGCTTTGTTTTATAGGCTAAAGTAGCTTTTTCTTCTCGGAAAGCTTTCGCTCTATGATTTACTAAATTTAAGGGAGTCCGGCCACTGTTTCAAACTGCTCGATCATGTTTATATATGTTTCTATCGATTCTACTTGCGAAATAGAGAATAACCGCGATATGGAGAATCTTCTAGTAGTTTCATTTAAATACAATCTACTGTTGAAATTTGTGTATAAAAGGAAGCATTATGTGGAGGCTTGTCTCAGCGAAATACAATATTATTGATTGTGTTTGTGTTTATATTTTAAATTTGTAAAATACAAATTTTATTACTTGTTGAACTATATAACATTAGAACATTATCAAAGCGATAAGATAAGAGGAGAACCTCAATATAACAATTTCACAACATTTCAATCCTATCTCTTAGTACTTTGTCTATGTTTATAAAAGAATTACATATTTATTTTCCAGGTGTTTGCTATTATATTGCTGGGTATTATTATTTTTACCAAACATAAGCTGAGTCTACAGAAATTAAAATAGTTAACATTTAAATTGGAAAATCGCAATTCATATGTTTTATTATGAAAGGTATTGATAGAAGTCGGATCTATACTTTCTTTTAACTACTTAAGTTTTTAATACAACTGCTAGGGTATTCAAATTTGTGCTTGCCGGTTTCTATTAGCTTCTTGTTTTTATATTATCTCAGCCAATCGACTTTAATATTGTTATTGTCTAAGTAAAAAGAGAGAGCTTTTTTGATTGGAGGCAGAACTGTCTGGTCATGCTGATATTATTTAATAAGATACTACTTCTCTTATTTAGGAATGAATTGAAAATACACAACAATAACTCGTATGCTCAGTTTTTGCGTAAATAAATTAAATTAAATTTAAATATTTGATTACAGCGGATGGCTGGGAGATAGAAACAAAGGAGCTGATGGACAAATAAATAAGTCCATATCAGGGTAGGATGATAATGGTTCATTGCCTTGTAAACTACTGTTTGGTTGGGTTATCTGCTGCATAAAGCAGTTATTATGCTTTATTGTTTAACGAGTATATCTGTGTAAAGTTTATTAAGGAACACAAACAAGTGCATATTCGTTTGCATTATCTCTGGTTGTAGTATTGTTAAAATAAAAACCTCAAGAGAGGAGGTCCTGGCTACAGCCTGCGCAGCGTGTAGCGATCGATGGGTCCCGATGGCATTACACCATCCTTGGCCTTAAGCAATGCCGGCAGACAGATTTCCTCATAGTATGTGGACATATTGTACTTGGTGAACAGTTTGCGCATTTCCTTGGCAAACTCTCCCACAGTTAGATCTTTCGGCTTTGGTTCCTGGTTGATAAAGTCCTTGAAGGGATCCACTTCCTGAATGCGATTGTGGTAGTTACCATAGGTCGTCTGGTAGTCAATGCCACCGGAATCGATAGTGGACATTGAGTTATCTCTACGCTGAGATTTACGAGATATATAATATTCGGGAGAGTAATCGGACATATAGGTTGTTCTGCGCAAGTCCTTGAGATATTTTTTAATCTGTGAGTAGTGAACTGGCGGATTCACGAAGAAAAGCTTGTATATCTTCTCATTGCACCACTTGTTTCGTTTTACAAACTGATTGTACTCCTCGCGCCAGTCCGTGGATCGCGGCCATGTTTTGGTTATCATCTGCAGTCCATCAACTTTGAGATTGTCGGCATAATGACCGGCGATGAGGGATGCATCTGTTTGTTCTCGAAATGCCGGCGGAACTCGTTTCATCTCAGCCGTGTGATCCTTAAAGAACTCCTGGGTGGTGGTTTTATCTTTGCAGCATCTCGGCAGTATATCATCCATGAAGATGAAATCCATTTCGGCCAACCCGGCCTCTTTAGTTTTCACCATTTTTTATAATTATGTATTATTTCCAATGTGTTAAGTGTTTTTAACAAAGCCTTGGCTATCAATGAGCATATATGATATATATGATATATTTCTGCATGCTATTGCGATACTGTAAAATATGTTCAAACTCATAGAAAATGTTCAGTTTCATAAAAATACACATATTTTACCTTATGTGTCAAGAGGCAAACCCGTATTTTATAGCATACTGTAAGGCGTTTTCTGAAAGTCAAAAGATTAGTTTAACGTTGAAAGAGAAAAAGTAAAACCTACCTACAGAATTAGTAAATATTCATATTTCTATAATTATTTCAGTTTAGTTGATAAGTAAAAAAGCATTTTCTTTAGTTTTATATTTTTAATTATTATTATCTCTAGAGTTTCTTTGTTTTAACAGGCAAACATGTAACAATTGAGTTTAGACTTAAAACCTAACCAATAAAATACTTGCACATCAACGAGCGGATGTAGGCAAACTCAGGATCTCTGCTTCCTAGTTGCGCTTTCCATTGAGTCGATCCTGGATCTCCTGCAGGCTCAGACCCTTCGTCTCCATAACAATGAACAGGACGAAGAAGAAGGCCACAACCATGCAGCCGGCAAAGAGCCAGAATGCGTAGTAGGAACCGAGGGCATCAAGGCTGGGATACAAATAGGTGACCAGGAAACCCAGCGTCCAGCAGGTGCTGGCTACCAGGGACGAGGCCGCCGACTTGATGTTGGCCGGGAACATCTCACCGAGCACCGCCCAGGGCAGGGGTCCGAAGCCAGTGCAGTAGACTATATTGTAGACGATCAGCGCCGGCACTGGCATCCAAGACACACTGGAGATGTCGTTCTTTACAAGCTGCATATAGAAAAAGTATCCCAGGGCCGCCAGCCCAAGGGACATCACACTGGATGAGGTCAGCAGCATCACCTTCCTGCCCAAACGATCGGCCACCAAAGGTGTGAGTCCCGAGGAGGCAACCTGCACGCATCCAATGATAATGGTGGCAACCGCTGGGTCTAGGCCGGTGTTTGCACTTTCAAATATGGACTGACTGTTAAAGAGCACCACATTGATGCCGGACAGCTGCTGGAAGCAGATCAAGCCAGAACAGATGAACAGCGCCCTTCGGTTGCCTGCGTTCTTGAACAAATCCATTATGGTGCCTTTACTGGCCATGGCCTCCTCCACGGAGGCCTGGATCTCGGCCATCTCGTCGTGCACGCCCTCGGCACTCTGGCCCCGGAGGAATTGCAGGGATCTCAGAGCCTCAGACTTACGTCCTTTGCCCGCAAAGAAATACGGACTTTCGGGCATCATGTAGAAGACAGCGTCGAAGACTACAGGCACGACGATGCAGCACCACTGAAGAGCTTGGTAGGATACATACGGTCCAATGGCGTATACATAAAGAATTCCAGCTGAGAAGAAGGAAAAACTAATTGGTTAACATAATTTCTTAATTTTTCCCAATCAAACTTACCAACGATGAAGAGCTGCATCAAGGACCCGGTGGCTCCGCGCACATTATCTGTGGAAATCTCCCCCACATACATGGGCTGCACCGTCATCACGAATCCGACACCGAAACCTTGCACGAGGCGGGACAGGTAGAGGATCCAAACTTCAGAGGCCACCATATTCAAGCCGAAGGCCAGGACGAAGAAGAGACTGCTGGAAAGGAGCACCCACTTCCGACCAATGCGATCTGCCAGCGGGCCGGCGGCAAAGGGGGCGACCAGTGCTCCGATGGCAATCAGAGATGAGATCCAGGCATCTTCATCGGCTGTTATGGGTCTGCTTAGCGGGGAGTCTGAGGTGTCCTCGCTCTTGAGCTTGGGGCCGATAGGAGAGGTCCAGCCGAGGGTGGTGCCGACCACAAAGGCGGCTAAGTTTGCTGAGAAAGTATGAAGTGAAAAAGTATAGTTTTAGTAAACATTTTTAATATTTCTAAGGTTAAATTATTAATAACTTGTTCGAGGGCCTCATAAATACCGCTCCACTAGCCATAAACTCACCTGCCACGGCAGCTAGGAAAATACGACCCGACTTGACCGGCTCGGGCGCCATATTTCGAGTGCTTCTTTCGCTTATCTGAAACGTACTGACTTCCGTATAGGAGTACTTGGCACTGCTCTCCTCTTCCCTTAGCGAGGGCATCTGGCTGGTGTAGCGGGTACGGTGGCAGCTGTAAGCAGTGGAAAAGCGAAAGTTCCTCATTAGAGATTCAGTTGACGTGGATTAATGATGCTATCCCCATTTGTAATTCAATCGCTTGTAAGTCCAAATGGCCAGAAAATTGACCCTGCCCGTGGCCAGCATTCCCAGCCCGGTTTCTTGGACGGCGTGACTCATGCTAGCCATATGTGCGAGGAAGCCAAATAAAGTTCCACTGTATCGCGTTCACTAGGAGTTTTGTCGCCATATCTGATAATTTTAAAACCATCACGTTATCAGAGCATTAGCTGGGAAAATCTAAACTGCCGTTGGGCGATACTACTTGGGCAGCAGAAATTAATTGTTAAACAACATTAATTATAATGATTTAACGCGATGAGGTACAAAATAAAATTAATTGCGCCACTGACGAAGCTAATACAAATTATTTTTCTGTCGCAATTGAGTTGCTGATTACTATTTGCCGTAATTGTTCATGTAATCACGGTTGACACTTTTCGCAGTTTTATGCAATCATTAGAGCACGGCGGCATTCGGGGGAATATTAAGCAGTTCGATGCTGATATAGAATATAGTTTGCTGTTCACTTTTGCACACGCTTACAGAAAAAAATCCTTCAAAACGAAGTAAATCCCACACTCGCGCAGGATCCTTAATTAACGATGAAGCCGCTGGGGTCTCACTAGAGAACTGTAATGATGTCCGGATCGCGGAATCGCGCGAATTTAAAGATTTTGCCCCTTATATGGCAGCCAATACACAGCCAATAATGCTCACATCGACACTCGAATTGACGAGCTCTCTTACACGTGCATTATCTTATCAGGGAAGCGCCTGCCATTCCATGGCAATCCCATTTACAGTCGGTAGTGGTAGTGCAGTATCATCGGAGCTGGATTCCCTCCCATCGATACTCGTTCTCTGTCATCTTAGTTTTATTTTTGTTGCAGCGATGAGCCGGTTGTTTTGGTCGCAGTTGAGTTGAGCTATTTGTGTGCTTTTTGCACTTGAACTGGCCCATATAGTAAGTATTCCTGCAGTTGTAATGTGATAAGGTCTTGCAGCGGAATCGGTGCCCCAATCTCAATTTGTTTGCTTGTTCGACCCGCCGCCGAAAGGGCGTCCGCCTTGCTACCTCACTTCAATCCCAAAATACTCGAAAAAAATATGTACTTGTAAAGGTTATACTGGACTCGTTACAATATCAAAAATATATGTAATTATTTAATTTTAAATTGATTTTATAGTAAAAAATAGATGCACTTTTGTTCCGCTTTTTCTAAACTTTACTAGAATAATTATTTGCAGTGTATAAATGTATACCTCCTATAGGAGGTATTGCCTTTTTTCTAAGGGTTTAGAGCCAAGCCGCAATCTATAAGTGGCCACATCCACTGACACTCTGAATTACATTGGACAACCAAAAACAAAGGCCCCTCCGATTGCGTAAAATATAGTTTGATTATGATTAATAATTCTTGAGTAATTTCTGATGCACTTTGGCGCTGGTGTCCTTGAGTTATTTTGTTAGTTCCAGCTATAAGTTGTTGACACAATTACAGTGGCCAAGCCCAGAGACACGTGAGGGGGATGTGAAAGGCTCTCATAACAGCAGCGATTGTCATATCTGCTTGGGGTATAAGTATCTCAAGAAACACCTGGGCACTCAACAGAATTTAATAAAACACTTAAAAATTATCCCCTGTGGTGCAATGTTTATGGCATAATCCCACACATCAATAAAGGTTGTAATTATTTTTAGAGTTACGCAAAAGCAGTTGTAGTATTTACTTGGCATTCCAAAAAACGTACAACTTCCTGTTCAGTACCAGCGAACTCCTTAATTTGTGAATGAACCTTATAGCAGAGTTTTAAGCGTCATTAATTTATAGCCCTAATTGAACGAATTCCAACGCTGATGTTTTGGGCAATAATTCAAACAGATTTTTCTAATCTCTGTTGAAGCACCTACAATTTGATTATTTAAACTTATCTTGACCGGATTTTTATTAGCTTTTGGAATAATTTGGACACCGCAGTTTATAAACTTCTTCCCGGTAAGGTTATCTTAAACTTCTTAACCTATCAGTTGGAAGAAAACGTAAATAGCATTGGTAATAATGTCAGAAACTTTCCGCTGCTTTTCTACTTTTTATAGGGGACCTTTTATTTGTCAGAGTGTTTCTAAGTTCTGATCTTATTGTATGCTTAATATAGAAGTAACTGTCAATATTTAATCAATTTGTAGAGAATTGTAGGATTAACAAAAAAATAATAACACATGGATAAGTGTGTGTTTAGTATATATCAAAATATCTGTAATAGGAAAGTTTTTGTAATCCAAATATATGCACATATTGTAAGCTGTGTTGACTAAAATGGTGATTATTTTCTGTTACCAAATTATTTTCAGTTATCAAAATATGAATACAATTATTGTGACTTCAAAACAATTATATGAACTTTTTGTTAATAATATATTAACAAATGACTTTCTAAATTTAGATTGTCATATAATAATTCCCTTAAATCTGCAGACGTTAAAAACTTAGTATTTATCGTAAGAACAGAACCATAACAACACACAATTATCATCTTTGTAAATAATTCTTTAAATTGGACACTTTCAAAACCTTTATCCTTATTTTTCACTATTAACTAATTAAAGGGCACCTACTCTAATACAGCACAACAATTTGGTGGCTCGATCGCTACGACATCAGATGGAAACTAATGAAATTGGTAACTAGGTTGCATTCGGGAAACCATTGGGCCACTACCTATGCTCATGTCTGGTGCGATAATGGCTATGTGTGGGCCCTAATCGGAGCAGCAAAACATATAATTATACATATTTGATATTTATAATAATTCAAGGCGACACTCGATGATCAATTTATCAGCAGTCGGCGGCAGCGGGGTAAACAATTATTGGTTATCAAAAAAACAAACACTCTTCTAGTACCAACACTTATTAACTAGGCCGACGACTCACCCATTTTGAAGCCGAACTTATCAATTAGTGGGCGATCAATGAAACACTCTCGGATAGGACTAGGTCGCGGTGTTCGGGTAATGTGAAAATTAATTTAGTATCTGACTACACGGAGATCAGAGCTAACTGTTTGGATGGGCGGCCGGAATTGAAATGATGACGGTCCGCGAGTGTTTTGACGCTTTTGTGTTGGGCTTGCAAAAATTGAGCCGCGGAATTATGACAGATGTATTTATACTCGCAGAGTCTGCTTAGTCGCAAGTGCGTCTAGATAATACTTTTCTCTACAATATAGAGGAAGCTCTCGCACACAATCGCCACAACTAGAGCATAGTACAGTCAAGATTCAGTAAAATAGGATGCTAATTTATATTTACTAAGCTAAATGATATTTGTTAGCGAAACGTAACACTTTATCAATGAAAATGACTGCCAAATTACTGCATACTTCTTCTTGGCTCTTTTTTTTCTATATTTTAAAAGGATCAATGTTCTTGCTTATTCCTAAATCAAAGCTGCTTTAAAAATCATAATTTGTTTTCTAAAGAATATAGTTTTTATTGTGATTTTTTTATAAATTTTTGCTTATATTTACAAAGATATGTGTGGCTCTAAATGTTATAGTTCTTGAGATTTAGATATTCTTAACTAGTTTGCTAATAACATTTAAAACCGTCTTCTTAGTGCTGCATCTAATCAGAATAAGAATTTAAATACTTTCATTAAAATCTAAATAATTTTACATATATCGAAGTAGCACTGTACTTGGTTTAGTACCAGACATATCGCAGACATGAGCCACTATCATAACGAATTAAACGCGATTGTTGAACCGAACTCAGTTGAGAGAGTTGAGCTCGAAATTTTTTATATTTTTATCAACGCTTTGTCTGGGTCTGGCTAGTCGACAATTGTACAGTGCACGCTCTCGCAGCCTTTTTTGACAATGAAAAATAAACAGACATATAAAAACACATTTAAAGTTCTGTTAAGGTGTTCATAGACCTCTAGTTCCGGACTGTGCCGTGGAAAACTGTAGAGTAATTTGGCCGATAGTGATCTACGGCAGAGAGTCGATAGCGCGTGGTGTGAATCACAGCTTTGAGGAAGTTAATTAGCATGCACCGGACCCGATCGGGGGGATTGACTTATTCCGATGGCTTATCGATACAGTTAGTACATACGCAATTAAGTCGCTTGGCTAGTCGGCCAGTAACGTGCGTGCCGTGCCGCACACATCTGCTAATTGAAATGTCTCCCGGGTAGGCAACCGAAATGCTTATTATATTATATCGACGGCAGGGAAGTGGGAATTCTGGTTAACGCCGACCGGAACAAGCAATATGATATACATGGGAATCACAATCAGTACCTGAAATGCTTAATTTACCTCCTGAAAGTGAAGTTAATGTGGGATCTCAAATATAACATAAAGGAAAAACGGATGCTTTTATAAACTGGTTATGCAGTCTTGGCAGCATTTTAATTAACAAAAATGAGCATTAATGATTTCTGTAACGTACGCATATAAATAAACCCAATCTCGGCAACGAGAGGCTCGTGATGTTGACAGTTTGACAACAAGTTCTCATTCCATTTTTAACATTTTTCACTAACCTGACATTTTTTGGTAAACAATTATTGGATTGATAAGGCAGATTGTATTTATGTCTACCTAAAGTAGGTTACCAATATGGTGTGAGAATGTACAATTCCCTCCATAAATGTGTAATATTTAATCATAAATATGATAAGCTGCCGAAAAACCCACCTTCCAACTGCAAGATAAAAATACATAACACACAGAGAGAGTTGTGACAAAGACGACCTACCAAAAATATAATGAATCTTCTCACAAGGATAAAATATAATTTTCTATAGTTAAGAATAGCTTATCATTTTATTTATTAATTATTAACATTTATTGCCCATTGAAACTATGGAGTGGTTATATACTTACTGGTTTTTGTTGACATAAATTAACCTTATATTGTCCTACCTAATCCGAAACCCATTCAAACCAATCGATTTATTTACCAGGCACTCGAACGTCCAATGGCAGATGCAACTAGTATAGGCGCCGGCTTTCAACTACACCTAATGATTCCCAGTGACAGTATCAATCCCACTTTTCCATTTGCTGCCCGCAAACATATATCGCTGATTGTCGACAACCTGTTGAGCATGTGAGCAAATATCCAAGCAAATACGGACTTCGATGGGCTTCCTGTAATTGCGATAAATATTTAAATACACCCAACGAAACATATGACAGGAAAGCTGGTTGGATAATTCGCAGTAACATTAATTAAATATTTATTTTTATAAATATTATTTTGGGGATTACTAGAATATTTGATTATATTCCGCCCAGGTATTATGCATAATATATAAACCATAAGGAAAATATTAAATGTTTTTATTAAGATTTTCTTTAGAAGTGCTTAGTTCAATATTTATTATTTTTCTTTGTAAGGGAAGCAACTATATGTAATCAAAAATATTCATAAATAATCCATCTGAGTATTCAAAATAATGAAGATATTCTAATACAGATTTTAAAGATACTTTGTCAACTTTTCTTACTGTACAAATACCGGCAATCTAATGCAAATGCAAAAGCGAGACAGCTGCTGGCACGATTTCAATTTGCTTTTTGTGCGTCGATCTGGCGATTCCGTTGTCGATCAATCAATCAACCGACGATGACCTTCACACTGACCATGGAGGCGGAAGAGGCGGAGATGGGCGGTGGAGAGTTCTGGCGCCAAGTGTAGGCGTGGCTTGTCGCCAACCTCCACCCGATCGCCGGAGAGGCCTGATAATGGTCAAACCCCGTTTTAGGGGCGTATACGAGCCCCTGGGGTTATCACTATGAGTCTGCCATACGAACACAGTGCCCTTCTGTACGAACAGCTTACGTTTATTATCAAATATATGTGCATTTATTTCTGTATATAATTTACATGTCTTTGCCATCTTAACAAATATATTTATTTACAACAAAAACGATCTACAAAAAAGAGAAGGTGGCGAGTTTTCTTTTTAAGGGCGAAATCAAATCATTTCGGAAATGAGTACTTAGGAACTAGTTGCACTACACTTAATGTAAGCGTGAAAGTCAATTGAAACATAAGGCACATGCTATAACATAGATATGTTTAATTGTACTTTTTGCGTGATAATGTCCTCGGATCCCAATTATTACCTTTGCGAGCATATGAGAAGAATGTATTAGCTTGCATTTTTGAAATATACAAAGTACACAAAGTAGTAAGCATTCTTGTAAAGATAGATCCCAAGGATTTCTTCCTTTTACATCCCAAGTTAATATATGTAATCTGGATCTTATCTCATTTACAAAGGTATTTATCTATCTCATTCCTTGTTTTTCCGGCTTATTCACCTACGAGTGTAATGGCATTTAGCTAGACTATTCTAAAATCCAGGATACCCTTGCGGGCTACCTAGCGACCACTGAGCCAGTTTTGGATTTGGCTAGCACTCTTGCCCTTCGTCTCCTGCACGGCAATGGCCACGTAAATAGTGGCCAATGCCATCCAGGTTCCGAAGAACCAGAAGGTGACATCCGAACCCAGCGACTCGTTCATGGAGCTAAAGCATTTCGTCACCACGAACACGCACAGCCAGTTCAGCATGACAGTGAGGGAAACGGCGATGCCCTTGACGTCGGGCAGAAAGAGTTCGCCCATCATTAGCCAGGGAATGGGGCCGTATCCCACCGAGAAGCTGATAATAAAGAGCACCACGCAGAGCAGGGGCAACCAGCCGATGGCCGACACATCCTTGCCACTATTACTCATGTTGAAGTAGGCGCCGAGCATGGCCAGACAGATGGTCATCACCGTACTGCTGAAGATCAGCAGTATTTTGCGTCCAGCCTTCTCGATAAGCAGGGATGAAGTCAGGGTCATGATCACCTGCACCACACCCACGATAATGGAGCAGAGCGAAGCATTGAGGGAGCTTCCCGCCGACTGGAAGATCGACTCCGTGTAGAAGATCACCGCATTGATGCCCGAAAACTGCTGGAAGACCATCAGAAGTGCGGAGATTATTAGGCCATTACGGGAGCCACGATTGCTGAAGAGGTCCATGACAGAGGCGTCTGCTACGGTTTGATCCAGATCGTTTTGGATCACCTGGATGGCACTACGGGAGTCGCAGTAGCGGCCCCACAGCCATTTCAACGAGAGAGCGGCCTCGGAACGGCGACCCTGCAAGGTGGGAGGGATCAGCTAAGTCCAAAATATGTATATTCCCAGCTCACTAACCTTCTTAAGCAGATAGACTGGGGTCTCTGGCAGGATGAGCAGGCCACAGAACAGAGCAATGGGTATCAAAAGGCAGAGCATGCTCAAGGTTTGCCACGTGACCATCGATCCCACCACATACACCAACAAAATGCCGATCGTGAGGAGCAGTTGGAACAGAGTGCCCAAGGTGCCTCGAATGCTCGTCTCTGCAATCTCCGATATGTACATGGGAGCCACTACACAGAAGCTGCCCGTGGAAATACCTAGGATAAATCCCAAATTAAACAAGCTTAAGTTCAGTGTAATATATAGTATCACTTACCAATCAGAAATCTGCCCACGTAGAGCCAGCCGGCCGATTGGGCAAAGCTAATTGAAATCCAGGCCAAAATGAAAGGCACGTCCATGACCATGGCGGTGTACCGTCTGCCGATTGTATCCGCTATATATCCGCTGGGAAGGGCTCCGAGGAAGGCACCGATAGCCAGCAGGGAACTGACCCATGTTGCTGCAAAAATGAAAACCAATTACAAACGTAAATCACAGGTATCTAACCCAAATAACCATTAGCAATGACGTATTATCTGTATGTAGGACATTGTTATCTTCACTATCTATAGCTAGTATTCCGCGTAGGTCCTAACCACTTGTTACTGCAAGGCAGATAATATTTCAATAATTTGTACATGGAGCTTATAGCAATTGGAAACGATTCGGTTCTTCCCCAGGGTTTTAATCTAATCTGAAGCGGCTATTTGAATTTTAGGTAAAGGGCAAGGTGAAGGAGAACTGTCTGAGAATTAAGTATATATACATATTAAAAAAAACCCATGTCGGTCTTTCCCTTTATACCTATTTCTGTCTCCTTGGCAGTATTGAAGGTATTCGCATTTTTATTTGACTAACAATCCAAATTATATAATTTTATTTAAGTTAACTGAGCTTAAATATTTTCTTAATTTTCTCAGTAAAGATTTTACCAAGTTACCTTTCCCGCCTAAGTCTAAGTACAGTACATTTGGTCAACACTGATAGGTGCTCTTTACTGGGCTATCAATGCAGTCTAAGAATAGTTTTATCAATGCAATTGAGTTAACTCTTTGCAAATGGAAAGTTTATAAAAATGGGAACTCACTCTGATCGACAGTCAGTTGAAGGCGGTCATCACTGGGCAACGGAGTGGGAGTCGTTCCGTTGGTAATAGTCAAATTACCAATTGTGGAGTTACCAATTGTCGAGTTACCAATAGTTGAGTTGGTGATCGCTGTGCTGTTAACATTAGCCGTAATCTTGGGCAGAACTGGACTCGTCCAGGCCAAAGCAGTACCTGCAGCAACCGCACCCAAGCAAACTGTAAATATATTTGTTAATTAACCATTCCATTGTAGCAAATAACCGTCGATTTTTCTTACTTATTAACGCCGCCAGATATTGACGGGTTTTTGAAGTCTTCACCACACCATCCTGCAGGGGATCATAGAGCATTGGATTGTGAGAGTTTGGATCGCCATCCTCCTGACTAACAGTCTGTAATGAAAATAGATTGGATTAATGTTTATTAAACATAAATTCTAGGTATTGGTGAAGGGGAATTTCCTGGATTACTTTCAAAATGATTACAATTGCCTCTGTCTTTGCACTTTTTGTTACAATAATTACGTATGTTGCCACAACTATTTGGACAGCATTAAAAACAATTTACACCTGTATAAAAGTAGCCCGAACCTTAAAAAAAATTCCAACACTTGGCGATGTCAGCTAACAATTTCAAGAAACATCCAGGCAAAAAATAAGCAATGCCAAAGAAACTTCAAAGCAAAAAATTAACGAAGCTAAAAATCTTCTTAAGAGAAAGTAACAAAACGAAAGAAATAAAAATAAATTAAATTTAAAGCTTTAATAAGTGATATAGACCTCTAAGTACACTTTTGACGTTAATAAATTTAAGGAACTTTGTTATAATTGTATTAATTTCTTTTTTCACTTGAGTGTTTTAAAATTAAATTTGTTCGAAATTGCACAGTTATTTCTGGATACTCTTAAAATTACGAAATTCTTTCTTATTTTTTTTCTTGACACTTTTCTTTACCTGCCACCAACGTGCCATTGCGCGAACCACTTTTTCTGAATCCATTCGCCACTTGGCCGATTTCCGGGTTCTTTACGGACGTCTTATATAAGACGATCTCGCAGAAACAACGCACTGTGCCAAAGTGTATGACACTTTGTTGTTGTAAAAAACACTATTTTATGGTTTGTATATATTGGCTTATATTCCGCTTATTTTTATCCCGTGTCATTAATTATCTTAACGAAACGGATTGTTTTGATTTTTCCGCTAATTTTAGCCACAGCCTGGGGGCAGTGGATTGTCTCGTGCGAGCACCTCGAGACGACTGAAACGTTGGACTCTTTGAGAAAACGTATTTTCATCTCGGATCTTGGCGAAAATTCCTCTATTTTGCCTAGGATTCTTCTTTTATTTTATTTTATCTGGCGCTTGTGTTGGCATTTCGTTTGATTGCCAGCAGATTACGCGCATCGACTGCAGCCGAATCTTTTGTTTTACGTCAGAGACAAATGGATTTTGGGAAAACGAGGGGGTGTCATTTGGAGAACGAATATTACAACCTGTTAGAAGTATATTTTCCTGCTAGAATCAAAGAGTTTACTGCACAATTTCATCTTGTGAGTAATTCAGGAATCCTATCTAAGTTTTCCTCAACCTGTTAAGATTAAAAATTATAAAAAGTCCCTAAGGGATCCTTTGGGAATCAATGAATAAAATGTAATTATTTAAATTCCCTTTTCGTTAAATGCTACAGAAAATACTTCCTTGAAAGTCTTACAACTAAAATGCAATGATATAGAAATATTTTACGAATTGAAATCAGTTAGAACAGCTCCACGCATAAATTACGTATACGCCACCGCAACCGATCTGAATTGATAAACAGAATAGAATATATCCCAATATACTGTAAAGATAGCTCGCAAACTGATATACGTTGTCATTTGAATTGTTCGTCAATAGATGATCAATTTAAACGAAAATATTACGCATACGCCACCGCACCTGAGCCGAACAAAGTCCAAGCAAAGAAATACTTCCGACAGTTCGCTCGTCAGTTAAATTTAAATTGCTTAATGCACTGCGATGCGTTTGTCGTTGCACTTGCCAAACAACAGTTTCGATACCTGAATCGATCAGGTATTATTCGCCGCCCATAAATGGAAAGAAACTTGTCTCCAATTAGATTACAGGCCCCAAAAATCAACCGTATAAAATAGAATCCTTAATGGAAGTGCAAGCGGCCGCTCAAAAGCATATTAAAATGGAATGTTTAATTATAAAGGAAAACACGTACGCCTAAATGGCGTCAAGTGCATGCCAAAAGAAACCTGTCGCCGCATTCACACCCAAAACAAGTCGAACAGCCGCCGGTTGAGAGCGAGATCGTGCGATAAAGAGAGAGACCGGACATTAGACACACCCACCGGCGTGCACTGAAAAATCATAGTTGTCAAATCAAGAATTTAAAACTCGATTCTATAATCTCAACTGGTATGATCAGACGTTTCTGAAAGATCACTCTTACCTTATACTACATGAAAATATGGTTTCTTCCAAAATTGTATACTTTTCAAATTCGAAATATCGAAACCTCAATATAGAACCCCAGATTTATTTAGCAATTCATTTAAATTTATTTTAAGCAATATCATTGTTCAAATATTGAGAGATAAGTTGACAATTTTTGTGCCAGTGCACTGATGGACGCTCTCATTCTACTCATCCACATCACATGCTAATTAGTTTGCGCCGTTTGCTCCGCTCTGTTTACTTTGTTGTTGTTATTGCTTAGCAGCCGCTTTTCTCTGTTTTCCCGACGCCAAGTTCATCGAGCGCCTTGTTTTTGCCTTTGGGAGGCCCGTCGTTGCAATGCACTTGGCCAATGTCGGGTTATAGTCTTGCATGCATATACATTAGGCTCAAGGGGCGAGGGTGTGCTTTTATGTTCAATGTTTCCGCTTACACGCCCACATTTTCCTTGTCTTTATTACGACTGTGCCACTGCACAATTTCTTTTATTGACGCAATTCCCTTAATTTGCTCAAGTCCATTGGCCATGCGGTAATTAAAGCGATATTGCCGCGGGGAATTGTTTACCTGTGGCTACCGGTTCAGTTTCAAGGTGTGCTATCCATTTGAATACTCTTATAAATATGCTATGAAAATAAAGTACCCGCAATAAAATGTCATCTTAAGTGATGTACGTTTGTGTACCATAGTAGTTAATCCTAAAGGAAATGTAGTCCCTAAGGATAAACAAGCTCCTACTCCTTTGGACTTTGCAATAGGAGGATCAGGCTGCCGAATTCTAAATCTATTATAACTAAGCAAAAAGGCATTTATTTTAATTAGGAAAGCTTCTCTGTGTGACTAGGAGGGGAGTATTAATACAAATACAAAATTAATTATTAATACAAAAATACTCGGCGTTAACTTGTAAAGTAATTTGCAAAACGTTGCCAACTTTTTGGCGACCATAAACAACGCTATGTGTAAACGCTGATGTTGGGTTCTATATTAGGTAAATCCTTTCCAGATTATGTGGATAATTTATAACCTTACATAGGGCTTGTAAGCTAGCTGGTAAGGAGTTGTATGTATTACCCTTAATGTTTTAAAAATTAAACAATTTATTTAAATTAGAGAGAGAGAGAGAGAATACCATCAAAGATAATCCAAATATAGAAATGCACTTTGTTTTCATTTGTACTTATAAAAAATACATAAGTCATAGGGTTTTTTAATCAGACTTGGAAAATGTATTTATAACTTTTTGACTAAGGCTGGAAGTCCTACAAAACCTCAAAGATAACCCAAGTCACATATAAATATACCCGTTTGTTTTACTCATAAAAAAATAAAGTCATTCAGTTTTTTTAATAAGACCCAGATATATCCTTGCAATTATGACTAAGGCAACAACCTTACTTTGACTCAACATGTTCTTCTTTGTACAATTGTATTGCTTAAGAAATTTCAAATCTCCTTAGAAGATCTGCAATATTTGCATTTTACATTCATTACATTTTAGCGGAAACCTTTGACCATGATATGCCGAAACCTATTGATATGTAAATATTATTATTTTGTATTTTTCTGTTTCCCAACAATCAGTGCAAGCTAGATAAACCCAGCGTAAACATGTCCCGAGAACATAAACAACAAAAAGCGATGGGCACGCGACGTAAGCTATGTACATTATACTATATTGCTACTGCGATTATTGCTCTACTGTTCCGACTTGATAAAAGTGCGCCAGCAATATGGAGGAGTAGTAGCCTGAACAAAAAAATACATAAACGCTATCCTTATCAATTGGCTGGTACATGATTCACGCGAACGACTGGAAACGGTGTTTTTTTTTTTCTTTAAATCCTAAATCTGAAATAAAAGGCCATCGTCACGCTCAAAGGTGGTCTTTAAATTTGGGCGTTATCGAAAGCAGTTAGTGGCTGCGTGAAACGCACGCCTCTCGATGGCCACCCCAAAAATCTTGAGCGTGTTTATGGTCCCATAGACCCCACTCCCTCCGATAAGAGCCTCCTGGCCCCTGGCACTCAATTATGGCAATACGACTTCCTAATGCCCGATCGAATCGTTTGGTAAGAGCCACTTGACGGATCACTTGACGGCAATTGTTTAGCAGAAATGTGCATAGTCTGTCCCAGAGCCAAGGGCAAGACAGTGGGCCAGTGGCAACCCCAAGTACAAAACTCTTCATCCTTAAGGGTTTCAGAATCCTAAGCTAGCTCTAAAATGTGGTTAATAGCATTGATAAGAAGCCGTATGAAGTCTTGGCAACCAGCTGTATCCGTAAACAAAACTGTTGATGGTAGGACCTATAAATCTTGAGCTTTGTGTAAACCCCTTCGGCAGGGGATATTTTGATTAGATATTTTTGCTGCCCACTTGGAAATCGTTTCCCAATCATTACCTAATAAATTTGATTAATAGCAGAAGTCAAGATTATGACAATAAATGCAAATTTAAGTGGTCAGTTATTGAACTGGTAGCCGAAATTTAAGTGTACTTATTAACAAGACAGATCACCTTAGTACCATAGATTGTATAATATTTTTAATTTATGCCAAATTTATGTCACTTAATATAAGATCCCCTAAAAATATGTAATTTAATTTCCAAAGGTATTAGTATTAAAATTTGTTCCCTAATTTAATTTTTAAAAAAACCAACAAATGATTACCAACTAGATAATCTTTAGATTTTTCTATAAATATATTATAATCGTAGGCCTTGGCCAAATCTAGTTTATTGTTTTATATAATCGTGGGCTATAAATTTGGCCTATCTTGAACACGCAGGTCTGATTTAGAGTTTGATATATTCGAATTGAAACGCAACCCAAAAGTTGTAGTACCTTTTTTATGTCCTCGTTGGCCACCATCCTTTGAGACACAGTGATGAAAAGGGGTTAACTTAAATATTTCACTGGCTATCTATGGGTTTATATTCAGTTGATATATTACTGTGATCGGTTGAAATTTCGCGGAAGCGCTTAAACTATCGAAACGTGCGGAATGAGCGCTATGAGCGTCGGGGCAAAACTGAAATTCTCCAAGGAAAGGCGCTTAGCAGCTAAACGAAAATCGCCATCAGCGGCGACTGCGACTGCGACGGCAACTGCGACTGCGACAGAGGCTGATACAAAGAGCCCTGATATCGCAGTGACAGTGGCAGAGGCAGTGGCAGCAGCAGAGGCCGATATAATTCCGTCTTCCTCGGGAATCGTATATGTAGTTCAATGGATGAGTCTGTAGTCCAATAGTTGCTAGTGAAACGTACTCAGGCGACCGTAGGTGCTGGCCTTCCTTTGGTTGTCCTGGTAGGCCTCGAACTTCTCCACAAGTTTGTTGAAGCCTCGCTCCAGCGTGGGGGAGCTGACTTTCTCTAATGCATGCAGCAAATAGTCCACCAAAGCCTTGGCCAGCTTCTATTGAATAAACCAATAAAAAAACAAAATCCTTAATTTACAGAGCCCAAATCAAAAGCTGTCAAAAGGATATGGATTTTTAACAGCCTTTTAAGCATTGAACTTACCCCAATATACAGGGAACCCACTTTACAGCGACTGTGAGTCACATTATTATCGCTGATCATTAGCTGATACATTATTGGATCCTGCTCGTCGATCAGGACTCCAATGAAGCGTACGAACTTCAACGCATGCTGGTGTAAAGTCTTCAAATCCAGCTCCGTACCGTTACCGAACTTTTTAATACCCCAAAATTCCTTATTTAGGAATCTGTACAAAATAATAATGTATATTGTAGGAGTGACTTCAGTTACAGCCGCCTTACGTGTAAAACACATCCTGACCGTAACGACGCGAAAATGGTCGGATTAAATTCCATGCCCGTCTCAAAGCTAATCTCTCGCTCAGCGTGAATCCTATACCATCCATAACCGGGCCTAACTTTATTTCAGGCAAAGGTTTTGGATATATAAGACTAGCTCTATTTAAGCGGGAATTCTTTATTTCATCACCACTCATTTTTGGTAATTTCGCTTTAAAAATAAAAAAAATATAATAAAGGCAATTAAGGAATTCAAAAATTAAATATTAACATTTAACACATCGAACGACTGCCCAATATAATTATATTTTCGAGAGATCTTTCAAAGCCAACTTCAAATACTTGATTTTGGGGAATCAATGGATCCCATAATTGTTTGCCTCAGGGCCACGGAAAAGGCTCGTTTTCTGGCTTCATGCACTTGTGCGTAATCCCCTATAATCTGCACCAGTTGGTTAAGGGCTCTGGTCAGCGTACAGGACTTGTGATTCTCAATGACCGACGACTCAATAATGTAACTCTTAAGGGCACTAGCTAGCATCTAATAAATAAATTAAATTAAAAGGAAAATAGAAGTTCTTTCGAGCAGCATTTCCTTTCCGTTGGCACACCTTCATGTAACTGGAATCGATGCCATTCTTCATGTGATTGGGAAGATTCTCATCCAGCGCCAGGCGGAACTGCAGATTGATATCCAACTTGTGGATCAGCTTACCCATCAGTTTCATCATTGCCATGGCATGCCCGTGTAGTTTGCTCATATTGATTTTGCCATCGCGCCTGAAGAAATCGATGAGATGCTCGTGTTCGGTTAAGAATCTGACCCATTTGCAGGAAAGAAGTGTAAGGGGTAAAGGAAAACTTTGGAACTAAATTATGGTACCTGTAAAATGTTTCCTGGCCAAAACGACGCTGAAATGGCTCAATAAGACGCCAGGCATTTCGCAGGGCCGCCTTCTCCGCCATGGTGAACTGATTTTCGTCAACTTTGTAGCTTATATCTCGCTTCGGTAAAGGCTTTGGATACACCGGCTGGTCTACGTGCCGCTTATCCTCCAAACTTTCCTCCGATCCTCGTTTCACGCTAGTTTGACTCATTTTACAATCCCTATTTTATCTCTGTGGCCCAAGGACTGAACTTTGTTCGATGTAAATAGATTTAAAATGACCCGCTTGCTACAGTTGGTTTATTTAAAAAAATATATTATTCTTAAATGATATGTTTATGGTCAAACATATTTATTCTCATCAAGACTCTGCGATGTCTTACTTTTAACTCAGATAGCCAAGCCTTCATGTTATCCTGACCATGCCGGTTAATGCGATCACTTACCTTGCTGAAATGGGTCCCAAATTATAAATATAATAATAAACATTGTTGTTACTGTGCTATAATTAATCTTTTACAGCTTCTATCATTGGTTTAGGAAACATTAATATTTAATTTCTCTTAATTACAGAAATAATTCTTTACACATTCTTTGTGCTGTAACTTGCGAATCGGATTACTGGGAAACTTAAGCAGAACATCTTTACCATCCTTAACATAAATGAATGCCATATATCTTACTTAACTTAATGTGGCTCACAGAGCCGACCTTACAGGTAAATGCGGGAAAATTGACGCACTGTCATCTTCTTGTTGCACAGAGGGCATTTATGTACACTATTTATGGCGGCAACGAGACACTCCTTACAAAAAACGTGACCACATTTAGTCGACACTGGCTCACGCCTGCGCACATTTTCCAGACACACTGGACACTTGTAAGACTCCTCCATTTGGGACTCGTCAGATGTGGGACATGTGCGCTTTGGTGGCGACGGATCGTCGAGGTCTACAACGACAGCATTGGATGTGGATTGCTGCGAGGACCTGCGACGATGTGCAGATGATCTGTCTGGGGTGCACAAATCGATCACCGCATCAGGAGTACGATTTGTCGGCGGGCGAGCTGGCGGTGCAAACTCGAAATTGGACAAGTCTATTACTTCCACTGGAGTCACTGATTGAAGAAACCAAAATGTTGTAATATTAATAAAAGGCTGCAATTGAAGACCCATAGTTCGAACTTACCGTCAAGTCTAGGACGCCTGCCTTGGATTATTGTTGGTGTAGAGGTAGTGGTTAGGTCGTAGTTGTTATCGACCTGGGAGGCAAGTTGCTCGCAATAACGAGTGACTGTAATAACAATTTATGTAGTTTGTGGCTTATACGAGACCCTTGCGTTTGACTTACTGGAACCAATGTCCTCCAGCATCTGGGCAATTTGGTCATTCGACCGATTGAGTGATTCACGAACAAAATCAGCAGACTGGTTGTCCGATTCACCTTCCAAATCAGTCGACTGGTCGCGCGATTCGTCCATAGTCACGCGAAAGGAGTTATCCTGCACGGATTCTGACGAGCTGGCACCCGGGGAATGGGAGGAACTTGAGCTGGAACCGATGCTGTCACTCGGAAAATGGGAGGAGGAACTTGAGCTGGAACCGAAGCTTGCACTCGGTGAAGACAACTCTGTGCTGATATTGTAGGTGCGACTTAATTCAGACTGTTCAGAAAATGAAATCTAATAAATGAAACCGACGTCAAATTCAATAACTGTCTCCAAACTACAACCGGAAAGCTTACCTCAACAAAAGACGAGTCAGACATGTTTCCGGCTTATATCAACCGGTCAATGCATGGCAGGATTTTCCTTACTTTCAAACGAATCTCTTTTAGCTGTAGTAAATGTGTTCGAATTAGCAAATTAGTGAAATTGCATTCGCGCCGCCATTCGCCCTCTTCGTGATGGAACTTGCCCGGCTGAGAAGCTATCGATAAGCTGCTACAACTGTATATTTCAGTACTAAATACTTGGTTTCCACTATATAAAGTAGTGTGATTCCAGGAAATACCGTGATTATTTTTTAGATCTGCTTATTTATATAAAGGACTGGACTTGTAGGGTATTTTTTATGCGTCTGAAACTATCGGCAAGTGGCAAAAGCCGTTCCATAAAAATTTTAAATGACAGAAGAGCTACAGCAATAGCTACCTTTTTTTTCTCTTTTGATTTATAGCTACCCTGCCCTTTCAATTATAGCCAATGACTAAATATATCAAAAGAGATTATATGTAGCTGCCGATATTTTATTCGTATAGGAATACTAAACTTATTTTCATCGAAGACAGTGGGCTATTAGAGCAGTTTTAATTTTTTATTTACTAGATGTCGAAAATTGTAATTAATAATAATTAAATCATTTATTAACTATTATTTGTTCTTTTGTTATTTAATTTCTTGTATATATCTGCACCCCCATTCGACCAAACAAATTTGTCGTCCTGGTCGGTGTAATTTTTGCATCCGTTTCAAAATCGATAGCAAATCGATATCGCTATCGTTGCAGTGACAACGTTCTATCATATCAAACATATGATAATCAACAACATCTGTTTTTGCTGTTCTCTTGTTGTTGACGCGTCAAAGTACAATAATATTAGTTTTCTGAAATAAACACAGTCATGGCCACGGACAAAGACACGTTTACGCTGCAGTCCATCCGGCAGGATCTCATTGATAACAACCTGCAGGCCAAGGCCATTATACAGGTAAACAGATCGAAACTACATATAAAAACAATACAACATACCCCAATTGCGTACATATTTCAGGACATTCTGAACAGCCGCACGTCGATCGCCGAACTAGAGGAACTGAATGAAACTGGACGCGCCAAGCTGTCGTCCATCCGGAAGAGTATCGAGCGACTGGACGACTGGGCACGGGATACGGCAGATGCAGCCCTCGCCAAGGAAGTGGACACTCATCGAGACCAGTTCTCCAAGACCCTACAGGCGTTCCGCAAGGCAAATGTCTCCACGATTCTTGAGATTGAGAAGGCCAATCGCGAGGAGTTGATGGCCATAACGGGCGAGAGCGAATTACGCCAGCGGACAACAGCTCGTGCGCGTCACAACCAAGGCAGCATGGTCTCGCAGGAGAACGACGTTACTGAGAAGATGTTGGCCATTTCGCGTCACCTGTCGGAGACGACTCAAAAGAGTGCCGTCACGCTGGAGACACTAGTGGCCTCGTCGCAAAACGTGGAAGCCACAAGTGACGAGTTGCACAACACGGCCGGCACCATCACCATGTCCGGCAAACTTTTAAAGAAGTATGGACGGCGCGAGTGCACTGACAAGATGTTGTTATTCTTCGCGTTTTGCCTATTCCTAGCATGTGTGTTCTATATCGTCCAGAAGCGGCTCTTTTAGAGAATACTACTAAGAAGCCCATTTTGTTACCTAGCTTAAGGTCTAGGCATTAGCTATGAGCACATGACCATACCTGTTAAGCACCGTGTATTTATATTTATTTCGCAAAAACTTCCAATTGTAAACAAAATACAGCATACAGGCTAGTAAGGACACCGGGGTACTGCCCCTGGATTAGTAAATCCGTTTGTATTGACCACACGGCAAATATCTTTGTACGAGCGCTGCTGCTCCTTTGGTCGGGGTCGCTGCTGCTGCTGTCTGTAGCCTCCGTCGTACCAGCCAGGATATGAAGGCTGCTGCGCCGGAGTGGGTGGATAGTAGTAGCCTTCAGATCCTGGGAAAAGCTGGTCAAACACAGATCTGCTGCTAACACCGGTCAGTGCCAGAATCCATAGCACTACGATGACGATTAAATTGGGCATGGCTGGTCTGTTCGAGATTACGAATCTGAATAACAAGGGAGACTATTTGGTTGGCCCACTTATGAATCTTTCTGACCTTGTACGGAGGGGGAAAGTAAGTGACATGTCAAGTATACACAGATTTGTCAGTGAAACTGATAACAGATTAGCGTTTCCCACTTATATATTCAATGATAAGGAATGTGTACTTATCAGGTACAGGTTTCTAAAAAATCTATAATTTTGGAAATTTAATTTTAATTTAAATAATAATTGTAATAAAATAATTAGTTCAAACCAAATTCAAAATTTAAATAATTCGCACATGTTCTTTCGATAGTTACAATCGACATGTGCCGGCCACAGCCAAGCAATCGGTATATCGATAGCGTCATCGAAAAGTTGTCATCGCTGCTTTGTAAAACCAAAACATAAAATTCTTAAATTTTATTGCTGTTATTTTTTGCAGATTATTGTTAAAAATAGAATGAGCACCGCTATCGAAGTGGTGGACAAGGCTCCGGCGAAGTTCGCCAATTACTTTGCCCTTGAGGCGGCATTCAAGGTGAGAAATGGTGGCTAGTTATGTTAATACCAGTTACTAACGCGAAAATATAAATTAAATTCTGCAGGATGCCTTGGAAAAGGCCATCCAGCAGAACAGCGTGGAGCTGCTGGTCACGGCTTATAACAGTTTCAAGGCTAACTCCGAGCACGACAAGCGCCTACCCATGGATCAGGCATTCCGAGTGCTGCTGATGAAGCGTCTGGACGAGGACGTACAGAACATTGGCGATCTAGTGCGCCTCTCTGTGAAGGCCACACGCGCCGAGATAGTTTCCACCACCATTCCCGTGGTGCTGCTCATCGACACGTTCGACGTGGTCACTCTGGACAAGTGCCAGGAGATCTTCCGCTTTGTCGAGGAGCTGGTGGAGGTATGGAAGGAGGAGATCTTCTTTGCCTCGTGCAAAAACAACATCCTGCGCATGTGCAACGACCTGCTGCGTCGCCTGTCCCGAACCCAGAATACCGTCTTCTGCGGTCGCATCCTGCTCTTCCTCTCCAAGTTTTTCCCCTTTTCGGAGCGATCGGGTCTAAACATCGTCTCGGAGTTTAATCTGGACAACTTTACGGAGTATGGGCTGGATAGCAAGGACAGTCAGGACGACAATGACAAGGAGCTGGAGGACACGGCCGAAGACATACCCCTTAAGATTGACTACGATCTGTACTGCAAGTTCTGGTCGCTGCAGGACTTCTTTCGTAATCCCAATCAGTGCTACAACAAGGCACAGTGGAAGATGTTCCAGATGGTAGGCCATTGCAATGTTAAAATAAAAGGAATTGGATAACATGCTTATTGTCTTTCAGCATGCCGAGAACATCCTGCAGTCATTTTCCAGCTTCAAGCTGGAGGATGTGCGTTCTAGTGGCAGTGACAACGCCAGCGATGCTGGTAGCCAGTCGATGGACATTGATGTCGAGACCACAGACCCTGCAGCTGTAGCGACCGCCGTGATCAAGGCAAATCACTTTTTCGCCAAGTTCCTGACCAATCCCAAGCTACTGGCCCTTCAGCTCTCCGACTCCAATTTCCGCCGTGCTGTCCTGGTGCAGTTTCTCATTCTCTTTCAGTATCTGCAAGTCACCGTTAAGTTCAAGATGTAAGTATTCAAATAAAAACCCGGAGAAATTAGTTAATACATTTTCCTCTCTGGCAGAGAAACCTATACCTTGACTAGCGATCAGGCTGACTTTATAAAGGACACAGAACCCCGCGTTTACAAGTTGTTGGAGGAGACACCGCCGTATGGCAGGCGGTTTGCTCGCACTGTCCACCACATGCTGATACGGGAGGAGATGTGGAATAACTGGAAAAACGATGGCTGCAAGGAGTTCAAGAAGCCGGAGGAGCCGGTCGCAAGTGAGGAGGAAGTGAAGCCACCACCGACTAAGAAGCCCAGGCGTCCCTTGGGCGATTCTCTGCGCGATGCTGCTCGCAACGGCAAGTTCTTTTTGGGCAAGTAAGTGTGGCATCTCACCACAACCCATTCAAATCGAAACTAAAGAAAAATTCTCCCTCAGCGACAATTTGACCCGCCTGTGGAACTACTCTCCGGATAACTTGCAGGCATGTAAGAGCGAGCAGCGTAACTTCCTGCCATTACTGGAGACCTACTTGGAGACGCCGCACGACAAGGTCGACCCTGGCTTTGAATGGCGAGCTTTGCGGCTGCTGGCTCGCCAAACGCCACACTTCTTTACCTCGCTGTCGCAGCCGTCAAGCAAGACCTCCGACTATTTGGAGCAGGTGCGCAAGCGTCTTATTCGTGACAAGGAACCGAAGCCGGTGGTTATGACCTCAAGCCACTCCTTGGAGCACAATAATGGCCTGGCAGCCAACCATGGCCATACGGAGAGCGTGAACTTCGCTACAGAGTCACCAGAATCGCCGGCTGAGGCAGAGCCAGATCTCGAGGTTGATGATACGGAGCAGGTGGTGGATGAAGCGTTTGAGCCCGCAGCCTATGAGAAGCCTTTAATGGTCACAAAAGAGCATATCGAAGAGGTGGCCCCACTGATCGGCGAGCCCTGGATGAAGGTGGGAAAGAAAATTGGATTCAGCAATGATGAGCTGCTTTACTTCCAAATGGAGAACCCCGCCGCCAACTTGGCGTGCATTAAAATGCTGACCAACTGGATCTCCGAGGACGATGATGACGCCACCCTAGACAACTGGGCGTACATGCTCGAAGGCTTGGAAATGAACAAGGCTGCCGAGGCAGTGAAGGCCATTATTGAGCGCGAGAGGTCAGGATCAACCGCGGCGGTGCAGGCCGCGGTAAGTGCTTCTGATGACAACGACGTTGAGGTGCTGTCCGACTAGCACATCCATACCCAGAACCCACTACACATTCGATTCTTTTCAATCATTAAACTTCTTTATCACAAGTAAAAATATGGGCATGTTTTCCACTGTCACCAGACCCAGAGATCAGCGCTTTTTCGGCGGGGGACCATTGCGGGGCTTGTTGTGCACCATGTTGACACATTTGGGGATGTGCCGCTCCGCTGCCTGCTGGTTGAAGCGTCGTCCACAGTGCGGGCATTGGATGTAGTCTGGGTTCTCCGATGGCGGCGGTGGTGGCAGGTCGCTCAACTTGCCCCCGCGGGCCAAGTGCTGCTGCACCATCTTGGCCGCCCTTATGGACTGGATAAACTCCTCGTGCTTCTTGCGCCAATTGTTCTTCTTCACCCCGGTGGTGAGACCTTTCTGCTGGGCAGCGCTGCTGTACATGGCCTGCGATCGAAGGCCAGCCTTTCCTTTCTTATTGAACTTTTCGGCTTCGGTACCCACAATCCGCTGCTTGGAGGCATCAAAGATCTTGCGCTTGGTGCTCATCATTCGGGCACACACAGTCTCGTGCTTTTGCAGGCGATCAGTGAGGAAGTGCCGACCGCAGTGCTTGCACAGGGCTGTGCCTTCCGGAGGTGGAGCTTGGGCCTCCTGTAGAGGATTTATCGAGGGTGGTTCAGTACGAGACTTGCAGACAACTGCGTGGTTCGATGATACATACCATTTTGGTGACCTTTTTGACAGGAGATTTTGGCTCGAACTGATGCGACCGATCGGTTGTCTTTAAATGAACATAGGTTTAAAATGTTAGCAACTGACTGATACGTCTCGGACAAGCTGATCGTACTCACCATTTGGCGGGGCGGCGGAGGTGATCTCCGATTGATTGCAGATGTCCCAGCCCCTTCCAAACGATTCGATGCCGGCATCCTGGGACTACGCGGCGCTTCCTGGGCTGGAGGTGTTTTTCGGGTGATCACGGGCTTAAGGTTTCGATTCACAGTCCGTGGCGTTGCGAACTTATTATTGTTGCTGTCGCTCGTAATGCGCTTGTTGGTGCTAGCAGCAGCTTCCTTCAGGGTCATGGCCGACACGCCCTTGGTTAGTCGCTGCATCGGCTGCTGTGGACGTGTTTTGACCTGAGGAGCGGCGGGTGGCGATGGCAGAGTTCCGATGGGCCTTAGAGGATTACTGCGGTCAATGCCTGCACCTCGACGACGCTCATCAAACATCTGGCGAACCTTGCCATTTCCTGCCGTGTCCAAAACATCGGCATTGCCCTTGGTAGCTGCAAGCTCCCGACGGCGCGCCTCCTGTTCCTGGTGTGTTCGCTGTTGGAAACGCATCTGTGGATGAGGAAATTTTAGATTTAAGTTAATGGACTTAATTAAAATCTAAAAATAATTAAAATAAAACAAAAATATAAATGGCTATTTGGAATACTTTAAAAGAGAAACTTAGTAATCTCTTCAGTTTTCATTCTTAGTTTCCCTCTTACAGGTGCTGAATTACTGATCCCACTGGGCGGAAGGTGACTCAGTGCCTCCATGAGACGCCTGGCCGCCCAAGATTCGTTTAATTTTAAGGGGAGTATATGTTCCTGTTCAAACTCCGAGTAGTGGGAGTAGTCTCCGTCCTCGTTCCTGTCCGCCTGCAACATTTCGGGCCGGAGAGCGCGTGCCAACTGAGCCAGCTAGGACCGGACATTAGCGCGTCCATTTCCCGTGAGTGGAGTCATTAAGTGCACAGGCTTCACTAGTGTGAGTGCTTTGTTTGCTTGTCTATTCTAGCGATGATGTGGTGTCGCACCTCCCATCCCAGCCCCACCGCCTTCCCCACAGTGATATGCGAATAAATCCGTGCCCACTTACGTGCCGCCAGTACATAAAACCCCTCGCCACACGTCCCGCCTGGGCAAAGGAAACCTTATCCTGTTCCCTGGAACGGGTCGTGGGTGCGGGCGTAAATGTGGGGGTTCTGCTTGTGGCCATTCTTCTGCTCTCCTCTCTCTAAATGCCTGCCTTCGAGCCGTGTAATTGCGGTTGTCTCCTGCGTCTGGTATCCTGGTAGTGGCCTTCGGACCCAGCCATGGCCATCTGGCAAGTCTTCGGCGAGTACGCAAAAACAACGTAAATCCTTTGTATATATCGGACCCTTGAGAAATCCTTTCCGGCTGCCCTTTTGTTAAGCTAGCTGTATGTTTTTGTTTTTTTTTTCCCCTGCATGCCAATAACAACAACAAAAATCAATGGCTGCAACGTTGCCATGGCACATGGGACCCACACCGTCGAACGACAACCAGAGGCAGGGTGTGCACAGCAATTGTTGAATGCCGGAAAGGAAGAGCAGCGCTCGCTCAGTTGACAAGGGACCTTAGCATTGTCCTTTAACCGGCCACCCACTGGCGCCTTTCGGCGATAAAAATCGCGCGCGACTATTTTCCCAGGTACATTTTTTGATTGATGAATTATAGTGGGGTTTTGAGTACAGAGAGACAGAGAGAAATACGTGGAGATTTTAATATATTTTCCTTAGATTAGGATATTGGAAAGGGCATGAAATAGCACATAAATAATTGATTAAGAAACCTCTATTTGTTAATAGATATTAAGACAATCTCAAAATATTTCTTTGATTTTTCCTACGATATCTTATTACCAGACCTTTTCCAGCTTTCACCTTCGAAGTTTTATCAGAATTCAATTTCCCTCTTCTAACTTAAATTCCGAGCTAAACCTCACGGCTTTCAACCACCACAGATTTCTCTCTGTGCACACGTGTTTGTTGGCGTTTTTAATGTCAACCCTTTTTGGTTATTGGGTGACTCAAAAAGTGACGTACTTTGGCTAACCCTAATTACAGCTAATTGAAGGGAAAATGTTCGGGTTCGGGACCTGTTCTATGTTGTCGACGCCGCTCTTTTCCCGTCAACAGATGGCAGGCAGTCAAGGAGCGCCTTTTGTTCTATTCTGTGGGGGCTTCAAGAGTCCCCATTACCAAATATGAGCAGCAGCTAATACAAATCAATTAGCTGGCTGGCTTTTGCTGGGAAACTTTAGCCAGGGAAACGGAATTAGAACTCCCCAAAAAAGCACGAGAGCCGGACTCGGACCATTTAAGGCACATCACGGAAATTGAGCGCAGAGATCCGACGCAAGCAAACTCTTTATTATGGAAATGTCTGATTAATTGAGCAAGCAACATTAATTAAGACAGAAAATAATTTGCTTTCGGATTATGATATATGCATAGTGGAGTCGAGGTCTCTATGAACGGAAATTATAAAGAGGCTTTACTTAAAGCCTGGGTAAACATGTAAACCAAACCTGTCTGCCATTTCAATCTTACCTGCATTTGAGCCAGCTTTGAGGTCTTCACCGCTCCGGAACCTTCTGACGCCATCGCCAAATACAGTCGTGGAGCAATTCAGCGATTGAATTCGGTGCGATTCGATGCGACTTGATATGCGGTGTGTTCGTGTGCTCGTGTGTGGGCACCAGCCAAGGCGATGATGACGCGACAGAGCTTTGGCCAAGCCGTTCGGTTACCGCAGACCCGGCACAGACTCTCCGGTGAGTCACCCCGAGTTGGCGAAAATAAATAAAACCGGCAGCGGCAGCAGCAGCAACGGAGGCGGGGCAGGCAAATTGTGAGCGCCGATAAATGTCGCCAGGAGGCGTCAGGGGAAACTGTCGCTCGATCTTCGAAATGGACGTGGGTGTCGATCTGGAAGTGGAAGTGGAAACTGCTCAGACCGTGCCCAGACCCAGACTCAGATTCAGATTCATAATTGTGGGACGAAGGTCGCTCCAAATAGGGTGCGATCAATGAACAAACCAATTCAATTGAACTCACTCCAACTCACCAAAACCAAGCCAAACCGAACTGTTGTGATGAAAGTTGACCCTTATCTTTGCATTTATTTATAAAACACTTAATCTGGACCGAAAATGTCTTCAGAAAAGTAACAACATTAAAATTTGATGAATAATTCTTGTTTGTTTGGGATATACTGCCGAAAATATGAAAAGCCTTTGAAGTGTTCTTTTTTAAGCGTTGCTAAGCACGCATCTGACAACTCAGTAAAAGGTAGCAAAGCAAGTGATCGAAACAGCCGAGAGCTTGCCTAGATAAGTATTATTACCAAGGAAAAAGAGTGAAGGTTAAAGTTGAGGGTCCCGGCTCAGAAAACATAAAGTGATATGTTTTCAATTCTTTTTTAAATAATTACATTACTTTACTTTACTATACTTTCTTTTTTCCATTTTTAGAGTATACAGCAAACACTCTCCACACCCACTGGCTCGCTATCTGACTTCGCTCGTTCTCGGTACAATTAATTTATGTATTTTCCAGCTTTTCGACACAAGAAACGTTTCTAGCAGACCATTCGAACTCTCCGCGGGCTTTGTTTGCCTTCAGAACTGCGATTTGCATACACTGTCGAAGTGAACTTACCAAGCGAAGGAACAGGGAGTCGGTGCAGGACTTTGGCAGCGGGCACTGGTCACGCGAGTTGGTTGACACACTAAGAAGGCACTTAAACGAGGATTGAACTTTAGAGCCAGACCTCGAAGTGGGTCACCGAAGGATAGCTGCCATGTGTGGAGTGGAGGAGTGCTGGTTCCTCTGTGGGCAACTGGCCAGCTGTTGATAGACTGTAATTACGCATACGCCCCGTGTGTCTGGGTGGGAATTCGTGTGTGGAATTCAGACGTTTTGAAGAGCCTTCCACTGGCGCTGGCGCTGGCTCTGGCGACTGTTTGCTGAGAAGTTTGCGCGCTAACTGAGACAAGATTCCATTCCGATTTCGATTCCGATTCAAAATCCGATGGCCGGCCCGAACAAGTTGCGAAGTTGGCGACAATCGAGCGGTGCACCGCCGCCAATGATCAGTTGATGATGGCGTGTCGTTGGGCTTGCTGTCCCCCTGCAGCTCCCCATATAAACAAGTATAAAGTATATTTATATGATATATAGTGTTAGCTCCCCTATGAGTACCCCCCTTTCCCAGAAAGCCCCAAACAAACACACATACGACTGTGCGTGCACGCGAAGAGAAACTTGAGTTTATCGCTCAGTGAATGTTTTTGTTTCGTTCTCTCAGATGTTGTTGCTAAACTTTATTTGCTTTTGTTTTACATTTATCAACGCTGACGCTTCGCAGATGTTTTCCGCCGTTTACAATTCATCAACCCCTTCTTTGAAGTCATCATATCAAGACTCAAACAAACTTATCAGTAAACAAGAGTGAATCTTAGTTAAACGTAGTTTGAAGCCACTTAAATTATATTAAATAATGGTAAAAGAGTAAATCAATATTTTACATAACTTACTGCCAGAATAAAATACAATTAAAATTTAATTATGGAGCATCTGTGTGCTTAGACTTGCCAAAAATAATTTCAATATGCAAAAAGTATAGTTTGGAGCTTTTTTACGAAACGTGAAATCATATAAGCGCACTTCAGCTTTGCAAAATTAGATGTTTGATAGTGTTTAAGCTTCAGCAATCGCCCCTCTTAATGACTCACTTGATGACTTCTTCTCTTTATTCGTTTGGCGCTAAGTTGCTCATCGCTTTAGTAACAATTATTCACACACTCATTGTTCGTCTGCTTTTGGCTGCGGTCTTGAAACCATATAAGAGCGTGCTACTGCCTTGTCTCTTTGTCTTGGCTTGGCTCTCTTGCTTTGCGAGCTGGCCAAAAAGAGATGCAGCTCGGCCGTTGCGGCTCTTGCTATGAGTTGGTTGAACCTGAACCTGCCGCACTAAGCGATCTCTTCGGGCTTGGCGCGTCAAAATATATATTTATAGACACATACACACCTATAGAATTACGTTGTTACTTCGCTAATTACCTTTGTTCGGGGGGAAGTTCGAGAGGGGCGTTTTCTTGGCTAGGCCGAGCCTGTTTTGGGTTACAACTTCTTGACATTTACTCAAGGCTCAAGGTTGGTTCGAGCTGAAGCCTTGTTTCCAGATTGTTTGTTACACCAATGTATGTATATATATTAGATATTATTTGCACACCTAGGTAATGTATGTATATATGCTTGCTTGCTTGCTTGCTTTCCTTGCTGGCTTGTATAATTTGTATAATCTGCTGCTGCGTAGGTCGCGATGAGTGCCGCCTACGTAGCCCCTCGCTGGCCGCTTCCTGCGCTCTCAAAAACAGCTAACTCCAAACACTGGGCCCGAAGCGAGTCGGATTACAACTTGAATATACGTTTAACAATGACACGGCAATTTCAATTTCAACATCAACGACACTGACAACTGACAATTGGTAACAAACAACGCGAACTTACTAGCCTAATTGTGAGATACACAGGAATGTAAGGGCCGGCGACTGCGAGGCGTATACGTAACGTTCGCCAAGATGGCCGGATGGCTGGAAGCCTGCTTCCGCTTCCGGCTGTTCGGATTGCCTCCGCCCGTGTCGCCTCCTTTCGTTTCCATCTCACTTGCCACCGATTGGTTTTCGACAATTTCATAATTTCATGGTTACATCAGATGCGGTTTACACGCGATGCCGGCCGGCGCTACCTAAGGTACTATTCACAGTTCAGCTGCTCGCTGATAAGGCGCAGCACAATAAAATTGGGTGTTCTTTCTCGGTTCACATCCTCTAAACATTTACATATACACATATATATAAGTGGATGTATGTATACTACATACTAATATACGGTTGTTCAGCTAACATCGGAAATGCAGTTTACGTGTACAATTATTCTACAAAAATTTGCACCTAAAGTATACCTTTGTTTTTTCTCTATATTTGCTTAATTTCGGTTTTAAAACATCCATGTTCATGTTTTTTGTTTTTTTTTTTTTGTTTTCCTTGTTGTTTTTCGGTGTTCTTAATAAAGTTTACAAAAATACTTCTCGGTTTAACTGAATAGCGTGGGGGATTGACACTTAATTGAAGCTTGACTTGTCTCGAGCCCTTCAATCGAATCGTACCTTGTGTGAGTAGAGTGTGTGTGTAGTATAGTTGAGTTCATGGAGTCCTGGGTGGACTCCATGCTGGACGTGCTAAGACTATGCCACACAAGCTGTGCCGTCGGCCCTTTATCGGTATACCGACCCAAAACAATTTACATACATTATTTAATCCCGTTTTCCTACATACATATGCGTGATTGTCCAAGGTTGATTTTTCATTTAGTTTGGTTTTCGCATTTCCGATTCGATTATTTGCAACTCGATCGTTAACAAGTTTCGTTTTATTTGTTTTATTTCCGGGCTACGCTTCAGACTAAAACATTGTGGTGAGGTTATCCTTAAATATGTTTCTAAACGCTCCTCCGTTCGCTCATCGCATCTGAATCTAGAACTATGTATAAGCCAACATTCAATGCGCTCTAATTTAACGTCTAAACGACAATTGCTTAAGTCTTGTAGTCTACATTTCATTTACGTTACGTGGCGGGCCAAAAGTTCTCCGCGATGCCCCAACGTTATCGTACGTTTTCCTTGACCATAGCTACGGATATACATAGATTGTAGATAATACTAGGCATATACGGCTAGAAGCGAATGGTGGGAAGATGGCGCGAGGGTGCTGGTAGTGTTCAAGGTGTTCCTAGGATAGCTAAGGCTGTGGGCTCAGGTCTAGGGGTTTCGCTTCGTGTAGCTCTGATCATAAATATATAGTATTACACCCACGCGTACGTACAAGGACATGCAACAGATGCGTTTGGGGACATAGGCGTCCTATTACCCGTATTTTACATATTATCTCGCGACTCTATCCTCTATCTCTAGGCATACATATATGCGCGGCATGCAACATTTTGAAAACCTGCACTTACAACTATTAATACGTGTATATTTATATAACTTAACAACTCTAGGCGCCCCTCCATTACGTGACGCTTCCGACTTAGGCTAGATTTTAGTTACAGATACAGTTTCTTCAAGGTGTCCGTAGCGGCGTTTCCCTTCCTTATCGGAAGTTCCTCAAAATCAAATTCAAAATCGAATCGATGTGGCATGAGTTGAGTGTTGAGGTGGCCCCAAACACTCTGTCGGTGATTTGCAACGATTTCTGCGATGAGGCGCCCTTAACTGCTAATTAATCGTACATGTCTGTGTATACACATCTTATACTGATCTGGTTTTTCCTGGGCTACTAACTTGTTTTTTCTTTGGTTTTTGTTTTGGTTGCTTCTCGATTCGCTTAATTTTGTTTTATAAACTTTACATCAGTACGGGTGGTGGGGTTGATCGATCTGTGTGTGAGTTAGTTTCGAAAACGTAAGCCTTAAGTGCTACCATTAACACTAAGGGTGTGACGACGTGTATGAGTGTGGTTACATCTAGAGTTAGTTTTCCGTCATTAATTACTTGTTTTTACCTGGTTTTCCTGTTTATTCTGCCATTTTTATGTTCAACATGCTGTGTATATAAAAACTGCTTTACTCCAATTAAAATTCTGCGTTGGATTCTCTGCCGGCTTGTCCCTGCTCTTTGTTGCCGCACAATTATATTAAACTTGTATTGATTTTTCGGTGACCCTTTATCATTTGCGCGCACTGTATATGTATAAATTTTTCAAAAATTGGCACACATAAATGAGTTTGGCGTTTGGGGGCATCAGAGGGGAAGGGTAGGTTTCCGGGGGACTTGTTTAATACTATCGATTCCAAAAATTCTAGAAAATCATGGCAAAACAATTTGAAAAAGTGTTTCCATTTAAAAACTGCATCAATATAAATTACAAAACTATCAAAATACTCAAAAGTATTTCAGTTTCTAGCCGTTGCACAGTGGTCGAGCTTGTATGGAGCCGCGGCCATAAATACTTCTAGATGTGCTATCGCTATGAAACTTTCACCAAAAATCTAGAAAAATGTTTTAAGTATATCCACAAAAAATTGGCCATATTGCTCGACTATATCATATAGCTGCCATAGGAACAATCTGTTAAAAATCCATACTTAATATGAAAAACTTTTTTGTTTTTCAAGATATCTTAACCAATTTCACAGATTATATGTTTGGTACAGGTTTATGCATTCTTACCAAATTTGGTTAAAATCGGATCTCTATATCTTATAGCTCCCATACAACATTTTTATAAAACTATTTTTTTCCAAGACCTAACTTTAATTTTTTAGTTTTTGATCTCTTAATGAGAACGTTGGTGAAATATAAGTGCCCAAAAGTAAAAAAAAAATTATGCACTTATATATTGTGTGTTTATTTTGTCCAGCAACAAACTTACACAGCTTAAGGGGGGTAAGGTTAATTGGATGCAAAACTCACTACTTTTCAAAAAAATGTTGTGGCGAAACGGCTAAAATTAGCTTAATGAGTTAAATACCATATAATAACACAACATTTGAGCAATTTTTTTTTAATTTTTGTATTAAAAAATATTTACATGCTTACGAGTAATAGCGAATCTCCTGAGTCCCCACAAAAAAGTTTATTTTCGGTGTACATCCTATCCTAGCTGTCCACAAACACATCAGATATCAAAAAAATGTATTGTATTCACTAAAGGATAAGTGCTCCGAGGTACTCAGGTGACGTTTTTATTTTTAAAATTTTTTCCCGATTTTCTATTACAACCCGGATTATTGGCTAAAAAATTAGGGTAATTTGTTTTGTAATGGCAAATTTGCAGCCGCAGGTAGCCGCAGCTAAAGTAAACATTTTTATAATCTTTAAATATCAGTTAATGACGGCACATAAATTTCATTTGGGGGCAACGGGGGGAAAATACTTAAAACTTTACGTAAACCCAACATTTACGAACTAAAAAGACGCACTTTTTTAACAAAGATTTACACGAAACACAACACAAATTATATATATATTTTTCTGTACAAATAAAGTATATACCTTTATCTACCATATCCAGTCCAATTTTTTTTGGTTCAACAGCGTTTTATATTATAGTTTACATTTTTAAATTTGGTCTGTGCACTCCACTGCTGACAAATTAAAAGTGCATGAATACAAAAACGCTTTTGTCAATCTATTTTCAGAAAGTCCCGTTAGAAATTCCAAGTAGACCGTATTGCATGGTAAACTTTGGACAATCAGCTGATAGAAAAACCATGTTTCGCTTGAATAGCTCAAAATCAATTTTTTTATTTTTGGCCTATGGGCCCGACCACTGTGCGTTGTTCGTCTCGTTTTTAATTCGTTTTGTCGCTGCTACTGTCACGTTTTCATTTTATGTTGCAAAAATATTCTGTAGCCTACTTATATGCGCGTTGCAAAAATATTTTCGCATTTCAAATACCTGTGGTTGACACTGCGCCTAGGAAGGCGTGTTGCGGTTGGGTGGGTATGGTTCTGCGGGTTGTGTTGTGGCTTTGAGGTTTGCGAGTGTGTAGTTTAAGTTATACATTCATATATGGGTTTACATCGAGACAAATAGATATACCGAGCAGCGGTTGCGGTCAAAACAAAGGCAAAGGTGGAATTTTCTAAATAAACACCTTAATAAATTTCGCTAAAATCATGCCGATTAGGTAATTACTATTATTGAAAATAAAAATAAAATACTTGTCTTTTTTTAGGATAATCGCAATTGATTTAGATATACATATATGGAACATATACCAAAAACCTAACACACAATTCCATAGCTTTTTTTAGGCAGTGGAAAAATTTTATAGCTTAACCGCAACCGCTGGGTATACATTTTAGCGCACTCAAAAAAAATATAGGGAGCTGCTGTTGCTGTTTAACAGCTTGAGGAAGTTAAGGGATTATCTGGATTAGCTCAACTGACCTAACGAGTCGTATACGCAACGTCGTATACGCAACGTCGTATACGCAACGTCGTATACGCAACGTCGTATACGCAACGTCCCTGACACTCCGGGGTGAGCAAGAGCACAGCTGAATAATACCTAAGCGATTACCAGTTACTGAGCTCCTTGATGCACGGAAGCATCTGTTCCGCCTGAATATGTTGGCCTGGAGGGAGTTTAAAATATGAAATCGCCACAGTCCATGGCATAGTCGAAGTCCTCGCCCCCAATGTCGTCCACGCCCGATGAGTGGAAGTCAAAGCCGCCGATGTCTGTGTGGTAGACGGCTCCGCTGCACGAGGTGTCGATAAGATTGGTGCAGTGGGTGGTGGGCAGGGCATGCAGTGTAAAGGTGTCCTCGCACTGCGACCAGGTGAGTCCGCCGCTCCACACCCCATTCGGCAGCGTGGCCCATCCCCAGCCATGACCCCAGGGCAGGGCGCAGGCCAGCGAGGCCTTTGAGTCCGGCTTCTTGCTGAGAATGGCCACCGCCGCGTCGCTTTTCACCAGCGGATTCTGGGTTTGTCTGAAAAGCATCGTGGTCACCGCGGACGAGGTGCAGCGATGGTGTTTGCTGCCGCTGGCTCCACTGCTGCTGCCGTGAGCCGCAGCCTTGCGCTGTTTCACCTCCGACTGAGTGGCAGCTGAATAGGTAAATAATAGAAAAACAAATTTGTTTAATATATTTTATTAAATTTCTTGTGAAATAAGCTATGCCTGAGGGTAATAGAAAGAGGGAAAATAAAAAATAATATAATTACGAGTTTCACTCACGTCTAATGCGCACTAGCGGACGCCGAAGTACGTTCATTAAATGCGGCTTGTCCACCACCAGCTCGATTTGTGGTGGCGGCGGCAGGGTCTTGGTGATCGCATCGATCCAGTCGCCTACCTCCTGCTCAGACTTGGCCAGCATCCAGTAGACCTTGGAACGCTTGCGCTGGGATCCGAGGGCAATCAGCTGCGAGACATTTACTCCAGCCGGCAGCGGCGGACGACGTGGTATCTGGCCAGTCCAGTGGGCGATTGCCAGCATTTCGGGAGCCTCTTTTACCAGAATCTTGCCCGATGGGGAGGAGCGACCTGGTTCCGTGAACCAGGCCATGGTCGAGTCATCATACAGCACCACCCACTCCTCGGCCCAGCGGTTCCAGAACATTTGTTCTGTCAGGTTAAAACAGATAATGAAATTAGACAGGAGGCTTGAGATTAGATTCCAGGAAAAACTTCTTAGAAATAAGGAGCTTAATAATCTCTAGGAAAGGCTGATTCATTCTCTATATGAATCCATACGGTAGACTCTACTAAGCTAATGGTTTAGGCCAAGATTTTTCATCATATACCAGCTAGCGCATTAATGAGGTAGGCACAGCGCCGCCAAATCATGAGTAATTACACTTAAATGTGACCCCGAACTGATTATCGCAGCCATCATATTCGAAAGGCCGTAGCTCTCCTCATTTATCTACTTTACGTATGGATGCTGCGTCATCCTGTCGGGCTTGAGTTGGGAGGTCCTGCTGTTACTCTTGTGCTGATTTGACAGATTGTCGCCTCTTCTGAGGGTCCCTGAACGGACCGAGCTTACTCTGCTGACAGCCTTGCATTTCCTATTTCCTATTTCTTTTATCTGAACATTATATTGTTTAGAAAATAAAAGGAAATTCCCTGAATTTGCTTTGTTCTTGTTGATTGAAAGTTATCAATATTACTCACTTTTATAGCGCAGTAGGTAGCCGCCTTTGATTTGCTTCCCGCTAGTTCCTGTAATAAGAAGTGAGGAGTGAGTGTCGAGTGGAGATATGTCCGCTGAAAATCCCATCTAATCCGCATCCCATTGCCCAGTGACGAGACCGCTAATTGAACAGGAACCTGCTGCACCTGCGTTCCGATTACTCATTGTCCAGTCAAGGATTTTTCAATTTTCATCCGCCAGCCGGCGGCCCAACGCCCACGCACCGAAAGTGGTGAAAGCCGAGTCCCTTGGCCACCAATGTTGCGAATTCCAAATTTAACCGGGCCCGGGAGCAGTGCAGGTGCCGAGAGCTGCCTCACAGACACAAATCCGAGGGCGAAAAACGAAACATGAAATTTCATTTAGCAATTCCCCGTACTCGCAGCCCGAGCCCAGCTCAACTCAATCAGCCAGCCCAGCCCGGGTGCAATTGCAGTTGCCCTGCTGGCCTGGTCTGGTCTCTCATTTCAAATTCATTACCACGGGTTTCAGCTTCGGCATCCCATTTATTTGGTCCTTGACGAGAGTCGAATGTCGGTGTGAAATAAGAATCAGAGCGGAATAGGGGGGACTGAGTGTGAGCACCGGGGATTCGAGGTGGGGCAACCATGAATCTTGCGGCGAACTCCATTAATTATTTCAATAAAGATGACAGGGAACAAGGGGTCTGTGGTTGGTTGCATGCTTATGCTTCTCTTTACATCATTTCCTGCGAACAGGCAGTGGCAATTCTATTAAGGTTAAAATAACATAGTTATCCAATTCTCTATTCATTTGAATCCGGTATCTTATCTGAACTTTAGTTAATGCAAATCTGATCATGAATTAAGAGGTTAAATTAAATATTTCCTAAAGCAATAATGACATGAGATGAAAATATAGTTGCAATTGAAAATTTCGCGTCATACTAAGTTGGGGCCATTTTCAGTTTCTAGAAAAACTGATAGGCGATTAAGGATGTCCCGGCCAGAATTCTTGCTATTTCAGAATTGAAGAACCCCCTTAGCAATCTTGGCCACTTGAAAAATTGCCATGGCAGCAAACTTATTTCGTCCAGAACACGGTCTGGTGACAATTGGCTCTGGCTGGGAATGATGGTGCGATGAGCATTTGAAAATCGCTCAAGACACACGTTCGCCAAAAGACGCAGCTGGCTCTTAAAGCGGTCTGGGTCTGTCCGTTCTCTGGTGTCATTTATTTTTGAACGAGAAAAATAAAAAGTAACTTGTGGCTACTTTCCTACATAATTTAATATGTAATATTTTGCTAGAAAGTTTCTCTAACCCCATGTAACAAGTATGAACATTCCTGACTCAATAGGTGTATTATCCTCGGCTATTGGTTATGCTTCGGATTATTTTTTTTTTAATAATTATAATTAATAATAATTTATTTCCTTAACAATTTAAAATATGATCAGGGTAAGGTTTGTAATATTTTTCGTGTATTTTTCATGGTGTATACGACGACTAGGGAAAATGCAGACGACAACGAGAGTACATGTGCGGAAGAAGAGCACGAAAGGATGAGCTGAGGGAATGGAATGGTGATGAGATTCTGGGCTGGATAAGTGTGGGGCTGCGGGGTGTGATGAGAGAACGAGCTTGCCGAAGGACACTGCGCTTGTTTAAAAAAAAAAAAGGCAAGGCAGCGGACACCATGTGTTCCTCTTCAGTTCACTCACACAACCGTATATGTACGTTCGCTCACACCCACGCACATCCTGAAATCCTTGCATTCACATATCCACACATCCACATAACAAATCAGTTACACAGAAAAAATAATACCATAAATCTGCCAACCATAGAGCTCACGGATAATTGAGTTTGAAAAGGGAAGAAGCTTTTCCTGCTTAACAAAGTATAAGTTGTCTCTGTTCTATATTTATTCAAATAACAATTTAGTTTTAAGTCCCTGAATCATTTTCCTAAACAAAAATTAAAATTAAATTTGACTAAGTAATTTATAAGTTTTTAATTAAGTTATAAGTGAGCTCCTCAACGTTGATTTTAGTATCTCAAAGATACTCATTGGGTAAAGCCAACAATTGTTTGTATCTCCCCCTTATATCTTTGAGTGTAGCTGACTGATTTATGCTTGGGGCAAAATGCAACTGTAACTGTAACCTGAAGCCGCATTTTCTGCGGCAAGTGCACGGATATACTCACACTATTGCGTTAGCTCTGTGTTGTCTCGCTTAATGATTTAATGCAGTGCACACACACACAGGCAAATACCAACACACACGCTGGCCAATGGGCGTGGCACTGTCAACAATTGCAGCATAATGAGACCGCATTCTGGATTCCGCTTGATAAGTTAAACGACAGTGTGGCTGTGGTTGAGCCTGAGTCTGAGGCTGGGGATGTAGGGGCGGGTGCGGGTGTGCCAAAGGAGCGGGAAGGGATGCGAAAGAGAAAGTTGCAGACAGACGCGCAGCTGCGCCTGTGTGCGAGTTCATTGAGAAAAATAAGTAGTCAGCAGGGCAGATGGGGGGAGAGGGATGAGGATGGGGCGGTCGGAAACTGGGGTGGGGCAGCAAAAACGAGTTCAAGGGTTTTCCGCCAAATGAGGACACACCGACTCGACAGCCTTTCGGCGGCCCAGTTTCCAGTTTCAGTTTCGGTTTCCGTTTAGGTTTCACTTTCTTCATACTTTTCCCCATTTTCCCTTATTTTTTTCGAATGTCCCTCCCTACTCACCCATCGCCTGGGGCTGTTGCAGCTGCAGCTGCTGCGACTGCAGCATGAACGAGCCGTCCGCATCCGCGCTCCGCGACTTTACCTTGGTGCACATGGAGAACATGTCTTGGCTGGTCTTTCCTCCTTTCTCGTCGTGCCCTGCGGTAATTGGCTATTGGCAGCTTTGTTGTTGTTGTGGCTGTTGTTGTATTGGTGGTCTAATTGATTTTGTTGCCGTGCGGTTCGATTGGCAGTCTCAGCCTCAGCCTCAGCCTCTCGGGGCCCGAGATGGGTCTTTGAGAGGCGGTTTCCCAAGTGAAAGTGATGTCAGCACCAGGCTCGCGTTATCAGTACACACACAGGCACACAGCAACGCGACACGAGCACACACACATACACCGACAGCGACGCGAACACAGAAGCAAGAGTGCTTTCCCTTTTTTTCAGGATTTCAGGAGTTTTTCCCTACTCTTTGCTAGCAACGCCTTTTTGGCCAAAAAGTTGTTGATGCTTCGAAATTAATGGATTTGCGATCCTGACACTGACGTCGCTAATTAGATTTCCAATTTTTGCTGCCTCTTTTCGCGCTGCCAGTCTGAATGATGCTGCTGCCCCACATCCGTGTCCAGTGAATCCACAACGAGCACGGACGGGAAGCGGTGGCGGTAGCGAGGAAAATGAATACGGATGATGGTACGCTGTCAGTCAATCCAGTCAATCAGTGGCTGCTCCTGGCTGAGTCCGCTCACTGGCAGCAGCTTAACATGGCGCTGCGATGGCAGTTGTTGTTGCAGTTGCAGTTGCAGAATCAGATACAGATACTCGGACTGTGGGGTTGAAGTGGCTGGGTCTTCCGTTCTTTTGTGGCCGCAATTATTCAGTCTGCTTTTGCTGGTGTTGCTGTTGCTGTTGCTCCTGCTACTGTTGCGGTGAATAAATTGAATGTCCGCTGCACGCCTCTGCTAGGTTAAGCGACCGAAACTCGACTGGCAAGCGTTATCGAACCACCGAAGCTTGGAGCCCGATCCGAGGACCGAGAACCGAGCGCCGAACACCGAATGCGGAGAGCCGAGAGCTTTCGGCTAGGACTAGGACAACACTCGACCGCCAGACGCAGGCGGTGATGATGCTGCTGCCGCTGCTGCTGCTGCTTCTGGTGTCCTTCAACGTCCTACGGCAACAACACGTCGCTGGTGCGGCGGCAAACGAACCCGCCGCCAGAACAGATGACAGGCAGCGCCGCTGCTTTCAGTAATCTTCCCAACTTGCTCCCGAGCTTTTTCATACTTTTTGCCACATCACTTTCTCTCTCTCTCTCTCTCTTTCTGCTTCTCTATCTCTCTCTGTCCCCCTAAGCGTCTGTGTTAGTAGGTTATCCTTCCAAACCAACCAACACCCGCACCCTGTCATCGCTGTCGCTGTTTATTTGGCAACCCACTGCGACTCCGGATGGGGCGGCAGCATCTGCTCTGCTCGGCGATAATCGGTAATAATGCGCTCTGCCACTATTCAAATGGGCGGCAAGTAAATAAACAGTACTTAGTACAGTTTGAACACTTGCTGAGCCCCAAAAATTGTATAGAACGCAGCTGCTGCGTGTAAAACGGATGGAGGTGGAAATGGGAAATGGGGGCGAGACGCTGTTTCCCAATCCCTGGGGTGCAGGAGAAAGCTTCCAGCTCCCAGCTCGCAGGCGATTCATGCAGGCAACTGTGTGACCCAAATTGAAAGATATCCATTTTGTCGGATATCTCGACGGCGATTTAATTATCTTAATTTGATTTTAAGTAGCGCCCCAGCGGGGAGTCAAAGTGATTCGTACCACATGGCGTATGAGCGATGTTGGCGATATGGTATGCTAATGCAAAACATATTACATATTTACTGACTTTTTGATGACTGTGTGTTGGGTTTAGCTAGGACTATGGGATCGATCAGTAGTTAGAAGAATAATAAAAATTAACTATGGTAGGTAAATATAAGTATATAAACTAATGACATGTTTTGATGTTGTAAAGCCCCACAGTGCCCCATGGTAGTTCTTCATGTTCCACATTTCCTGCTCGATGTCGATGCTTTGAATGTGCTGACTGCATTGAACGTCAACCTCAACCTGAAGATGAAATCACTTAATCAGTTTATGCAGCACAAATTGGCCGAGTAAAAGTGGGCTTGAGCTCGCTGGGGGGTATTGCTATTTGGCATTGCTTTTCGCACTCGCTTTGGCTGCGAACTAAATGCATTTGTTAGGCAAAATAATTTGATGCTTCTTTTCTACCAATACCGAGATATAATTAAATTTAAACGAGAAATATGATTTAAGTTCATAGTACAAACGAAGCTGTTACGAGTGTTCCCACAAATAGCAACTTAAAGAAAGCTAAGTAAAATCTTTATTTCATTTCTTTTAATTTTGAAGTTATTAGTTTATTAGAACATGTCCTTTAAGACATACATGCATATTTTTTTTCTTAATACTCATTTCTTACTCATTTTTATTCAGGTTTAAAAATGTGTTATATTTATCTATCTTCATCGCCTGTAGATAGAGTAGTTTTCTCTAGATTCGGATCCGTCAGAAGTACATTTTTATTTTGATTTATATTTAATTTGTTTTATTCTTTGGTAGGTTGAGGTTTATAGTGGGTTACGTTGGGGTCAGATCCGACAGGAGTGCCCATTAACCAAAAATATTTTATTTCTATTGTTTTAATTTTGAAGTTTTTCTAAATAGTATAAAGATTTGGTTTCGACAACAAAATCATTATTAAGGCTTTCTTGAACAAATCCTTTATATTTCTTTTGTTTTACCTTTCGACTTGAAAGATAATAACATAAATTTTAAAAGGCATATGATTGTTTAAAAAGGGACCAATAACTTCCTGTTCGGTGGTCTGGAGGGTGTGGCACTTCTTGAAAATAATTTTCGAGCTCCTATCTGTGCGGCGACCCCTGTTGACGAGTCCTTTATGGCCAGGGCGTTTTCACTTTCGGTTTCAAATTAAACGCCAATGCGCTTCACCAGCTCGCTCTCGCTCACTCTCTACGTATCGCTCTCTATTTCCCGACACGGACTCTGAGATACCCATACGCTTTGCTTTAAAGTGTGGCCCAGTGTCGGGCCCCACCATCTCCTCCTCCGGCAAGCCCTTGCCCTAGTCCCCATGTCCACGCCCATACTCCTGACCGTGACACAATTTCTATTGTCCAGCATCTGCAGCAGTAGCAGCAGTAACGACAGTAACAGGACGAGCTTCCTATGGGTGTGTACCTACGGGCTCGGTGACCTGCTCTATTTTATGGTTTTCGGGCCCCTATCCAGCTGGGGCCCAGAGATTTTCCTCGGCCCAAGCACGGGCAAACAGGTGCTGTGCTTTTGAAATTGGACACTTGTTGGCCTTGCGGGTATCAATTCACATTTGGCAATCTTTGTTGCCAATTATAAAAGGATTTATTAGGATTTTGCGATTTGATTTACGGCTCTATCCTAAGCATAACAGCGATACATACATATCCACCTATATCAGGCCCTTCGGTTATTTGAGCTCCTATTTGGCATGGTACTTGTCAAGTTACTTTGCTTAGGTATTAAATATGTACATTATAATAGGCTCTTGCAAGGGTATAAACATATCCATATGGGTCGTGTGTGTACAAGCCTTGTTGAACTTTTGCCTAACTTTCGCTTAGTCTGCAATTAGCATTTTGAATAACAAATTTATGCAAACTTATGTAAAAGTCGCTGTGTTTTTGGTTTCTCAGCTACGATGATTTTGGATATAATAATGCTAATAAGGGGTGTAAATTGTGAGATGGACTAATATAGAAGATTCCAGTTCTTAAATTTAATATATCAGTTAAGACATTTTAGATGAGCCCAATCCTCCCTCGAGCAGTTTTACTTTAATTATAGTTTTACCTAATAAATTTAATTAAATAAATGTTAACAATATCTTTATACGATTTACGTTAAAGCATTATTTTAAGAATAGAATATTTTATATTGGTTTTATACGTTATATAGACACAATATCGTTCAGAATTCAAAGGAAAATGTATACATACATATATGAAAAAAGCGGATATAGAAAATATTATAATTTATTAAATTTATTATATTTATTAAAGCAAACAAGACTTAACAAAGGAACATTTTGAGTCAATTAAATTTAAATTTTTCTTAAACTAAACACGTTTTACACAGATATTGCAAGATATTTTATAACCGAAATATATGTACATATATATATAATTGCTTTTTTCCCGCGAACTACCGATTGAAACCAAATAGGTGGTTAGTTTTATTCTGTGTGGAAAATACTAAAAATTACTTACATTTAATTATTACTTAAAATTCTAATTTGCTAATTTAAAAAACTGGTTCTCAATAAATCGGAACCAACAGCTATATCGATATATCGATACAATAGCAGTATTCCGCGTTGCCATTCGCCCGCTGATTAGTTGGCAACGCGGCACCGACTATCAGTTTTACGTTGACCGACTTTTACCCTCGTTATGTATCTCAAAAATGGTTACTTTTTGGCTTATTTTAAAATATTTAACTTTAGCTTTCCTAATATATATATTTTAAAATATAAAAGAAATATATAAGCCCGGTTTTAATGGTATTTTTGTAATATATTTTCAGATTCAGACTCGATACCTATCGATAATTCCACGGCCACACTGGTGGCGAGTGACATCTCTAGCTGAGCGTCTTCAGACAGAAAAAAACAACAAATATATGCATGTGCAATAAACCAAACATAAATAATAACATTTCGCCCAGAAGAGAGCCAGCGCTGTTAAAATGGCCAATGCAGCCTCCAACGTGCGCTGCATCAACTTTTACGACCTCTGCAGAGTCTGCACCGACAGCAGCGACCACAAGACGAATGTCTTCTCGCCCGAGGGACGCGCCAAGAATCTGAGCAGCAAGATCTCCGAGTGCCTCTCGCTGCAGGTGAGTGATGGGGAGAAGGCTTCGTTCCGGGCCAGAGAAAGCTTGCTAACACTTATACTTCGCAGATCGATGAGAAGGACCGCCTTCCCAAGGTGGTCTGCGCCCAGTGCGTGCAGCTGGTGGAGCAGATGCACAGCCTCCGGGCCACCTGCCGCAACTCCCAGACGATGCTTAGCAACTGCCTAAACATACGGCCCACGCCAAGCGGCGACAAGCTGTATATCCGGGATGCCGTCGACGAGTCTGGCAAGAGCCTTAGCGTGGTGCAGGCCCCGTCAACGGTCTCTGGTGGTGCCCAGCAGTCCAGCAATCTGCTGAGCAGCATCATGCAGGCGGTGGGCATGCAGCCGCAGCAGCAGTACACGATCACGGTGGACAATGGGATCCAGCAGCAGAATCTGCCGGAAGTGCAGGTCAAAAGCGAAAAACAGACGTGAGTTGGCCCCATCTCTTTGTCAATGATTCCTTTTACAGCAGCTCTTTTTTGTATACTTTTTAGGGTTTTGGAAGAGTTTATCCGGCTCAAGCCCGACATCAAGATAACGCCGCTGGGCAAGAAGGAAACCAACAGCAATGCCGCCAGGCCTCAGCCAGTAATCTCTCAGCCGCCGCCTCTCCAGCCGCAGTCAGTGACCACCGCCACAGTAAACACGCCACAAATCCAGTTGCAGACGCAGATAGGAGATCAACTCCAGCCTCTGTGGCAGCAGATCCAGCAGCTGCAACTGCAACAGCAGCTCCAGCAACTCACAAACCAGTTGCAGGCCACCACTCAGTTTACCGCCGCTGCAACGGAAGACTCGTCCAGTCCCAGCGATAGCAAGAAACCTAAGCTGAACTTCGTGCTGTCCGGCCCGACGGCGCCGCAGTTTACCACCTCTCTACCACAGTTCGGAACGAATCAGCCGCAAATTCAGCTGCAGCTGATGCCCGGCGGAGCAGGAGTAACGAGTACCAACACCGCGTCCACTCAGCCGCAGTTTAATGCCGCCGCATTGCTGTCCAGTTTGGCAGCTCCACAGTCGTCGGCTCCGAATATGATGTCGCCCAGCAAATGCTTTCTGCCCGTCACTATTCGTGACGAGAACTCGGACCAGCAGATCGTGGCTCATATAGACACCAAGAATTTGATGCTGCCCACCACCTACCAAGTGCAGATGAAGCTGCAGCCCCAGCTGGCCACCGCCGACGGACAGCCAATTATGCAGCTGACGCCCACCTCTATCCCGGCCACCTTGCAGCTAACGCCGCAGACGCTGAGCAGCAGTCAAGGAAACAGTTTTCAAGGAACCGCTACTTCTGTATCTCAAAGCCAATTTCTTGCGCCGCAGCCCCCTCAGCAGCAGCAGCAGCAACAACAACAGCAACTGGCTCCAGTCACAGCCCAGGTGACCTCCCAGCAAATCATCAGATCTCCGCAGACCAGCACCACCAGTCCCCAGCTGGTTATTAGGAATGTGACCACAATGCCAGCGACTCCCACTACACCAACCAACAGCAAGGAGGCGCCTGCCTTCAAGACACCTCCCAGGCAAAGGCAGTTGCCAGGGCAGAAGCCAAAAGCAATTCCTAGTCAGGGACCCTCACCAGTATCATCCCCGGCTACCAATCAGCCACCCATCAACGAGGTCAGGCGACTGGTGACTCCGCCAAAGCAGCAGCAGCCGCAGCCGCTGCCAGTTGTAAAGCAACCACAGACATCAACATCAGCATCCAACCCGGCAGCTTTGCAGCGACTCTCCGCGAACACAACCATTACGAAGGTGGCCGCTAAGCAGGCTGCCCCAGTGCCAGTCCAGGCTCCAACGCAAGCAGCCACCGCACCCGGAAAGCTGCCCTTGCTGAATAAGCAGAATATCACCATCAGTCGAATCTCTACGGTAACGGGGGCCAAGCAGCCAATGAAGCCACCAGCTCCAGCGCCTGGGCCTCAACCCATTCATGTAAATGTTCCCGCACTTAGCCAAGCGCCGCCTCCGCCGCTGGCATCCCAGCACAAAAAACCACCCGACCAGGTGCAGGAAACGCCGTCGCAGAAGGTGAAATCGGCGCGACCACCAGCACCGAAAATTCAACCTTTGTCCGGTCAAGATGAGCAAAACACTTCCGGAGATGCGAGCACGCCAACTGGCGGCTCCGCGCTCATCTGCCCCACTTGCAACCGCGAGTTCAAGAAGAAGGAGCACCTCACCCAGCACGTCAAGCTGCATGCGGGGCTGCGACCCTTCAAGTGCTCGGAAGATGGCTGCGACAAGGCCTTCAGTCGCAAGGAGCACCTGTCCCGACATTTGATCTCTCACTCCGGCCAGAAGATGTACACCTGCGAGGTGTGCAGGAAGCCCTTTTCGCGCAAGGACAACCTGAACAAGCACAAGCGGTAAGGAATTTTTTTAGACGTTTTTTAAGATCCCATAAGGAAGAGAAAACCATAGGTTATTAACAAACCATTACTCCGACAGGATTCACACTCAAACGGCCAATGAGACGTTTTATTGCTGCGATGTCTGCAATAAGAACTTTGCTACCAAGCTGCACTTTGAGAAACATAGGGAAATGCACAAAAAGCCGGGACCGGAAAATGCTACTCCCCCTGCGGCACCTGCTGCTCCCGCGCCCGCCCAAGTTCGTAGCAATGGCCAGGTGCCCAATAAAGTGAGTTTCTAATGCCACTTACAAAAACATTAGTTGACCAAGCTAACCATTCTTCGCCAGGCTCAATTTGAAGTTAAGCAGCGGCCTCTTCAGCAGCAGCAACAGCAACAGCAGCATCAGACGCAAGCGCAGCCACAGGCACAGCAAGCGCAGATTATGCATGTGGTTACCACCCAGGACCTGGCCGGGAATACCATAACGATAACCCAAGCACCCGACTCCAATATGCCCGCATCTTTGGCCAACTTTGTGCAGCTTGGCTTCCCGCAATTCCAGAATGCCAGCGCACCAGCCGCCAACCAGTTAGTATGTAAGCTCGCCAAGTAGACTCCCTCTCCAGCACCTCCAGTTTACCTCGTTTCCTAGTCCGCCGTCTACGTCTACTCCAGTTCCTTAATGCTTTTTAGTTAGTACTTGGTGTACTTTTACTTTTCCGTTGTGCAATATTATTTTAACTTAACTTATTTTAGTTTACTTTTGTGTCAGTGTAGTATGCTTTTATTGAGTGTGACCCGCAGTGCTATTTATTCCAGCTGTAATTTTAAGATAGGCTCCTAGAACGTGTGTGTTTCGAATCGTAAGACATTGTAAATATCTGTGTATGTATGAACGTATGTATAAGCTAAAGACAACCTTTTTTGGGTGAAATAAAATGAAGATTCCATTGTGAAAATAAATAGAATGTATAATTTATGGCAGATAGTGTGTATAGTATGAATTTTATTTGGACTGCACCGGAGCCTTCAGTTTTGTGCGGCGCTATAAAGCAGATGGCAGCTGGGCAGGCGGGCGTCCAGGCTGGCCCCAGTGTGTTTACGTGATTATTTTTGGTAAGACTCGCCCCACTGCTGAAAGTATGAATATCAGACGCTTTAATTTCCAATGGCCGACCGGATTCCTGAAATATTTCCGAAAGAGCTCGTAATTCTTACTCTCTAGCATGCGAACGAAGGAACGAAAAACAAATGCAAGCCCGTTTCCAGCCGGTTTTCCGTAACCGAACAATTTATTAGCATTAAAGTAAAACCAATTTCCCATGAATTTGTATGTTTACTCAATTAAATTGGCGATATTTAATACTTGGCGTGGTATGTGTGTGGGTGTTACATATAACTAGGCTCAAAAACTATGTGGGCGAAAATCAGCAAGCACAGACAATAAACGTGTATAATACATACAAATCTTTGGCCTAACAATTAACAAAGAACTACAAACTATAAACCAACAGAAAAAGCAACTCCAACTAAAGGCAATAAGCAATAGAAGAGGCTGCAGTGGAATCATAAGCCCAAGGTCGTAAGACAAGTGAGTGGTGTGGGTGGTGGCGACAAACGAGTGATCAAGAGTGACAAATACCATATTCCCTAACATTACAAATTATTTTAAAGCAAAATATGAAAATATACAACATATTTAAGGAAAGTAGTCGCAATCCTAATCCTTAATCAATGCATATTAATTATATCTAAAGTCTTCTAATACTATTCGAAATTCTTTAAAAAATACATGAAATCTGTATAAAAACATAGGAAACCCTTAAATCTTTAATCACAAATATCAGCTTATGCTGATGATATATCAACGTCATATCATTCTAAATAAATTACTTTAAAAAACAAAAAGTTAAAGAAAAAATTCCTAAGGAAATGTATCCACCTTCAAACGATTTTTTCAGCAATAAGCGAAAGGGTTTTAAGATCTTATTAGAATAAGGCAATTCAAACGGTGATGGAGAGAAAACAAGCCAACAAGCTAACTAAATGTAAATATGGGTGCGAAACAATCCAACAAACTAAGTTCAACGAACTACTCGGTGAGGGATTAGGATTAGGGTCGTGCAATGTTAGGACTAAAGGTGTGCCCCGCCACCGATCTCGTATCGAAGCGATCAGAGAATGGATTAAATAGGTGAAAATAAAGGGGCTACCTTGGGGATCGGGGTTGGGGGCTCTCTCCCTATCAGTTGTAGGCCAGGGAAAACTGGTTGACCTTCTGCACGTCTCCCCAAACCTGCACCGCCTGGATGTCGGAAAGGGAGAAGAGGGTCTCGTACTGGGTAATGAAATTGTGACCCGCCTCCCTGCCCTGGTAGACACGCATGGTGGAGTTATCGTAGTCGAAGGCGAACTCTAGGCAGAACGAGGACTCTGTGGATGAAAGTTGGAGCGCCTCATCAATCTCGTTCATAATGCTGGCAAAGCTCTGGGTCAGGTTTTGGGTCTTATTGCTAGCGCCTGTACCGTCGAAGATGTTCAGGTACTTCTCCTGGTGCAGGCTGCTCCACTCGCCGTTCCGTTTGTAGTTCTCGACGATCGTCTGCGTGGGAATTATCACCTTGAAGTGGTACGTGATGTTGTCCGTACAATCCGGACTGTTGACAAAGTTAACCGAGAATCTGTCGAGGAAGGGAGAGAAAAGCCATTATATTTAGCGATTCGCATTGTTTAAATCCCACCTAGGTGCTAATGACGTCGAAAAAGACTTGAGCCCTTCAAGTCCAAGCTCTGGGCTAACTTGTTAAAGAATCATTTATCAAGTCATCTCAGTTCGAGTGTCTTGTTAACTGTTCATACAATCTAATGGCTATCATTTAACGACTAAATTCACATATGAGAGGGGAAGCTAACAAAATTGTTTACCAATCAGAAGAGGTTTTTACAGAAATCTTTATTAAACAAATTTCTATCGAAGATTTTGTAGAAATATTTTTATATATTTCACAGTAAAAATCTAAAAATCTTTCTAAATAAAAAATAATAAATAGAAACTATTTTAAGATCCTAAGTTCATAAGATCCCTAGGATCACGTAATTCTAATTTCTAAAATTTAAAAGAAAACAAAAGCTATTCTGGGAAAACCTCCAATTTATTTTAATTCTCATTTGGATTCTCAGACGGTTTTAAGGAACCCGAAACTCGCCATTCATCACAGAGTCGTGTGTTAATGACGTAGTGATTTGCACGTTTGACCCTCCGCCTGACAACTGCTTAGTCATCATAATGGTTTCTATGGCACATGGCGGTTCGGTGAGTTTTTTTTTTTTGGAGACCGGGGCTCCCAGAAGTCGTGTGTGGGAGCTAAAACGTGCAAAGCATTCAAGGAATGGAATTTGGATAGGAATTTTTGACGTCCGCCCATTAGGGAATTCAGATTTCTGAGTAAAATATGTGTTAGTCACTCAGAATTTAAAGTTCCTGGGAAACTTGGAAGTGTATTATTTCCTTGTAGAAAATCTTATCTAAGTTTGAGACTTACAAGAATGCAGCGGACAGGAATGACCGCTTTTCATGACACATTTCAGTAGCAGCTATCAATAGTGTCTTATCGATCCAAACAAGAGATAACGAATCGAAGGTCTTGAATTCTGATATAGGAAGGTGGACAACAACAGAGAACCCGGATTCCCATCGTGATGTAACTGATTTGATTTATTGACATCATTTAACTATTCATAAGCTGATTAACGAACTTCCCACCCAAATTCGTCTTGTTCTTTCGTCGCTTTCATCTTTACCATTTGTTACGGCTACACTTATTGTTTTTTTCTTCGTTTGCCGGCATCTTCAGCGCGTGTCTGATTTAATTCGTCCGGTGATGTCATTGATGGTGGAATTGATACAGTAAAACCAGACAGCTCGAGTTTAACCCATATAAAGAAATTTTTTTTTTAAATGACTTACACAGGTTTTAAGTTCTTCATTTTAAAATTCTTAATTAATGGTTAAGCTATCTTTATGAGTTTTATTTTTTAACAATTTTAAAGTGTCTTGAGCATTTATTTATTTTCTTAAAAAATCGTAAAGAACTCGATCGTTTAGGTAGGATCAAATAAATTAGAAGCAAATAATTTCCTTACATTTTAACCATCTAATTAAGAAAATTTCTAGACAGCAAATATGGACATTTTGATATCTTGGGTTAATCAAGACATTTTGTGATAAATTCCTGTGTTTTGTACGTGTTAATGGCTGCTTTATTGTCTGCTATCATCGCCGCCTGCCTTATCGCCTTAATAGATCATAAACTCATAAATGGCATTTGGAATTTCTAAAAAAAGAACTGGGTACCAAAGCATAAATTATTCAAATTTCATAGCCCATTTGTATGTTTCATGTGTTAGCCATAAATCGTTTTCGAGCTCGTGAGAAGTGAATTCTAAATAAATCGGGTCACATACATACAACATTTTTTTAGGGCACTGAATTTCTGCACGCAAGGAACTAATGTTTAACTGGTGTCTAATCGATTTTCTTAAAGTTTTCTGGTAGGACTTACTGCTGTGGATTTTGGAGCAGGGTGCCGGTGACGGACATGCTGGTCACGCGGTCGGAGGCATTGGCATTGGTGGGCAGCAGGGCGAGGAACTTTACATCAGGCATCTTATTTGGTTTTATTTTTAGGCTGGTGCTGCTGGTGCTGGTGCTGCAGTGTAATTGCAAATTATATCCGGTGAACTGTTAACAGTGCTCGGGGACTTTGCTGTGGCAGTTGCCAACGGTTACGATAACTCTAATCAGCGGCGGCGGAGTAGTTAGCACTTGGCCGACTGGGGCAATACTGTTGGGGCTTGCACAAAGACGCGGCTATTTTAAGGGAGCGCGAAAGGGGATCTGGGAGCCACTAAGACGTCACGGGTAAAGTACGTTCGGGGGGTACATATTTGTTCAGCTTGTTCATTAAGACGCGTCGTTGCCCTGTCCGACCGCTATCGCGAGTGATTCAATACTGAGCAGGAGCACACTTCTGGGAGACGGGAGAGCCGACCCCACACCTGTTAGACAATTCATTACGAGCAGAGAATTTTGAGCATTTGTTTACGTACGCTCTTCGAGCCGTTTGACGAGAAACTTGAATTCGATAAGAGTCGCGCTCACTCTCACGTATCGAGTATCGATACCCAGCAGTAATCGACCGTTAGAAAGAAAAACTACATTTAATTCAAAATACAAAATGCATTTTACTACGATTAAATCAAGCCATTAACTGCCAGGGGATATTAATTTTTATTGCTGTAAAATATGTAATTTGTAATGTAGTCATATGTTCAGTTATAAAATTTTGAGTAAAATCCTTGTCACTTGACGGTCTTTATAATTTGTTGTGGAATCTGTCACTGTCATTGCTTGACTTATCAGCCAACTCCGCCTCAGTATCGACGTCGCCCTCGTATCCAGAGTTCGTTTTCGAGTTATTATGGGTCACATATCCTTCAAAGGTATTGTTCAGTTCGTCCGCACTTTGGGAGGCCTTGAAGCAGTTTGTGAAGTGGCGACAGGTGTCGACCAGCTTCTCTCCCTTATTAAAGGCCTCGATCTTCTCACGGAGATTACGCCTAGAACTGAGCTGACTGGCTTGTGGTTTTGCACTCAGCTGGCTGGCCTGAGTCTTGGGCTTCTCTAAAGTAGCAAGCAACTTCTCCAGCGACTCTCCGGCGCCTTTGAAGCTCACGATGCTTTCCCTTAGAATTTGACTCTCGTTTAGAGCCTCAAACTCTGCCAGAAGGGCTCTAGTTTCGGCCAGATCCGTGGACAAAGCGATCTCCGGCGCTGTGGTACTCTCCGTTATATTCGACCCATTCACAGCCTCAAATCCCATGATCAGGCGTCGGATCTTGGTGGCCGGTATCTGGGAACCGGACTTCGTAAGCAGCACGCCGCTTATATCGCCCACCTCCTTGAGCAGCTTCGACGATGACTGGACGGCTTCCTGGTTTTGCTGAACCGCCCAACGCAGGCGATCGCGTAGGTTCCGGAGATAAGAGCTGAGCCGACGACTTTGCTCTTTCTCATCGACCCCTTCAAGAAATACTAAGGGGAAATGAAATAAATTAAATTTTAAATAAATAAATAAAATAATTGAGAATTATTAAGCACATTCCTAACCAAAGAAGAGTCACAAATTACTCCTCTAAAAGCTTACCAGGAAGATCCCCCTCGCTCTTCGTTTTGCTATGATATTCAGACATTGTGATTTAGAAAATTTTTGAACAACCAAATTAGTTAAAATTAGATGTGAACTTAAAAATTTTATAAATTTCAATGAACCTTTCAAAAATGACGTTTTATATGCCAAGGTTACTGAGTTACAATATATAGAAACTAGATCTCAATTTTATTATATACATTTTATTACAATTTTAGTATATAAAAAAAAGTATATAGTACAAATATTCTTGATCAGCATCTACAGCCGAATCGATCTAGCCATGTCCGCCATGTCTGTCTGTTAAATCTGCATACAAGTTTTTTAAATAAAAATATACGTAAATTTTTTAAAATTTTAAAATTTTTTAATTTGGATTAAATTAAAAATTTGCTTAATTTTTTATTAATAAATAATTCGAATATTTATGGCTATCTTTGGCTTTCTTTTTGGCTTTTTTATAGCTAGTTATACTCTAGATTTTTAGCTAGCACCCAAATTGTTGTCATTTTCAACGAGTTGGCAGCCCCGCTTCGAACGCTAACAAATTACACGAAATCAAATTCGTTGCAGTCGTTTTATAAATTAAAGACAGAACCAGCACAGTTGAAAGACAGCAACATGAGGACTTCGCATTTGGTGGTCGTGGTCTGCTTCCTGGCGGGACTGGCGCAAACGTCCTTCGCCCTGAAAGAGGAGGACTGCGAGGGTATGTGATGAACGATGGCCACGTAAGTGGTAAAGGTGTTCTGGACTGATTTTCACCGGCCTTCCGCCGATTTACAGTGTGTGTCAAGACGGTGCGGCGGTTCTCGGACTCGCTGGACGATGCCACCAAGAAGGACTACAAGCAGATTGAGTCGGCCTTCAAGAAGTACTGCAAGGCGCAGAAGAACAAGGAGCACAGATTCGTGAGTAGCCGGCAAACAAGTGCCCCTTCCCCGCTCTTCATTCCGCAGAGCTAATGTTCCACGTATGCTGTGCGTTCTTCCACGTAGTGCTATTATCTCGGTGGTCTGGAGGAATCCGCCACTGGCATCTTGAACGAACTGAGCAAGCCCCTGAGCTGGTCCATGCCGGCGGAGAAGATCTGTGAGAAGCTGAAGAAGAAGGATGCGCAAATTTGTGACCTGCGCTATGGTAAGTATAACAAAAGTCCCGGAAATGATGGAAAGAAACTAGGTAGTCGTAGCTCAGCTTGGCTGAAATGAAGTTTTGTTCCAAAATTTGCAATCTCCCTTCGAAGAAATGACCGGATTTTGCTAAGAAACACGTGCGAGAAGCCGGATCTTGCTGTACATTTAAAGACAGAAATTATTCATTTAACATATTGTTCAAGACACTAAGCCAAGGATGCCAAAGCTAAATCTATCTGCTTTCCATTTTAATTTCGAACATTTTATTTTGATATCTAAAGAAAACAACCTCTATAAATCTTTTCTCCTTAACCTTTTACTCTCTAAACAAACTTATACTCACAAAATATTTCTATTCGCAGAGAAACAGATCGATCTGAACAACGTGGACCTGAAGAAACTGAAGGTCCGGGACCTGAAGAAGATACTCAACGACTGGGACGAGAGCTGTGACGGTTGCCTGGAGAAGGGCGACTTCATCAAGCGCATCGAGGAGCTGAAGCCCAAGTATGCGCACAGCGAGCTGTAGAGCTCGGTTTAGAGCTAGTTACTTGTGTAGTTACAATGAAACACGCCCACTTAGCAAAAAACAACAACAACAAACAACAACCACATGAAACGCCCCCACTACTACACACCCATATTTTTAGTTAATTTACAATTTTGATAGACTTTGAGAGAATTGAATATAACTATATATATACCTAAAGATAACTATATATTTTGAAATAAAAAACCACAACAAACACACAAGACCTCGTGCTCTCAAACGGTTGATAAATAAACAAGAAGTTTGTTTTTATTTTTCACGTGTTAATCTTTCTTTTTTTTCGGTTTCCAATCTCCTCCTCCATTCACAATTACAGTTATTGACGTACAAATTACAAACAGAAATTCAAAAAAATATCTGGATTAAAGTTTTATTTAAATGTTAAATACATTATTCCATTGCACTTACTGCCGCGGGCCGCGTAAATTCGATGTGAGCGAAGGACTGGCTTCTCTCTGGCCTCAATTAATTAAATTACAATTATTAGTTAGACGTAGTCACTAAATACGAACATAAGCAGCTAAGAAGATGAGGGTGTTGTGGGTATGAGGGTCTGCTTCTAGAATGCAAATGGTGGTGAAAAATGCTGATCCTTTGGATCCGCCGATCGTTATCTTTAGCGGCGGTACGGCTGCTTGTTGTACCGACCGCGCTCGTTCTCCTCGGACAGGTTGGCGTACTCGCTGTACACCACGCACCAGCAGTAAGTAAGGATTGCTGTAAGAGGAAATTAAAATGGTTAAATCAAGCTGATCAAGATTTCATAAGCTTAAAGGTTTTAAAATAAAGTAGTGGTATAGTTTACAGATGGCCAAAAATAGTTCTTCTTAGTACAATTCCACGAGTTTCGGTATTCCATCTTTAATCAATGCTATTTTAAAAGGAAACCCATTAACTTTTCCCCTATTTGATGACAATATTTGCAATATGCTTCCTGAATTTCTAAAATGTTGAAAAGGCTTTCTAGATGCATTGGAAAACTTTAGTATGTGCCCCTACACTTAAGGAATAATTAAACATAAAACTAGTCGCTTTATATCCCTTAATTCTTGTCACATTTTGAGGTCCATTAAAACAGCTTATTAATGGCCTGGTTTCTCCTCCTCCCCATTACTTTAATCCGCGGCACTTGGCAGTTGTACAAATGGCATATGCCAGCCACTTCGCGCCTCGTTTGTCAGTTCCACTGCCGCCAACCCAACCCCTTGGCATCCCGATCCCCACCAAGTTATGGCCTCGGGCGCCGGCTCCTCGGCTTTCAGCGCACGGGCAATCAACGCATGATAAATGCGTCAATAAAGTAAAAACGGCGCGCATAAACCGCCATCCGGTGCTAAAAACCGCACACAGAGCCACCGCTCCGCCCCCAAATTGGTTCTCTGCTGGAGGAGTGGTGTACTTACCGCAACAAAGTAATCCGAAGATCAGCCAGAGGACGCCCGTCAGCACATAGCCATCGATGAAGAAGACGACGCCCGTGTAGATGACGGAGATCAGCAGGCCGATCGCAATCATAATTCCCAGCACCACCCAAGGCACCATGAGATAGTGGTTGCGCTGCAAGGAGACTTGAATTAGTAGTGCCCGAAATGGGTACTTCGTGGTAACTTACCTTGAGGACACCGGCAATCATGAGCAGTGATATCAGGATGGTCATGCACAGATTGATGACGAGTATTATCTTTACAATGTCATTGGGAATAAAATCAAAGACGATCGTCTTGAAATGCACTCGCGTCGTGAAGATCACAATGATGGTGATGATCGACAGGATGATGGCCAGGACACCGGAAATGACGGAGCCATTCCGGGTGGACTGGCACAGGCAGCAGGAGTTGAGCAGGGGCTTAGGCATTTTTGCTGGTTTTTTGTGTGTTACAAACTGGAAATTAAGAGAAAACAAAAGGCTGTTATTAATATTTACAGAGAAATTGATTGTTTACATATTTGTCACTGGCACTCAATGGACTGGGATTCTTTCATAACATTCAACATTTTCATTTGTCATGATTTTATTTTGGAACATTGGTCAATGATTTGTTGTGCATTCTTCAATGACACCAGAGTTCCTTGAACCAATTCGTCATGTGTATGTTCCCTCTGATAGTGTGTTCTTCCGTTGTTTGTGGTTAACCAAGGCTGGCGGCCAGTACATTCCGCTTGTTTTGTACAGGAACCGGGGAGAAATATTTATGGCATTTCTGTTTCCCCACCTTGACCGCCTTGGCAATTGCAGACGCAAAGATACAGATAAACAAGCCGAAAAACAAGATCCCATATTTCGGCCAGTTGTTGTGACGTCAAGCGTCGCTTCAAACGAATAAAAATGTTTATAAAGCAAATGTGCTGCTAAAATAGAGAGAGGGCTGAAACAATAGGCAGAGAGCGTGGAATATTGGCAAGAACGTAAGATTTATATTTAGCGAAGCTTTAAAATAAATCAACGGATCGAATGAGTAATCAGCGACATTTGGCCGACAAGGAAGTGAGCTAGGAAAAGGCAGTAAACGCCGCCGATTTGGAAAAGTTGATCTCACCCGCCTGCACACGTATCCATGGATCTATGCATCTATGGGGCGGCACCCCACTAAAAAGCGCCACCGGGCATTGTCATTAAATTAATCAAACGCTCAACGTGCTCCGTCGGATTGATGTGGCGCATGTTGGCACTTGCAAATGCCGCTGCAGCTGGCTTGCATCTATCTATTGGATGCAGGGGGCATGTAGCTGCATATTCATGAGATGCAAGATACAAGTACATGTGGCTCGCGGCGGGCCTCAAGCCTGATGAGATAATCACACGCCAAAGTGTCTTGTCTTACATGGAAACACTTTGAGTGATTATCCAACGACTAAGCGGAATGTCTGGGAAATGCGCTTATACCTAAAGTTCAGCCATCAGATAAGGGCTAAGGTGAAGAGCCTATCACTGAAAACTAAAGTTAAAAAAGCTATGTAAAAATTTTATTCCTTAATTGGAATCTATTCAAAAGTAAAAGTAATCTTTCAGTGCAAAACCTGTAGGATATTTAAATGTACAGTTTAAAGACCCTAATTGGTAGGAATTTAACACTCCCTATTCTTTCAGTGTATCCGTATTTAAAGCACATTTCCGCTGAGTTCACACCTAGAGCAAAAGCAAACTACAAAACAAAACAAGCGAAAAGATGCAAAGAATCTGAATCTGAGCAACTGAGAGTAGCAGCAACCGAAATGCTAAACAAATTACGCAATTATCGAGAGGGGCGAGCGGGCCAGGTTAATGCCCAAAGATCACATCACATTCTACTCCGGCCAGACTTTTTATAGTTTCGTCACAAGCTGGCGGCGATGATAAACCGGACATATGGCGCATTAACTTGCCGTTTCCACGCGATTCGCACGCGTTTTCTCAACCGATCTCTAAATGGTGCCCACAGACTCCACTAGTATTTGTCTGGCTTCCATTAAGGAGCCATTCTTGGGTTACATTCTGCAGTTATGCGATAGGCTTTGGCCTGGTTATCTGAGTATGTGGAGTGGAGGCCCCCACTCACAATTGGGGTCAGAGGAGACTGCGCAATATCAGGAGAGCGAGTGGGGATAGGCTCTCGAGATTCGATACGATCCCATCCGCCCACGCAGATGTTCCCTGGCCCGCTCCAAGTTCACACACTAATGGCGTTAATGCTCGCATGAACTCATCTAATGCTGACGTTGACTTCCGCTCGCCACACACAGACTGAAATTACTACAAAGTATTTATATATGTGTGTAAATATGGTACATAGGCGTAATCCCTGGCTTACGGAGTCAAGTTCAATCCGAGGCGTGGGCGACTCTTCCGAGGAATTTGTGCCGCCACTTGACGTGGGCTTTGGCTTCGAAGCTGGAAAGTGCTCGAGACTTGACAAGTGCAACTGGACGCAGTCGCAGTTGTCATTGCACTCCGTCCAGTCAGTGCTGGTAGGCTGATTGAGGTGATGTGGGCGTAGGAGTTGAGTTGTCGGATGCCGGTGAATGTGAAAGGTAAACTTGGTCAGCAAACAAAGGCAGGAGGACAGGGAAAGCGGAGAGAATGATTGAAGAGTGCATCCGAATGAATTTAGTCTCGACTTTCCCGAAAATGAAACCGGCAAACCAACATATTTGTGCTAAGATTGTTTATGGAATTAGTCAATACTTTTTGTTTATTTTGTATAGAAAGCGTTTCTGGAAGTCCAAAATATTTCACAATCACAGTTAAGGACTGTTCTTTTCCCTATTTTAACATGATTTTCAGAAACAATATCATGGCATCGAATAAAAATCGATCATAACTAAGCCGAAAAAGCATTGATTTCACTTCGGATAGCTTTTTTATACTGGTTTTTTCTCAGCTTAATAGTCTGCATACTAAATTTAATTTTTTTAGAAATCAAAATATTTGTACATTTTTGACAATTTTAACGATGTAACCCCTTATCAAATTTTGAAAAAATTAAAAAAAAAAATGTATTTGTTACTGACATGGCTTGGTAGACGCGTCTGTTAATGGTGATCAAGAATATATATGATATATAGGGTCGGAAATGATTTCTTCACTACTTTCCAAGCTTCTGACTGAAATTAGAATACCCTGGGTATTACCAAGGGTATAAGAAAGTTGACAAAGAAAACCAATTTGCTTGAAAGATAAGAAAGTAGGCAATGTTTCTCTAAGAATGATATGGAAACGATAAAAAGCCCATATTAACTTGATCTATTTAAGGAATTATCAACACGGAAAAGTGGTAGATGATTGAAGATTGTAGTTCTGTTCTGTTATAGAAAAATATTCATTAATATAAACTTTGTTGTAAAAGATAGTATTTTGAAGCCAACCTATAATGTAGAATAGTTTATTTCCCGTTCATTAAGCTAAAACAGCGATTAAACTGCAATAAAATGTAAATTTCAATAACATGGGCTTACACATTTATCGCAAGCCATTAATCAACCATCTGACCCATTTGTCTGGGCAAGCGAAGTGAAAATATCGCTCATATAAATCATGTCAACGGCTATTGGCTTTATGTTATGCTCGTGGAAAATTGGAAAATTGGTTCAATCAACGAGCGAAACCTGGCGCTGGCCGGGAATTGTAATTTTCGTGTGCAGTGAGCGCGTGTCCAGCTTTTGTATCTTTCAGATACGCGAACGTTATTGTTTCGGCATTTATCTGCCGCGGGCGGAGCCAAAGCCAATTATTCGCGGCTTTATTGCTATCCAAACTTCAGTGACCCCTGCCACTGCCGACAATTAGTTTGCGCTTCAACGCGTAATTAAGTTTGACATTTTTCTGCGCCACTTTTTGCGCCAGCCACAAAAGATACAGGCGTTCTGTGTGGCTGTGTATCTGCGATTGAGCCGCGATGTGGCTGAAAATTGCTCAATCGACGACAGAAAGTGGGAGCTCGCTTGAGCTGGCCGGGTCGGTCGGGTTTGGGTTTTGTTTTGGGCCCCCTTTCAAACCGGTCAAAATCGTTCTACCAAAATTGACAAGTCTGAAGCACGCGGCATTTTTGGTTTTTATTTATTTCTCCGATCTCTCCGCCATCCCAAGCAAGCTGTTCCACTCGAGACGCCAGATACGCTCGCTTTGTCTTCGATTTTTGTCAAATTGCCGCTTTCAATCACTGGACCTGCCATATTGCTTGTACATTTACCAAATCAATTAAGCCCGCTGCTGCTGCAGCTGCAAACTCAATTGCAGTCGCCTTTGAAGTGGCGATTGCCGACGACTTTGCTGTTTAAGATTTTGCAATTACTCGCACCAGAGCGGCGCCTTTTAGTGCTGCGGCACGCATCCGTCAGATACATTTCGATCTGGCTCTGCGTTCTGTCAACGCTTCTGCTCCTCTCAGGGTCAGGGTGGCGGCGGTGGTGACATTGAACGCGTTCAACAAGTCAACTCTCGAGGATTTTCGGTTTTACGGCTTTCGATTTCCCCGCCAAGCGAAAGTCAACTCATAAAGAGATAGCCCATCAAAATGATTCATTTGTGGGGCCAGAGAATAGAAAACGAAATACACGAATCGCTTATAAATAGCCCGCAAGGTCGCGGGCATTCAGCTGGGAGATCTAGAAGTCTAGAAAGCACAACATAGCCACCTCAGAATCAGAGCGTTTGCTGTGGAAATATTCCGGCAGCGGCTACTATCCGAACACAGCGCCAGCTGGGGTCAGTTGGGTTTCTACACGTGAAAAAAATAATCAAAGCACAAGGGAAAGGCGTCATTAGTCCCAAGGGTTTTCGATTAAAGTCCCAGTGTATGCCCCTGAGAGACCTTTGAATTTCAGTTTTACTGACATTTCTAATCAGTAATAAAAACTCTAAAAACAATACCACAACATCGTTAAACTTGTGGTTTGTTTTAAATATATTTTTAATAAATAATATAATCAAGGCACAAGGAGAGACGTCTTTGGTCCCAAGGGGTTTATATTTAAATGTCACGGTATCATTAAAGCTTCTTATTCGTTTTAAAATATAATACTCCCAATAAATAATATTCGATAGGGATTCTTGGAACATGGCCATGACATCATGTTTTGCTTGGCTGCCAACAGTTCTAGATTCAATTGAAACGTCATCAAATCCATCATCACTTAATATACATTTTTGTGTGTATTATAACCCACTATTTTCGGCACCTGTTGGCCAGCTTTTTGGCGCCACTGTGCCTTCATCTAGCGTAGGTGTGCAAACGCCTTCGTTTATTCAGCCAGAATGTGTTTTGTGTGCCAGGTTTTTTCTGCTGTTGCTTTTGCCTTTGTCATATATATTTTGTGGCGTTTTATCTGTTGCCTTGTAAATTGAGTAACCTTCACATTGTTCTTGCTCCTATCTGCCTTGTTGATTTTCCAAAAAAGCTTCTTAAATGGATGCGCGTCACTGAACTCTGCCGATCGGAGGGGATCTCGGATCTTCAGCGGTATCACTTCCCCTCTTCATTAATTATGCTCCGCCGCGTTGGGTTGTGGGAGTGTCCACTTTAAATTCCGCAAGTGACGCTTCGATTTAAGCTTGAATGTGATTTTTATGGATCGCAGCTGAGGGGAATAGCCAAAATGTGGCCCAATTGAAACGGATACGTTGATGACGACCTTCTTAACCTGTTCAACTTGGGATCTCCCGAATAGGGGAGGATGCAATCAGGTTGTTGGCGGGGATCGCCTCGAGACGATCAATGCCGTTTGGCTACTGCTGACATCACCCGGCGATGCATCGACTATATAGAGCGCAACAGTCAAAGCAAATAAACAATATTGTTTTTGGTTTCTGCCATATTTTCCCACCCAATTGGGTCAGGCGATCAGTGATCAGAAATGAAAACAAACAGTGGCGTTATGTTTCCCATTCCCATATTCATATGCTGCGGTTTATCGACTCCCCGGCGCATTTGCAGGCGCTCAGAAAAACGACCGCCGTCTCGGACTCGCATTGAAGTTCAGCGGCGATCATTTGAATATTGAAATTGCCGCCGCGACAGCTAAATGAAATTGAATATATTTTGTATAAATAAGAGGCGGCGGCGAAGGCGAAGGCGCACACACAACCGCAAGGCAGACGAGCAGTCGCGCCTCAAGCCGGGACTGGCTGTAGATAGGTCTCTGGCTACCGACTGCTGACTACCGACTGGCTACTGGTGGCTATCCCCTCCTCCTCCTCCACCTCTGCCCAGGCCCAGCAGCGCCGGCGATCACACATATGCATATCCACCTCCGCGGCATGCTGCTCGCCTGTTATTTCGATTCCGAGGCGATCGTTTATCACTCGATTTGCATGCGCCGGCAGCAATCAGATCGATTGATCCGCTGGCGATCCGCCCAATCGACTGCACTTTTCCGCTGATAATGTCAGTCACTTGGCAGGCGGCCAGAATCACTTACACTTTCCACTTATTTCTTCCTATCCACCGCTGCAGGGTTCCGCTAAGGAGACCGCCTCGCTTCGAATTGGCCTCGCAATTAATTAGTGTTTGATATTTCGCCTTTGCCTCGGTTTGGACGCGATTTCATTCACTCGACTTGCGCGCGATTCCGTGTGTATGCGGCGGGTTTCACGATGCGACTGAAACCGCGCGCGCTGCCAGTGAGCGAAGCGGTCCAACTCGCGGTCGCGATTCTGCTCTCAGCCACGAGCGTCTTGCTCTGGCGATCTGCGGTGCTCCTCGTTGTTGTTCTTCTGATGACTGGGAAGAGTTCTACGAAGGCGAACCTAAACGCTGCTTTTAGTAAAGACAGCTTTTAGCGGGGGGGCCAGAGCTTTCTCCGACGCGGGGGAAACCAGTTAGTCGATTGCCTTCTCTGCTGTTCCGGCATGGAGTTATCAAACGCTTGGTCAAACAATGGCTACAACGCTTTGCACTAGCCTAGCCAAACAAATCATTAGACGGGCTCCATGCCACTCGGATCGTTCTCATTACCTGGGCCCGACATCCGCATCTCCCGGGTTGGAGCAGCTTGAGATGCGGGCCTTAGATATGTCGACACGCTATGGCCCCGTCTGCCATTTTTGGCCAGTGTCTCGGACCGCTGCACTGGTGGAAAATGTCATCATATAAGTCATATAAAATATATGTATTAAATGAGGATAAAGGGGGTTTCTACAACTCACTCAAAGCAAGCAAACTTTCGATTGAAAACGATGAAAAGTGAATGACAAACAAATTAAATGTTATTTAAAAATAATTCGTTAAAATCATTAACGTATTACAGCAGAAGAATATAATAAAATTAACGGAAGCTGAGCTATATTTGAAGGTTTATATTCAAAGTTTCATAATTAGAGCTTGGACAAATAGATAATGTATTCTTAATTTACAGAATCATAGAATTTTATTATACATACATTTTTCTCTCTGTGTGCCTGCCGGCCGTTAGTTGCCAAGTTTTTGGCCATCTCGTCTGAAAATGGTAAATGCTAGCATTCGACTTATTGGCAACTAGGCGAGAGTTTTGTGGGCCAGTCCATGGCGTGCAGCTAGCTACTTTCATATTTATCAAATCTGGCCGCAGTAACCTCTGTTTGCTTTGGCATTTCTATTTCCTGGCTCCCATTGTATGCAAATTTCCCCATCGAACCGATTGCATTATTTAGTTGGCCAAGGCAATCCCAAAAGAAACGGGTCAGCGGGCTTTCTTCTCCTATTAATACTCCAAGTCGTGCGATTTTGGGGTCTATATATTTAACAATCTTCAACTATAGTTATGGGGTTGCTCTGGGGTGTGCGCATCTGTGCAGTATCAATCTTTGAATCTCTCTCTGGCGCCCTCACCATCTCTCGATTCCCCCAGTCCCAGTCCGCAGCAGGCTAAAGGGTGGGGTTAGTGGGATTCAGTAAGGTGCGGCACCCAATGTGACTGGATTGTGTGCCATAATCTATATATATATTTTCGTTAATTAACACAATAATACATAATATTTAGCAAGGCAACGCGGCAACTACTGCATCTGACTGTCTGGCGGCTGCATATTATGTTTTATTTGAAAATTTATATATATATTACAGTAAATAATTTAGTCAGGTAGGTGGAGAAATAAGAGTTCTTAATGGGGGTTCCAGCAGCAATCGATGAACGAACGAAACCCGAAACAAAACTGAAATCAAAGTCCTTGCCGGGCTGGCCTACCGCTGCCATGGCGCGTGCTGTACAGCCCGGTAATATCTCTATGCGTAGTTGTAGCGTTGAAATGTATACAATTCTCGTCGTGTTGTGTGCTGCTCATGTACAATTAACCACGTGGTCGTCCTGGGGCGCCGCTCCGGTCCCGGCTCGCGAGTGACTAAATCCCTAACAACTGAGTGCTGCCGGTGACCTTCTGCCGGCAACCCCAGCAGTGCCAGCTTCCCGGCGTCACTATTTACTGGTCCCGGCAGCGGCGGCGGCGGCGTCCTCCTTCTTCTTCTGCTTTTCACGCATCATCTCGGCATCCCTGTGAGAGGCAGAAGTGTAAAGTTCTAGACTTATAGAAGGTGTGGAAAAACTACTCACCTGGCCTTTCGCTGCTCCACGGTGAGGTTGTCGGTGCGCTTGCCCTTGTTGGAATCGGCCAGCTTCTTCTGGGCCTTTGCGCGGGCCAGGTCACGTTGATTGCCGCCTGCGGAGTTAAGCGGGGATCTGCAGTTAATACGTGTCACTAAGCCAAGTGGCGCGTGCTAAGTGACCTAACCGAGCCCCGAAGAGGTTAGAAGCTCTTGGCAGTCGGCCCCGCGTGTCCCAGGACGCCCCATCGATTTTGCCCGTCTGTCGGCGGTGCATCCCAAGGAATACCCTGGGCGCGGACACCCCACAAATCCGTTTTACCCCAAAGGCTCCATCATCTCGGAGAGGAAAAGCGGAGGAACCCGTTCCCCCACGAGCACGCCAATGCATTTTCCACGCGTGGGCCCAGTAAAAGGCCCCGAGATGCGTTCACTTACGTGTCATTTTCTGCGCCGTTCTATGTAGGAGAGGTAGTAGCAGCAATTTCACTTTAATTTTGTACTGCGACGTGAGAATTTCAGCTTTATCTGTGAAATTTATCTGTGAAATTTGTTTAGTTTTCGTGTATTACGATTAGTGTGGCCAGATGTAAATTTGAATTTCCTCTTAAAAAATCTCAAAACTCGAGAAACTGCACATTTTTGCCGCTTCTGGGCACACTAAACGCGAAAACCCTCAGAACGCCCGGTCTGGCAACGCTGCTGCATCAAGCAGTGCACCTACATTTTCCTTTAAAACGGCAGCTGGTCCCACTTAAACATTTGATTGTGGAAAATCGTTATTTAAAAAAAAAACTACAATTCAGATTTGAATACTGTATTAAGTTTTCTTTACGCAATTCATATATAGTGTAGTTATAGCTATATTGAAGATTGAAAATACAATTGGATTTGAATACTCCAAATATTTGGTGGCAGGATGCTATACCTGTCTTTTGTTATTATTATTGGACTGGCCGTACCGAGCTTGCAGATCATCAAAGATGGCCACACACGTGAAATCGTCGTATTCTTGTCTTAAAACCCATATTTCCACAGTGCTCAGGATCACAAACTTACTATGGGCGCACTGGGGGTTAAGAAAAGGGAAATATAAATAGATACACGTGTATGATTAGCGGTTCCTTTTACCTCTTTGGGGCGCTCTCTGTTCCACAATCCCAACGCCTTCAGGTAGTTCTTGACCAGCATGCGCCATATCCAATATGTGTGCGTATCGCCAAGCTTTGGAATCGGCGGAATGATAATATTGGGCGAAGCCTGGGCTGGCTTGGACTCGCTAATGGAGTCTCCCATTCTTCTGTTCCAAAAATATCTAAAAAAATTTTGGAAAAACCGAACAATAAAATCTAGAATCATATAGGTATGAATAACATTTTTGTACTAATTCTGAAGCTAATTTCCAGGAGTACTTGCTCCTATTTTAGAAACCACATTCAATATTCAGGGTATCCCTTTTTAAGCCGCAAAACCATTCAAAGAAAATTCGCATTTCACAAGGATACTTGCATAGTTTTAATTATTACTCTGCGGAATATACAATAACATTAACACTTAAATGCGTGGAAGATGCTTCTCTCCGGGGCTTCTCAGCGGCGGCTAATACTAGGGCTAGGAGCTGATGCGAATGCGGATAATGGATGCGTCTAATGGGCGATGGGACGGAGGAAGGACGGCAGGGACTACCTGCGCAGGCAGGGCTCGCAGCTGCCCGGCTGGACGAACGAGGGATGGCACTCCGGGCACTTGGGGTTCTCGCCGAACCACTTGACGCGTTGCTCGGGGATTTTCAGCTGGAACGAGTTGTACAGGTCCCCGCTGTTGGAGCCAGTGAAGCCGGCTCCTGGCCCCGCGGCAGCTCCCGGGCCGTAGCCCGTGCGGCCGATGGTCTCCAGGGGGAAGGCGTACTCCGGGATGAGGAGCTGCTTTCGCAGGTGGCCGATGTCTGTGGAGCTGGCCACAACGTCTGAGCGGCGCTGCGCCTGCTCTGTCTGCTGCTCCTCGGCCTTCGCCTTGATGGATCGCGAGATGGGCAGCCGGCGGCTGGTGCTCGATTGCTGGGTCAGAACAGGAATCTGCGCCGGTTTCTTTTGGGAAATGGGAATGTCGTTAAGCCGGGTGTTAAATATCTCTGCCTTGCTGGAGACTCCGTAGTCACCGGTGGTCTCGGGGTACTCGCGTCCATCCACACCGATGGGCGGATCTAGCTTCGGCGGCTCGAGGCCGTTCGAGGGCACCTTCCACTCGTAGTAGATGGGCGGACCCTGTGTGGTGGCTATGTCGTGGGGCACAAAGTCCACGAAGGGCGGCAGTAGGTCGTTGAACGGCAGCTGTGCAGGCTGCACTGGCGAAGGCGTCGTGCTGGTGGGCGTGGCCAGGCGGAAGCTCTGAGCCGGAGCCGGTGTCCGGTTGTCACTGCGAGGTGGAATGGCCACCGTGCTCGTCGTGGTCGGTGGCGTGGCGAATGAGAATGGTTGGCCTGCCAAGGTTGTCGGTCTACTCAAAGGTCGTGTCGTAGTGGTGCTGCCCTCCGCCCGGCTGGGAACCGCACTGAACGGGGCTGCGGTGGAGGTGCGCAGCGTGGAGGAGGATACGACGCCACTCGGCTGCGCTTCCTCCAGGTTGTAGATGGGGTACACGAAGGGCGGCTCGTAGATCTTCGAGGGCGGCTTAACAAACTTATTCAGTTTGGTGCTGGTGAGCTTGGTGTTACGGAATGGCGCCTCCGCTGAATTGAAGTCCGCCGAGGTGTTGTACCGCGTGCTGTGGCTGGTTCCCAGATCGTCCGCATCGTGATCCGCCGCCTGGAAGCTAGGACGACGCGTGAGCAGAGCCTCTGTGCGCCTGGTGGCCACCACTATAGGTCTCCTAGTTGTGGTTGTTGTAGTAGTAGTAGTGGTGGCCCTGGTGGATGTGGTTGCTCGAGTGGTGGTGCTAATCCTGGGCTTGGCCGTGCTGCTGGCCAGCTCGATCTGCGGCTCGTAGGCCGGTGGCAGGATAGTCCTGCTGGGTGGTGGGATGCGCCAGCGCGTCTGGGACAACTGGGGATCTAGTTTGCCGAAACCAACGCCCTTGATGGATTCGTCACGTATCTGGTTCTGATTTGGCGTCAGTTGCTGTGGGCAAAGGAAGTGTAGGAATAGTTTTTGAATGGATTTATAATTTGAGCCAAGTTTGCAAGTAGACATTATATAATCTTGATCAGCACGTTAAAACAATGGTTTTTTGTACCCACCTTGTATTGGCTCCTGAAGGACTCGCCAGAGTAGTCGGGTGCGTAAGGGCGATCCAGGAGGTCGGGTCTCGGTGTCCGCAAGCTGTTCTCCTCATCGTTCACAAAGGGCTTGTCCCGCTGGCCTATAAAATCCTTTTAAGTATCCTGGCTTATAAGATGAGAAATTAAAACCCACCAATGAGGAGATTAGCCGCGTAGTTGCTTTCCGCCTTGGAGCAGTTCACCATGTACCAGTGATCGCAGATGAGCATCCGCTGCTGGAAGAGCGTCGTGTTCGGGCACGTGTAGCTGAACTGCCGTCCGAGGCCGTCGCACATGTGGTACACCTGGCAGCCCGTCTCCACGTCCGCGTAGTAGCCGGCAGGACGACCGGCGCAGGAGAACGATGTCTTTTGCATAAGGTGAGAGGCGGGATCCGCCGTCTGGATGGCATTTTGGGCCTGCAGGGGGAAGTTATTAGAGTTGTATGTAGTTTAAGAAAACTTTAAATTATTTAAAATAATATTTAAAATTCTAATTAAGATAATGTAAATTTGTATTACATTAGTCAGAGCTGTATAGAGGCCTTAACTGCAAGCAAACGTTTATCTTAAAAGCCGCATCAAGTGCATAAATCTTTATTCTTTGTCAGAGTGAAAGGAAGTCTCTTCTGTGAGATCCGCTGTAATCCAAGTGGAGATAAGACCAACAACAGCATTATCTGTAATTGGCCGCCTTGGCAAAGGCTTTCCCAGGCTGGAAACTATTAGACTAACCAAACAAATGACGGCTAGATCGATATCACCACATACTCGTGCCCATCATGTGTGAATGCAGCTAAGCTTGGGCTTTGGCTGTGAGCGGGAGCTAGGAGCTTGGAGCTGGAAGCTATGGAAACTGTGGAAGCTACCCAGACTCGGGCCCAAAAGTGATGAATTGACGCGATGTCATAACTTGGCACATGGCGCTGCTGCCACACGAGTGCTTGCAACAGTCGACCTGGGCTGCGGTGTGTGAAATGTCAACTTTATTTTTAGTTGTTGACGTTGGGTTCGCGAATGTTTCTTTATGCCGCCTTTAATTATATAGAAAAAATTTCACGTTGCCAGTTCGCAAATTATAGCCCAATGACTTATCGAAATCTGCCACTGGATGGATCTGCTGGGAGTACGTGCGAACATGTGCAGAAGCTTCCGCTAGGTCCGTGAAAAATTATTGTGTTTTTTCCCAGCATTCCAAGCCATCTATGCAATCGTGAATCTTTTGACAAAGGAAGGGATAGACCTTATGCAAGCCGCCACTGCCCAGCGGTGATAATCGAATGCCATCAATAATTAATCTCTAAAAAAACCACAAGCTTCAAAGTGCCAGAACCATTTGCATTAATTACAAGAAACAATAAATTACATTTGTGTGAATTAAGTGGGTGTTATTAAAACAAATATACTATGATGATCTTTTCAATTATCAGCACTAGTTAATGGTTCCTTAACTATTCCTTTACTATCAATATTAAAACTTTATTATATTGTTTTTCTTGTCCTTCTACAGAAACATTCCGTGATTATATTTGTTCCATGTAGAGTATTTAGTTCAATTTCCATAAACTGTTTCATCAAATTCTCTGGCTATTATAATTGTTTTCTGTTCAATTTAAAACCAATTTGCGGAGCATCAGTGGAGATGGCGCCTTATAAGGTCACCATATACTTTAGTCTCCGACTAGAAGCTTGTAAGGCCAGATTGGCTGCGGCTTGGCTCGCCTTATTCGGCCGTCTTTACGACGCGGAGATGATCAAATTACGGGAACTGCGGAAAATACTCGTAAATCGGGACTGCGATCATTCCGATGGGGGACGGAAAGGCAGGCACTTAAGGAAGGGAGCCCCATTTGTGACCAGGTTGTGCAATCGGAGTTCCAAGGTTTTCAATTTCGCGAAGCCGCTTTTGTGTGTGTGTGTTTCTTTGGCTTTCGGGGTAAGGTAATTTGCCATAATTCGAGACGCTCTTCAATCTCATCTCTGGCGTATTTACGGGCCACACTAAACATACATTCTGCGCCTAGTTGCCCACTCGGCCGTTACATAACCGCCCAGCTCTGTCTCCGGCTCTGGCCTCAGTCGGCTCCATCCTCCACTGGAGACGCCGCCACGTTTTAATTTCTCGAATGCAAACAGCACACACATTCGGCGTCCGCCGGCGGCGGCGGTGTGTGTTCCATTTCTGCAAAAGTGTCAGACGAGTCGGAAAAAAGGTCACTTGGTCAGCGGAGTCTTTTGTTTTGGGAACACTTTGAGACCTTTGCTTGGCTGGCTGAATCTGCGGTGTTCGCTGCTCGGGTGTGTGAACGAACAGTGGATGCACCCGCGGAGACACACGTAGAATAAATTAAAAATGAAACAAAGCGTAAAGAGCGCAGAATTACAACATTTTCCGCCGTTGCTCAAAAAGTGTCTTGGGAAGCACTTGGAAGCGCGGTGGCAAAAGGCGATCAAGATGAGTAGTTGTGGGGCCCATAGGCGGACCTTCAAACGGGGTACTTCTAACAGAATCAAGTTAAACTTCACCTTATTTGGGGGATTTTAGGAACTATCAGCTTTCTTAATTGGGTTCTAGCATAGTAATACCAATTATATTCTTCTCTAGAGGGGTTTTTTCTGTTTAACAGTATAATGAAAACTTAAAATAAAGATAAATAATTATTCTAATAAAGAGAAATATATACATTCTTATTTATGCAGCATTAAAGATATATTAATTTCCCTCAGCTATTTCCTAATTACAGGGCTTCTATCTTCCAAGGTGTCTGGAGAAAAGCGGCTTATAAAGTCTCCACCCCCTTCATGTCACGCCACTGACCACTGAGCCAGGGGTCACGCTTCGAAAGATGACAATCACAGCTTTAACGGATTACCATTTTACTGGATATGGTTTCATTGTTGTGGACCAGGTGAAAATTGAATACTAAACTTATCTTAGGGCGTCTCTAGATGCTCGTTTAGTTGCAGGTTCATTAGCATCGATCATGCTGGTGTTTACGATACGTCTTAGCAATTAATTATTGCAATCTTCGGCTAAAAGCTAATAAGCAGCTTGGCCACAGAACAAACACATCGTTTAAATATTTATACAATTCCGCAATTTGCATTTGAATGCTCCCTCCTCCTCACGTGCACACTTGCCGTTGGAATCGCATCGGAATCTCCGCATCATTCGGATCTCTCGAGTTCCCCGGTCCATCTGTACCCCCTAGGCTAAGGGTGGAAGTCGTCGAACTTACCTCACTGGCCAAAAATAAAGCTGAGCAGAACAAAGCCAAGGTCAAAAGCCGCGACTGCGTGGGGATTGTTCGGGCCAACATTTTCGCGATTCCGTTGGTTCTCTCCGGACTGATGATGGACTCTGTGGACTCGGTGGAGAGCTGGCAACTGAAAGTTATTAATAAGTTATTGAATGGGCGACGACTCGAGCACAATTGATGGGAAAGTGCAGGCGGCGGCCCTAAGCTAGCGCTAATTGCCTTACACAATAACTGGCATCGTCTTACGGCCCTTCCTTTCCATCCACCCATAGCATAATAATTCCGTCCAAGCGCCTTTTGTTGCCAATCTTTGCGTAACCGAGACCCTGTTTACCTTAGTCGTAACTTTCCCAAAAATATCTCCAGCTCCTCATAGGTGAATATGGGAGATAACAATGAAATGCCTAGGCTGCTGCTGTTTTGTTGTCACTGCACAGCCAATTTCCCCCGCTTTGAGCCAACAACGTCTTCGTAATGAAGCGTAATTTAAAAAACATTAACATTACCATTAACATTAACTTGTGTTGTGTCGGAGCCGCTTTATTGACTGGCAGAATTCGCAACGCTGTCGCTATTCTTCGCTTCATTCTTCCCCCGATGGTCTTGTCCCGGCCTCCACCTACACTTCGATTCTGCGACCTTGCCACTCCACTCCTCTCCCACACCCTGCTGGTGCTGCTGCTGTTCTTTACGCTTGTTTATAGTACCAAATTTGTGGAAATTGAGTGGTCCCATCGGAGGCTCTTAACTTTACGAACCCTCGTTTGGGTCAAGAGCGTCTTCAGCCAGTTTGCCAAGTTGCTGTCCTAATGGAACGAACCAACCTGTCGAGATTCACCGAATCTTACACCAAGACACGCCTTTTCGGTATTTGCAGATCTCTCTGTTGGCGTTCTGATCGATCGGAGTATTGGTTCTGTTAACTAACAGTTTCAACACGGTTTCAACACGGTTTCAACACATCAAAATAAAAGAGAATTACAGATTTATCTCCCCGATTCGAGATAATCTCAAAAATTGGCAGACGCCTGTCAACTTGGCTTTTTGAACTTGAAGCTTCAAGTGGCAAAGCAATGCAAACAATTAAAGTGGCATTTATAATTGTTTAAAAATATATACAATTTTGCTTAAAAAGAATACTAGTTCCTTGGTTTATTGTTTAATTTAAAGCATTATTATTTTATAAGTTCAGTTATAATGTTTAACTGCGACTATTAGCCACAAATTGAACTGAGTGGCAATTTAACAGCGAATAAAATGTTTACTATTCAAGAATCGTTACACGATTTAAGCAAGCTTTTTAACATCAACAAAAAGTAATTAAAAATATTTAATTTGTATATTGAATGGGCAAATTAACATGTTAATCTTACTGCAATTGCAATTAAATTGTTTAAACACTCTTAAGAAGCTGACAAGGTCGATACATTTTCAAAGTCAAAAGCTAATAACAAAAAATCCAGCTTAAGTGAAACAGAAAAACGTACATTTACATGTTAATTTTATATGAGAAACTCAAATAAAAACGAATTTTCGATTAAAGCTGCCAACCGAAATTCATTCCACCTACATTTTGAGGAAATTCGTTAAAGCTGCTTACGATTTCCATTCATTTTAAATTAAATGCATACGATTATAGTTTTTCCATTAGCTGATTTGCCACGCCTTCGGCAACCTTTAGGTTTAATAAGCAATTAGTAATTTAATGTTTTTAAAATTTTACAAGAATTCTTCCACTGCAAGGGGCTGCTTGTAAGATCGAAAATTATAAACCATTAAATTGAAATTTGGCAATGAATAGAGTTTTTCCCTTGGGACATTCGACGTGGTACTTCAGCGACCACTTAACTGTGATTTTGCAATTAACTCAAGTAATTGAAATGTTTTCTTTTTATTTCGCTGCCATAAAGTGCCCCGATCATCATCGTCCCAGGCTGGCTTACTGGGTTAGCAGGTCCCGTACATCATCAGTTCGCGGAGCCCCAAAGTTCAGCTGCCCAATAAAATCGCACACTTTTCAGCTAACGAGATCATCTGGCTCAATGCTAACCGCAGCCAGCTTGCGGCCAGCAGGCAGCCATTCGAGCCAAGTGCGTGTGGCAACAACAACTGTGGCAACAGCAGCAGACACAGCTAGCAGCAGCAAGTCTAGCAACAAGACTTTAACAATATTGAACTGGCATCTAGTTTGGCGGTTTTTCCTTGTCTTGACCTTTTTGACAACGGAAAATATTTACTGCTTTATCCTCCTCAGCCTGAACCCGTCGTGATGCTGGTTTCGGTTTTATTTTCTTGTTGCTTTTTTATGCTTTTCCCCCTATTTAGTTGCCTTGTGGCCAGCGAAGGCGAAGCCTATTTGACATTTTTGCCAGCAATTTCCACTGAAAGAGCATTGCGAATCTAACTCGAAGATGCCCAGCAACGAATAATAGCAGCGGCAGCAACAACAATTATGCCAATTAGCTGGCATTACAGGTTGATTACGGCAGGGCCAGGCCAAAGCATTTGCTCAGCCATAGTTGGCATTTTTTCTAATTGTTTTCGTTTCCCTCGGATCGGATCGGATCGGATCCCCCAGATCCACGGATACCCACGGATACTTGGACCCCCGCTTGAGCCGGAGATGCAGAGGAAGTTATTAAGATGCAAGACACCGATGCACGGCTCACCTTTGGGGTCTTAAATTGAACAAACTAATTGTCGCTGTAGGTGGTGCCGTGCTAAAATATATTCCATATGGTCGGTCGCAGCTCTCTTCACACATCCGACGCGATGCGAGGTGATTCAGTGTGATCTTTGCAAAGATCAAATGTCAGAGACAGCGGCCGAGAGTTGCAGCCAGCATCCAGTGCCGCGATGCAGTGGCTCCGAAACAAAGTCAAGAGCACTCGCTCAGCGCCGCACCAAATTGGTTCGCATAAATTAAATTACAGTATGTTTATTTGTGAGGCTTCTGACATGCCATCAACACTGTGCAGCACTCAACGATTTCTCAGTCCTTTGGATAACGCGCGCCCACGGAGCATCAATCTCGTGACTCGGGTTGGGAGGAGCTCGGAGGTTTCCTTAGCCGGAACGACACAACCGCGTCGGACGAAGTCGCGCTTTGAACTGAAGCCTCCGAGTGCACCCATCTCGGTTTAAGATTCACACCGGGCCGCCCGCAACAGCCAAAGTCTGAGTATTAGATACACGCAGAGAAATGAAAGCGTGCGGTATTAGGTAAAAATAGTAAATATTTCTTTTAAATATATTTAAATATATATTTTCAATAATAAAAACTTTAAGAAACTAAAATCTTAATGAAATTGGGAAAGTTGAAAACTAACTATAAAATATAAATTCGGAAAGCTGTTCTTTGCTAGTTTTAAAAGGTTAATAAATCTGCATAACTTTGAACAACTTTAAACTTTAATAAATCAAAAATCAGAATAGTATCTAGACTTGTACCATTTTTTTCAGTGCGCAAATTCAAAGCACTAAAGAAGTGCCAAGCCGAGCTTCGTCATCGGCGCACAGTGGGCGACAGAGGCGCCCACACGCGTGAGAGAAAATTCTGCTAATTTGCTAAGAAATCTATGCAAATACTTTCGAATGCGGCCAAAAAGGCTAAACGAGGCTTAGATGTGCTTAGGGAGAATCTGTAATGGTTCAAAGCCCTGGGTGCCATTAAACCCATTAAATTTGGGAACCGACTAGCAGATTCCACTGTGCCAAATCTTCTCCGGCACCTAACGAAGTTCAGCATCGGCCTGGGACCGATGGCGAGTCGGGTTTTTGAGTCAACAAAGCGTTAACATTGCAGCTTCATTTCCAGCCTCAGTTTCATTTTCATTTTCCGTTAAGAGCTTCGGCTTCATTCTCGGTTTCAATTTACCGCTAACAGCTTCGTTTTCATTTTCATTGCACGTTATTAGCATTTGCAATGCCACCGTTTAGGGAAACCCTTCACCCACCGGTGTTTATTTGTCTAATTTATTGAAACGTTCCTCGCCGAGGCAGAGGCAGAGGCTGATGCAGAGGTACTGACTACAGCCAGAAGTGGGCTAAATAGAGCAATCGAGCGGGCTGGGAGATCTTAGCCAGATTGGGCGGCTGGTTGCGAAAGCATTTTCCCCATCTCAGATTCGCTCGCTGGCTGACTGGGTCTTTTTGGCGGCATCATTGTCAGATTTCTGGCAGTTGTTGGGTTTTGTAAGCGAGCAAAGATTTCCATTTTACATTTTCCATTTTCATTTTCGATTCATGCCGTTTATTTACTCCTCGGGGCCCTTTTGTCGTGAGGAAAAAAGCCGAGAACCGCCAACGGCTGGCGCACTCAGGTTTTCCTAGCCGTCGTGTGTTGCCTCATTGACTTTCTGGGCCTCATATTCGCCGGGCGTTGGGTCTCGGTTTCCCCCACCCATCATCATCAACTGCATCTTCGTGACGGAGCCGGGAGGAAGTCGGAGGCGAAAGTCTTAGACAGTCAATAAACGATTTATTTTTGTCATTGTGATAGTTGTTTTTGTGAAAATTAACGAACAAATTAACAGAAATAACTCCGCGTATACGATGTAACCTAAAATTTTGTTATGTTCTAACATAATACTGGCTAGCCTGAAGTAGCCTATGTAAGCTTGTCCACCTGATCTTGGTCAGCGATCTTGCAAACCTGTGCCTGCTCTTGCTTAAACTTTATCTTTTCCATCTCTAACGATTGCTTCTGAAAGTCCGCTAGGATGCGGCTTTCGGGTATATCCGTCTCCACACGGCTACCCACTATATTGATCTCGCTATCATTCTTATCCATAAATATATCAATGATAATGCGAACACCTGAGGAAGGTATCAATCAGTATCAGTAAAATCAATATAAGGTTTTCGACAAAATGACTATAAAAAGGATTACTTTGGAACCCGAATCACATCATTTCTATATTCTAAGTTTTAAGTAAAAACAAGGCTATGTTTCCTTACCCTGATCTGTGCGTCGAAGGGTGGTTTTGCTTCGATATGACTTTTCCACCGTCAGTCTCTCACCTACTTGCGACATCGAGGCCTGGCTCTGGCTAGGGTTATCCTGACTAAGGGTTTATGGGTTAAAATGGGTTGATGGGAAAGAAGAGTCCCTTGGAGGCGTAAACTCACCCTTCATCGACTAAACCCTCCTCCTCCTTCTCTATCGACGTCGGCATATCGCCCGAAATATCGCGCTCTGCCTCCTGACCCCTGCCGAATAATATAGACTTGGCGTGTTCCAGTTCCTGGTTCTTCTGCATGGCGAAGTTGTATAGGTTGATCATGTCGCGCACGCGGACGTACTTCTCTGGGCTTGCCCCAGCCTCTGGCGCCTGTGTCTTGGTCAGAGTCTGAGTCTTGAACTTTGACGGGGACTGGAGCAGCTCGTTCTCATGCTCCTTCTCTCGCTCCCGTTCCCTCTCGCGGTCTGTCTCCCGGCTGGCGGCGGAGTGGACGCTGCTGCTGTCCTCTTTGATGGAGGTCATTGTATCTATATTTATTACACTTGAAGAAAGTTGTCGCTATATGTGAATCGAAATAATCGAATAATTTTGTTACTGGTTTTGCTGAGAACTACGACTTCTGTGTTTAAGGTGTAAAGATACTAAATACTAAGTAACTCCGAATACGTTTCTGACACTGTCGTCAACTGGAAATGACCTTTACGGCATGGAGATCTTGGAGCTGGAATCGGAATCGGGGCTGGGATGGGGATGGGGTCGTATGTGTGTGCTGAAGTAAGTGCTTCATGTGGGTCTTCGGGCAATTCGTTAGCAATTACAGTAACGGAATGTAAATGTAATTCATCTCCGTGCCGCCGAAGACGAATCGTTGGAGGGCGACCTTCGGGTGCTCGGTGCGGCAATCGAAGATCGTAAATCGAATGCGATCGATCGCATGATTGATCCCACCGGGGAGGGAGTGATTGAGGAAGGTTCGGTGATTAGTGAAATTTGAGCCACACGCTGAATGCCAATGGAATTGTCTTAGAGCGGATTTACCGCCACCTTTTTTCTCATTTTTCCCCCAATTTTTTCGTGTAGTGGTTAATACTCGTATTTTGAAATTGGGTGAGCAATGACTCGGCAGCGGCATCATCGTACCACCATCATCAATCGGTAGCTGATGCTAGCGAGCGGCCAGCTGGAGGTCCATTTGACACAGCTTCCCCACAAAAAATCCGCTTTTAAGGTCAATCTTTTGGCCAGCGACACTTGAAGACTGCCGCGAAAACAGCCAACGGATTCGCAATCAGCGATGATGATTCGGGCAAGGTCTGCAGCCAGAGAATGCAAAGCTCTGATAAAGATTTTCAATCACAGAATGCAATTCAACGATTTTTAAGGCTAAAGATGGCCTTAAGTTGAGTAATTAGTTTGCAGATTCGGCGAACATTTCATTGGTGGTTACCAGTAACCGTGATCCTTGGATAGTCATTATATAATGATCCAGCTGGCTTATTATTCCGCTGAATCTCACTATTAATGCGGGTAGAATGCTAAAACATTCTAACTTCGAGATGTTCCCAGAGTCTAATTGGTCCAGGCATTGAATTAATTAAGCTTATAAATCAACGCGAAGTTGAAAAGACTCCCAACTACATTTTTCCCCCAAAAAACAAATCACTCGGTCATACTTAGAGGTAGAATAATTTTTATTGAATCTCAAGAACAGCAGAAAAGCGGCAGTACCCAGCCGAGCGTTGTGACTAATGTCGGTTTGATGGCATGATAATGCATTGTTATGCTGCCAAAAATTAATTTGGCTTCAGTTTCAGTGTGGGAGTTCTTCTTTATGCCTGCCCTGATCGACATTCTTTGACTTTTAATTCTTACACATCACGAACTTGGAATTCTGGTCGAGCTGCCCTGCTCTGCTCGTTTGTGCAATTAGCCGCGATGTCAAAGGGGTTCATGCCAGTCATGGCTATAGAACAGGCAGAAGGTAAGGTGTGGGACCCACAGCAGAACTCACACAGGCCATACATCGGGCTGTGTACATAGGTGTGTCATCATCTTCATCATCATCATCATCATCCAGTCATTGCTGGCTGTGATTCCATTGAAGGTCGCTGAGCCGCAAACAGCCGCAACATTTGTTGCTGCCATTTATGCTCACTGACTGCTCTTTCACTCTACTCTCGGTGTGTAGTATTGGCCTCTCGCTTCCGCCCACCAGCGGGCTCACATGTTTAATTGCCAAATTGGTGCAATTCCACATAATTCATGCCGATTCTCCTCTCGCGGGGCTGTTAATTTGACAAGGTCCCCGCGTTCGGTTCCAATGGAGAGCTTTACGGCTTAGCAAACACTGTGGAGATTCACACGTTTATTAAGGGGGCTTCTCTTCGGCAGAGTCGTGCGGCGCATGAAAATCGAAAGTGGAGCGCCCGCTAAGCACACATAATTGATAACGCCGGGTAATATGGAAATTATTGCGCATACGCCACCGACAGTGCTGGGTGCCAAGAGGAAAGGTAAACACCTTTGCCACCAACCCGACCCTCCTCCGTCTTAGTCTAGGTTGTGGCGCGAAACTGAGCCGCATCCGGTCGCAGGCAAAGTGGCAATTTCGGCTGCTGGCTACTAGCTACCAACTACTAGCTCTACTAACTGCTAGCCGCCAGCTGATGGCTGCTACAAATTTGTCAAACCAACAATGCAGCAAGGTCAGCGCCTGAGCTATGATCACGTTCGCGTCCGGCATGCGGTCAGAGCTTCGCCATATCATTGACCTTAAGTGGAGAACATGAAGAGCAGTGAATAAGCCAAGATTATCACCTTTGGCAGCGTTTCATTGCACTTACACTGGCAGCCGCCAAAATCGGATTTGAAGTTCAATTGCAGCCATTTCAGATGCTCCAGCTTCGTCGTGGGCCCCACTCCGATCTCGATCTCCATCTCCATCTCCAGATCCATCTTCATCTTCATTTTCATGTGCCGCGGACCTACCAAGACGCCCATGGCACAATGTACAACACGACTATTAAAGGTCAAGCTCCAGTACCGCGCGCGAGCAATGCAAACGACAAACGGCAACACAAAGCGGCGATAAAGGCAAAATAATAAAAAGAAAAAGACCACGGAAAACAAAAAACGTTAAGTAAATCAAAGTAAACAAACGGCGCACTTTGTTAATTGTTGTATTTATTTCCATTTCAGTTCAAGTTTCTCTGTCCGTTTCTGTTTCTGAGGCTGCAATCTATTGGAGAATGATCTCAAAGATGCGTCAAAACGAAAGACTTAAGACACGAACTGGACGCAAAACAATAAACTGACCGTAGAGCTCGGACCTAACAGGCCATATATTTGAACAGTCACCAGCCAGGGGAGGCTGTGGCCCATTGACACACTGGAATGCCTCTTGAGATCTTTAAAAATTTTAAAATTTCCCAAACGGAGCATCGGCAATTTGTCAGCCGACAGCCGTTCACTTGTTGCCTCGACTTCTGTCAGGGGTTGTTCTGAAATGCCAAAATGGTAGCACACGTTACGTCCATTGTCTCCCCGGCGCGACCTTCGCTTGGCAATGGAGGAGGCAGGAGGAGCAGCATCACCTAGCCTGAGGTTGCCCGGAGGGCATTCGGCGAACCCGAGTCAAGTGCGCGGCGGCGGCAGCAGCCTCTTCAACAATGAAGCCATCAGATCGACAAATATCTTCAATGTGAATTTGGTTCAGCGGCTGCTTGGCTCAATTGTATCGCACATAGGAACTGGGCCGAGTGATTAATTGGTTTGCTTTCGAGGCTCCCCGTACAGATGTGTGTGTATGTGCGTGTTATGTTTGGTCTTGGGATAATGCCAGTGAGTATGGTGCAGAATAAATCATTTAATATTGAGCGTAAACAAGGCAGCCCACATACGATTGCTCACTACCCAAGCCCCGAGCCGGGCCCGCTGGATGATTATGCCTTTGTGGCGTGTACTATAAGTCTTCGAATCCGCGCCTCAGCCTCGGATGAATGCTTTTCCATTATCTATAAAGCGAGGAAAATATGATTGTTAGGTGTCAATCAAAACTCTTTTTTGTGCTGTGTGTCGCGTGTGTGTGAGTCACCACGTTGTCGTTGTCAATTAGAGGCAGTAAAGCCTCCAATTAACTCTGGAGATGGTAATGGCTTGTGGTTGAATTGCCATTGCTCTGCGGAAAATGCTGATTTACTATTGTTACGCCTGGGACTATGACAACCAAATGCATACAGGTTGGGGATACTGCCAGACTCTTACAAATTGTAATTTTATTGTAGGAGGTCCTATATAACCGATTGATCTGTTAACATTACATAATGTGTAGACGGTTTTCTTCCCTGAAAAATGTGTAAGTTTCTACATGAAGAATCTACAGAAAGGAAGGGGCCACGAGCATTAGGACCTTTAATCTCTTAAATATTTGCCACAAAGAATAACCAAAAGGCTTGAATAAATAAAATATTATATGGATAAATTGCTATATGGATAACAACAATAAAAAAACGAAACGCCTTTATCGTTATTTACAATATCTGCTAGTTGCATCTTTTATGGTTAAATTTTGCCTACTTTTGGGATTATGTTTTTCGGTTCTCTTTTGCTGCATGCTTCTAGGCCAACATCCAAAAGATACTTCAATTACTTTAAAGATACATTTGAGGAGGGCTAACTCAATCCTAATTAATCAAAATGAAAGGAGAATTTCAGTACCTATAATAAAAAAATTAGATAAGGTCACGACTAGAAGGAAGGCCTTTTCGGTATAAAAAAAGGATAACCTCAAGGTTCAGGACTACTTAACTTGATATATCAAAAGACCTTTATATAATTTGATTAATTTCTAAATTTATTTCGTTCTGATTGTTTTGGATAGACGTGCTTTACATGCACTTGGATTTGTTTTTTATAAATTTATATAATTGAAATTTCATTTGATTTTTCCTTTGATTAGCTGAGATATTTTATCTACATCATTTTTGTTTTTTTTTTCGGAAACACAATCATCTAGATTCTAGAATATTATGCAGTAATTTTGATAGCTTATTCATCCATTGCGTTATATCAAAAGTCGGTTGTCATCATGCCAGGTAGTACAGACTACCTACAGCATGGCCTGACGACTGACAAATTGCCAAATTTGTATACTATCGAAGTATGTTTATTATTGTTAGGTAATTGTTTAATTTATAAGTAAAGGTTTTTATGCGGGCGACTAGAAATTTTTGAGAAAACTTTAAACATACAATACAGTAATATACGGATACATCCGCTTACGGATTATAAGTTAGTTACTTGCTAGGCGATAGGAATCATGATGAAATTACTTTAACTTGCCTTACTCGCTACGTCTAGAGGTTCAATTAATTAAATATGGATACAAGCATCTGTTATTCTCTTACGTTCTACTTAAGCACTCTCTCTTAAACGCAACTACTTAGGCATTTACTCGTTCCGTACTCTGTGTTAGCGAGTGTAACTGAAATGTAACTAAAGTCTGGCGCCACAAACCGAAGCCATCGTATTATGCTAAAACGATACGTATAAGTTAGAGAAATCTTTGGTTGTAACTACAACTGAAAGTGAATAGTCGCGGGCCGAGCCTCCATCTCCACCGGGGAGTGCTCCGGATCAGCGGAGGCTCGCTCCGTGACTTTGTGCTGGTTAAGGCTGCTGCTGCACCGCTATTTCGTATGTATCTATAAATTATCACAGTAAAATAAATAGAAATCTTCTCTGCTGCGGCCTCTGCGAGAATCGGAACCAAGGATTGGGTGGATGAAGCGGCATCCAGGCGTTGCCGGCGCGGTGCTGGGTTCAGATTACATGGAAGATACGATAGTCATAGTCCACATTTTGGCAAAACTGTTGAACATGGTTGTTGTGTGCTCCCCCTTCGGCTGCCCCTCACTGGTTCAGCAGCGTGTTGGTCACCTCCGAGAAGGAAAGCAGCGGACTGCCATCGGCATAGGCGCCTCCCACCGGCGGCGGAGCGTAGGCTAGCGCCGTGTGCGCCGTAATGTTCGCCGGATATAGCAACTGATGGTGCTGCGTATGATGATGTGAGTGCTGCTGCTGGTATATCGCATGCTGGTGTTGCTGCTGCAGGGCAGAATGCTGCTGCTGCTGCTGGTGCTGCTGATGCTGCTGCTGGAGGGACGACTGCTGCTTTGCCGCCTTGCGCCCGATGCCGCCCACCTCATCGGCACAGATGACCAGCGGGGCAGCGGACACAATTGCCACCTGCTGATAAGCTGGCAGCCCATCGGAGACTGATCCCGCGGCCGCTGCCACTGCGGCTCCATTGAGCAGGCTGCTCACCGCCGGCAGGACTGTGGGCGAGCGGGACAACGCTGGCGGTGGCGGCGGCGACGATCCTGCTCCTACTCCCACCAGCTGGTGGTGCAGGGGATAGCCGGCACCCAGCGACTGCTGCTGCTGCTGCTGTTGATGGTTGGTGAGTATGATCTAGGGAGGATCGTTACGGTTAGTAGTCAGGCGAAAGAGCACACGTAGGTGCAGTGTGAGGTGGGTGTTCTATTGTGTCGGTGTCGAAGAGTGTGTGGTGTACAGAGTACAGATTACGGAGTACAGAGTGGGTTGGGTGCTTCATTACTGGTGCAATCTATCCGCCTTCTAGCGGTGGCCGTGGTGCAGGTGATGCGACTGGGCCGGAACGTGGCCACCGCCGCCAGCCGACGGGTGGTGCGGGTGCGAATGCGGATGCGGATGATGGTACGTGAAGTACTGCGAGTACTGCGTGTAGGAGGCGGGCGTCCATACCTCGCTGCCGTGCTGATGCGCCGCCGCCGCCTCATGGTGATGGTGATGGTGGTGGTGATGATGCGAGTGCGGATGCGGGTGGGCGTGATGATGCTGCTGCTGCTGTTGTTGCTGCTGCTGCTGTTGCTGGTGGCAGCTGGGTGGATGCACCGCCTGGTGATCTGTGCCCGTGCTGGTGCCCGTGCCGGTGACCGCTACTGGGTGCGTGAGGGAACTGCTGGGAGCGCTAACATTGGCACCAACTCCGCGCTGCGACTGCTGTTGCTGTTGCTGTTGTTGTTGTTGCTGCTGCTGCTGCTGGGGCGAAGTTGTGTGCGAGGAAGCGGAGTACAGGCCGGAGTCGTCATGCTGTAGCTGGTAGCTCTCCGGAGTGCTGGCGCTGGCCGATTTCCCGGGCAGCTCCTTTGTCCCGTTCCACTTGGCCGCCGTGGCCGGTTCGTGCTCGTTATTGTTATTGGCATTGCCATAGCCCAGACCGTTGGTGAGGGGCGTCACCCGCTGCGGGGAGCCAGGATTACCGGAAGCAGTTCGTCCTCCCTGCAAGCTGTTCAGTGGCACCCCGCTCGAGTGTGTGGTGCCCCACATAAGAACCGTCTGCCTCTCATAGGGATCCTGACCAGCAACTGCCGCCGCCGTCGTTGCCGACAGCTCGACTTTGGGCGTGGCACTTCCAGCGCCATTGGGCGTTGCACCGCTCACGGGCGAGGGTCCATCAGAGGAGCAGGAGATGACCTCCATCACCTGCGGCGAAGACTTGGGCGTTTTCAGCGGTATCTGCTGTGAATGTGAGAGCAAACAAGGATTATAAGAGATGTCAATAGAAACCGGAGGATGGGTTATCCTCATACCTGAGGTGTGGACGTAGGACTGCCGTAGCCGCTGCTGTAGCCACTGTAGTACTTGCCGGTCTCCTGCCACTTGTCGTCCGCCTTGGAGGCGATGGCATAGCCGTCGTAGGAGAGGAAGCCGTTGGCCACGTATGCCGAGGCCGGGGCGCCGGAGTGCGGATAGTCCGTGTAGTAGCCACCGACGGCGCCCTGCAGCCGGTACTGGTGGAAGAGGTTCTCGCTGACCGGATAGAAGGCATTGGCCGGCATGGAGCTGCCCATGTACAGGTTGTCCGCTGCGCTGGCGTACGGCGAGGTCGTGTACATGGGATTCAGGTTGGAGTAGGCGGCAGCCACGGCTGCCGCCGGATCAGGCAGATATTCCACGGCTACTGCTGGAGCAGGTGATCCCACCTGGCCGCCCAGCGGCGAGGTTTGCTGCGTCTGCTGTTGCTGCTGCTGTTGCTGTAACTTGCGCTTGCTGCGACACGTGGAGAGGAAGTCGCGCAGCTGCGTCTTGTAGCGTCGATTGGGTCGCGTCGGCGTCACTGGCGGCGGCAGAGAGTGGGCAGTGGGGGAGGCACTCGGCGGCACCACCAACTGATCCGCCTCGGAGAAGTAGGTGGACGCCAGGCCCGTGTCCAGGTAGCTCACCTTGAAGTCCATTGTCCGCTTGCCCAGCAGATCGTGGCCCTCCTCGTCCATCAGCTGCCGATGCGTGCAGATGACAAAGTCCGGCTTGGAGTTCTTGTACACCAGCCGGGAGCTCGTCTGCAGCCACTGCCATTCGCCGTCCTTCTTCTGGTACCGGTATGCAATCATCCCGGAGGCGCCCGTCTTCAGAACTGCGTAGAGTGGGTGTGGGTTAGTGATCTGGATGTTATACCTCCAATTTATGGCTGATACTTACGCTCCTGATGGGCGCTGGCTACGTAAGCCAGGTCATCGTAGTGGACCAGGTCGTAGCCGCCCATGTTGACCAGCTCGGCATCCGCGTAGCCAAGAATGTGCTTGCCCCGCTGGTCCATGGACACCAGCGAGAAGTCTAGCTTATGCTTGGACTTGAACATGTTCTCCTTGTGAGGAATCTCCAGCAGACTGGGCGGGCCAAAGGGCGTGCAGTAGGCAAAGAGGGCCAGCGGAGGCTCCTCCGTCTTGCGGTTTTGGCCGTGCAGTACCTTGATGCGACCGCGGATGTCCAGGCGGAGGAAGCCGCTCGTGTTGTCCAGCAGGCAGCGGAAGCGGACGGTGAAGCTGCGCTCCAGATAGAGTGCCTTGTCCGGCGCCAGGGTCTCTGCCAGCTGCATGCTGGACATGTCGGCGGGCAGGAAGCTGTTCCACAGCAGCTGGCGCTGCAGCTCCTCACGGTCCTCCGAGTGCACCAGCTCGTACACCGACTGGTGGACGATATCCGACTGCGGAGGGGAGAGGGAGATGGAGATGAAGTCGGTCAGGGGTCAGTCACCTTCGGTGGGATCTCTCAATGATTTAGCTCTCGCCGCTGCTCTCTTTCGCCCGGGGATTTCGGGGCGTATAAATCAAAATGCGCGCAAATTGAAAATGCGCCCCATGTTGGCCACAAATTGAGACATAAATTCTGCACGCGCCAGGAGCTGTGGCGGGCATGGGGGCTCCAAGGGATTCCCCCTTCTATCTGCGGCCCAAAAGCAAACAAAGCCAACTCGAACTCGAGCTCGAAGGCGAAGGCGAAAGCTAAGGCGAACTCGAACGCCAGCCGGGCAGCAGCTACGCTTTTAATTGAGCTGCCAAACGGGGCGTGGCAAGTGCCGCTTTACACATTTACAACTAAATTAAAAAGAACAACACGGGCGGATGCTAACTGCAATTTCAATTTCCATTCGACAATAAAGTAGGCAAAAACTACAATGGAGGTGTACCTGCCAGCCCAGGCCAAACATGCTGCCGAAGCAGGCCGAATTCAAATCGGGATGCCCACATCGGCATCGGCATTGGAATCAATCTGGCCACGCCCTACCACTGCCACTACCACTGGGATTGAGGATGGCAGGAGGAGATTCCCGGCGATTGCGCAATCTGATTTTAATTTACGATCTGTCGGTGCCCGTGAATCGATTCAGGTCCGCGCACCCTTCTGCCAAGGAGAACGCAAAGCCAGACCGCTTTCCTGGCAGCTTGGAGACCCATCTGTGGACGCTTATTTGGGTCAGGGTATTCGGGAATCAGGTTACTCAGTTTTGTTTTATTTGACTTCGCCATGAGAACTCGTACTCTGAGTGCCTGAACTGGAGTTTTTCCGCATACCAAAGATTGGTTCAAAAATAAAAGCCAAAATTGACAGACTTGGTTCTTTGTAATGAGTCTTATGAATCTGTAACATTTTTAAATATTTGTAAAACACTTAAGGTCCTGTAGCTATCTATTTCCGCTTATTAAAGGCCTAAATTAAATCCTAATGCTGATTATCTAAACTCCATATTAGTTCTTGATTTGATACCCTGACGTCTCTTTTAGGAGAAGAATCTGCATTTCAGTGTTCAGAAATAGAATCTGTACATTTTCTACCTCTAATTAAATTGGTTCTCTGTGAACCTGTACAAATTCTAGAATAGTTGTGCCTCTTCTTCTCCCATTCTGGCCCAAAGACTTCCCTTTCTCGGACCGCTTCCGCATGCCAGAGAATGACCCAAAAACCAGAGACAGACTCACATCAGAACCCCCGGCAATTAAAATCAATCAAATGTACAGAACAGGAGGAAGAGAGAGAGCACGGCTCTGGAGGAGGGGCAGGGATTGGCTGGCTGGTGGCACTTACCTGATGAAATCCCAAATAGCTCTCGATGCTGTGCGTGGCAAAGAAGACTTCGCCTTCGCATGTCAGTATCATTAGAAATCCATTTAGGGCCTGCAAAGAAAGAGCCAAGAGAAAGGGGAGAACATGGGTCAAAATTAAATCAAAACTATGAATTAAATTTTTGTTTCTGCTGCTCCAGAGACAAGTGGCTGGAAACCCAGAATCAATAGCTAGATGAATGAATCTTTTGGGATGGGATGGGATGGGTTGGATGATGGGCTGGCAAAGGTGTAATTACAGTAGCTGCCAGGTCTCGTCATATTTGGTGAATGAAATGTTATCCATCATGGTAGCCGGCAGGGTTTAAATACACAGGTAGAAATCAGTAAGCTAGATTAACATAAATAAATACCTAAAACTTGTAGGTAAAAATGCTTATTTATAAAATATAATAAAGCAGTAACCCAGTATGTAACTGTGCACTTTTATTTCTAGGATAATGTCCAAGATTATTCCCAGCGTTCATTCATTGACCCGTACAGGTTATCCCGCTTCAATGAACTCCGCCTCGTCTCGTCCGGACCAGGAGGAGGAGGAATCAACCTCGATGGCGGCGCTTGGTTGTGGGGAAAAAGCGTAATCAGCGCTTAAGCGGCTCATTTCATCCAAGCCACAGGTCGCCGACAGTGTGTGCGAGTGTGTACATCCCCTGTCCCGATCCCAGTCGGAGCTGGAGTTCCACATCAAACACAACCAGGAAATGGCCGGCAATTAAATCAATGGGTTTCAACTGGTCAAGGAGGATGCGCGGGGGCCATGGGTAGATTTCGGTCGATTCTGTGCTGTAATTGCAGGTTCCATGCCCGTCCAGTTCCCCCTCTTCTGGCTCCCTTGACTCCCCCAGATGAGCCATTGTCATTATCTATTCGGATATGCCCCGCACTCTGAGCTGCTAACAAGAAAACGAAATGCGAACCTGAAGGCGGCGAGCGAAGCATGCAAAAGTTGTAATGCCTTTCATTGTTTTGTTTATTATTTGGCGCATTATTGTTTTTGATTGCATTTTAAAGTCGGGCTTTATGGCCTGCTAATGGCGGCGACGCATGCGATTCCCAATGGCCAGATCTCGGCCGGAGCTAACGGAACGCGGCCTCCGTGTCGCGGTGAGGTGTGAAGTGAAAATGGGAGGGAAACCGAAACCCGCCGAACGGAATCCAAAACGAAACCGGCATCGAAAGACAAATTTGCCAATTCTCCATTAGTGCCTCCCTGGCGGTGCGGTCGTAATTAATAAAGCCAAAACAAAACAACAAAAAACATACGGTGCGTAATTAATACGGGCGTATTTAAATATCAATTTGCAGCCACCACATCGAGCCGCATCGAAAGGAAGTTTCCCCCTCTTTTGGCTCGGAGAAAAATGTGCGCGATTGCTGCTAATTACAGAGGAGACGCGGCGCTCTGCAGCAGGATTGGCCAGCCGATCCTCCCGGCTGGAGGAGCAGCGGGTAGCCCGCTCCTTGGCCCAGAGTTGGCATTAGCCGACATAAATGCTAAGTGGCGTCATCATTTAAAACGCATCAACAGCCCGCGAAGGATGTGGCCCCGGCATTCGCCTTCGCCGCATGGATTGTCATCAGGCGCGCGGCCCGGTCGAGCATCAATAATCGGGGTAAAGATCTCCCCAACGGTAGCCGCTGAGAGAAGGAGATGCGAACGGAGAGCTAATATTATGACAGTCCCATATGCATACTCTGCTGGGATGCTGTGGACAGTTATCTTGGCAGATGTTCTGTTTAAGAGAATATTTTCCAGAATAATTCTGTAATAATGGATCCATACTAAAGAGTTTCTACTCTCCTTTTGGGATCTAGGACAATCGAAAATCTATATTATGACATTGTAAAGGTGAAGAGAATGTAATATTAAAAATACCTTCGTTAGATATACAAATTTTAAGATATTGGAAAGGAAGACAAGTATCTAATCTACCCCCATGTATCTATATTTCCATTTAACATATTCTTAGGGTATTTAAGACACTCTGTTTTAAAAATATGAAAGTTAAGCCTTTACTACAGTAAAGTCATACAAATTCCCAACGTATATCCTCCTTCTAAATATTTATTTCAAAGAGTATTTAAAATTTAAAAAACCCATCTTTAAAGGGTACTCACTTATTCGTTCTTCCCCTTTAGGTCCTGTTTCGCTAGTTTTCTTATTATCTTTCTTTATACAGCTTTTTTGCCGTTCTCTTTTCATTTCTTGCGGCATTTTATCTTTTTATGCGGCCAAGAAAGATTTCTCCCCACAGTCTAATTGTTTCTCTCGCCCGTCTCTTTCCCGCCAATTACGGCAATGGCATTGCCGATCTCTTTCCCTCCCGCAGCTACAATTTAGACAAGCTCGTCTGCGTCCGCGGCGTCTTCTAATGCGATTTTAATAATACACGCCCGTCTCTATAGAGAGGCTGTATGGTATGTACGTATATGAGTTGGGGTATACTACCTGGGTTCCCTTCCCTTCCTCGACGCTCACCGGCGTGTGTTGCACTTCAGTTTTCAGAGATTTGATAAGTTGGCGGCGATTATTTTACCATTTCCTAGCATCAGGCGTAGCCTCTCGCTAGCCATCTCTCTAGTTTGGCCAATTTACCCATACTCGTCCGTATAATTGCTTAATAAAGCCCACCCCCAGAGGTAGGTTCCCCGGCCCGGTTAATATCTGCCGCGGATCTGCCGCCTAAAACTGTTGCATGGAAAGTTGGGTTCATTTCATGTTGGCGGCAGCGTTGGGCCAAGTGTTGAAAGTGTTTTACTTTCAGTGAAAACGGAAGACAATTAAATGCTGCCCGAGTGTATGTGTTAGCCCTCGAGTAAGCTGCGTGACAAAACGCCATTTTCTAATGATAATATGTGACCCATAATAAACAGAAAACGGCAAAGGAAAAAGCAGCGGCGGCAACAGCTGCAGCAAAAAGTAAAACTTCACGGGCAACAGGTAACAAATACCCGAGGTATTAAAACTAAATATGCACACCTTGCCGCGCCTCACCTCAGACCCCCTTCTCAGACCAAGAACTAAGCCAACTTTCCCACTGAGACAGACTAAAAATATGCACGGAAATGCACAATTGTGCAGTTTTGAGCTCGACAATTAGCTGCAGTCAGGAAGGGGTAGCTGTTTTTTGGCTCGCATTCAAATTCGCCAGTCGCCAGTAGCCAGTAGCCAGTGGCCCCCTGGCCACCCTGCGTATACGTAATGCAGCACGAAACTGCAACTTGCAACGTTGCAACGTGTATGTCAGTTGGTGGTGCATACCGAGCTCTGGCGGGTGGTTAGACTTTGACATTGAATTGTGCAACTGTGGAGTGTGTGCAGGCCAAAAAAAAAGTAGAGGCGGCCTGGCTGGGAGTGCAAGTGCATGTTGCACAATTGCGTGTGTCTGTCTGGCAGGGAGGAAGAGGAGGAGGTGGGTCACCACCACCGCCGGTGGCCACCGCCAGCTCCAGTGGCCGGTGAGCTATGTGCGCATTAAATTAAACTGTCATGACTGTGACAAGTGCATATGTTGGCGCCTCGGACACTGCAACAAACAAATACAGCGGCGGCGGCACATGCACTTTTAATTCAGCAAAAACATGCAACTGCCCCCAAGGCGAGGGCCGTTCGGCTGACGAGGGAGTGCTTAGCTCTTTGCGACAATTTAATTGGAGTATTTTGGCACATAAACTTGAAATGCATAATGTTTTATGTTTGCTCCACATCGGCGTTGCAGCTGCTGCTTGATAACTGCTAATTAATTGTAGAGAAATCGTGGCAAGACTGCCTACCTACCATCAATTGGATAATGCATATTTAGACTTGAAAATGAGCGAAATAATTAGTGTATTGAGTTGGGCTTCAGCTATGTTTAGCAGCTAGTTAAAAGGCGATAATGGGGCTAATTGTGCTCTGAATTTAGGTTAGAACTTGCTTATAATTGGGACTTTCATTTGAGTTTAATTAAAATGGAGTCTTTTAGATTTCACTACAAAAAGACGATTAATTGAAAGCGTTATGGGTTACTTCTGTTTTGCACTTAAATGTGTTTTTAATTATATTTAAATACAAACCTTGAGATATAAAATCTCCAAGTTTGTGACTAAACTCCCCCTGCTACTTCGAACTTGTCAGTGTAATACCAAAGCAATTTTCAATTACGTTAATCAATTTGAGCCCTTATTAATTGCAGACAATTACAAATGATGGAATCGAAGCCTAGGGAGAGTACCCCTCCTTCCCCGTTCGATTGCGTGCTCCGCATTTATCAATGGAAACTCTGCCGGCTAACAAGACGCTGATTGATTATGCCCCGCTTTGCCATAGCCATACATCCACCCATCTATCCAGCCACGTATCCTGGCCAATGAAGCCATCAAGCAACCACTGATGAAGACAAATCGAGGCGATTGGGCTGCAGTTGGACTCACCTGGAGGAACATATCACCATCCAGCAGGCCGTGCTCGAAGGCGCCCAGCTCCCGTGTCCTGTAGCCGTCGTGTGCGTGTATGTGGGGCAGGACTCCGTTCTCTTCCTTATCCTTATGCATAACAACTGCAAGCCGAGACAGAGAAAGAGAGATATAGTACTTTAGTTGTGGCGGAATTTTTGGATATTTTATTAACCATAAATATTTGATATTCACTCAAAAGAAGCGAATAAAGTTGAGGAAATTTCTTGGCCATAAATAAGCCACTCAATTGTTTTACAAACTCACCTTCCCCGCGGGGATTTTGGGAGGCATAACCATAGTAACTTCATAAAAATACCCAATATATCATAGGCATACATATACTGTGTGTGTCTCTGGCGCTAGGGCTCCCCGAAAAATACTCGTACAATAAATATTTACGGCTTTGGCAAAAGTACTAAAAATTGTTTATGGTGTCATTGTAATATTTTATGGGAACTTTCGCCCCTTCGGTCCCCATCTCCAGCGATATCCTTGAACTATCCACCCCTGGGCCCTAGACCCGGCCGCCATTTTGCCTAGGAAAATTTCATTTTATTTTCCTTACCCCGACCCCATTAGTTTTGTTTATTTATTTCTTAGCGGCGGAGTTTTATTTGGTGGGAGCCGAGCGGGTCTTTTTATAATAAATTTGTCACAAAAATTGATTTATGTGCGATAAACGATAAAAGAAATGGAACTTCATATATTTACACAATATTAGTAAAAGGTTTTCGGAGGGTTGTTCCCGTCCTGGCCAAAAATTATGCCACGCCAGCTGATGTCATAAATTATGATTTTTATCAACGCAAATGGGTAAAATAAAAAATGCTGAAGAGAAATAAAACAGCAGCTAGGATAGGAGACGAGGAAACTTAATTTACGCATGGCAAGCCTCGGGAAAAGCCAGTCCCCGCAACTGCAACCCCTAAGCAGGGGGAAAACTCTCGGAGTCCGGCTTCAATTTCAATTAGCAGGTTTAGCGTTCGTTCCCCCTACCCGGCGAGACCAGACCCACTCCTGACCTGACCGCAAACTGGAGCTCCTTGTCGCCCGAGCTTAATCTCGGCCTTTTTGGCCTTTTTATCAAATTAACAATAGTGACTCGCACTCGCTCGCTCCTCTTGGCCCGAAAGATTGTTCATTTTAGCGAAAGTGCGATAAAACAAATAGTCGCCGCTGGTTACAGCTGGCCACTCCCCTCCAGCTCCTGCGGCTGCCTCTGGGCCCGTGTAATGGGGCCCAAACAAATTGCATCATGTGCGTGTAATCCTGGCGTGATCCCTTACAGCCACTTGGCCTAGGACGCGGCCGTAATTATTCATAATTTAATTAGGCTCAGTTTACATTCATTCCATTTCGCGGCCCTGCTTTTTATTATTTCTGGTTGTATATTTTAATTTTTTGTACGTGCATAAACTCATTTAATTATTTCTTTTCTGATGGGTAGAGATTTGGGTTGGGTTCGACGTAGGACTCTGCTTTTATTGCACTTACAATGTATTATTACTCGGCGAATAAACCGAATTTACGACGAATTCTCCGCATTTTCCGCCTTTCCGCTGCTCCTCTGCTGTTTTCCCCAACTCATTTTCCGCTGCCAGCGCGCTTCCATCTTGGCGAAGCCACCCCCAGAGAGTCGTTAAACGGACGACCATCCACCGTGAACCCAATGCCGAACGGTGGATGAAAATCTTGAGCTGCGAGCCCGGAAAAGCGCAAAATCTCGGCTGGCGGTGGTGCGAGGTGCGGGTTACTTGGCGGAGAGCCCGATGATGTACACACACATAAAATGGCGGCGGCGAGGAAAACCCCACCCAGGTGGCCGGAGAGTGGAGGAAAGCGGACAGAGAGGAAAGCCACAGCGAAACCAGTTGGGAAAAGGCAGCGAAAGAAGACCCAAAAGATAGATACTCGCCCTAATGACGTTGCACTGACGGCACCTCCGATTCCACCAAGCTCTCCTCTGAGCCATTTTCCCCCTCCCGGAATGGCTTCAATTATGCTGGCGATGGAGCGGCAACTGGGCGTGCCCCAGCTAGCTGGTGGCACGGCTTGGCGCAGAATAATAAATAAAGTTTAAATTCTCTGACATTTTGGCAAACATTTTCCGTGCCGACAGAAGCAAATATGTCATGGAAATGTCAAACTCATCAGCGGATTTGATTGGAAAACTGACAGCGCCGGTGTCGGGAAAGCATACGTATGCCGAGACCCGTAGCATCAGTAGCGGCACCATTGGCAGCAGCTGTCAGGAGTGACAGCGCCCCTCTTGGATGCACTGCACCCTGCCGCGGCCTGTGGGTCAAAAGGAAAGGTTAACAGCTAACGGTGGGCAGCTCCAATGGGCACAGGAAGGTTTGGCTGGAGGTATATTAAATAAATAACTATAATAGAGCTGTCAGACTATAAACTCTGATTTAAAATGTGTTCTATTAAACTTTTAATTATATTTTGGCATTTAAGAGATTTTTATATATTTTTTTAAACGATTAAAACCATAATTAAACTATATTTCTATTATTCCAGTCCAAAAAAGTTTATCTATAATTATTAAGAGAAAATTATTGTTTAAAAAGTTTATACAAAAGGATTGAATAATAAATGAGCTAATGAAATAGATAAGGAGGAGTCTCAACTATAAGCTAAAGCCACAAAATATCCTTGATTGGCTTGATTATCCTTGCTTTAAGACATTTCAAGGAGTTTGCTTTAGCTTCAGAAACCAATATATTCCATTTAAAGAAGGTTCCTTTGCGGTTTTAAGTTCCCAGCACCTGACACACCAACGCACTGCGCAATTACACTCTCCTTATAGACAGTTCAAGTTCCTTCTACCATTTTAAAGAGACCGAATCGTTTATTGGACTTTAAATTGAACTAGGCCCTAGACATTGTATCTTGGCAAAGAGCAAGGAGGAGGAACTGGGGGGGGATAGGGAGGAAAAAGGGGGGTGTCGACCTACGTAAGTCACGCAATGTTGTCTGCCAATGCACGCGGAGCTATGTATCCGTAGCCATGTAGGTATATCTACGTATCCATGGGTATATGGAAACAGCTGAGCTTTCGGCCGTCGTGACAATGCGACGCCTTTGGGCAACAAAACACGGCCACAACACCACAGCGCTCCACAACAAAAGCAACACCTACGTGGAGCAAGTGCATCGCCATAGCCGTAGCCATCGCCTGACTGATTGCATGTCCGCCTGCGACCCATTCATTGTCTGGTTTTGAGCCGGCACCGGCACCGAGGGGTTAAGGCGGCCTTAACTGGAGCAACGCACGAAAGTCATGTTACAATGTACGAAAAATTGGCCAAATGCCGCTGGAGCTCTGGCCGTCTCACTATGTTTATAGGTTAAGAACTGAGCCTTGGCCTCCTCCGCCTCCTCCTCCTCCTCTTTCACCTCAAATAGGTAGCGAATGCCTGTAGGCAATTTTGATAATAGCATAAATGGCTCAGTGGAAAATGGAGCAGCGGGAGCAGCAGGAATGCAACAGAAGATTGACTGACCAAGTGACCTTGTCTTGGCCACTAATCGGTGGGTGACTGACAGACTACTAAGCAGCAGGCCACCCGGCTCGGGTGTCCCATGCTCTGGCAGTACGAATCTCCGCCCAAAGATTCATATTCATTCATAATACGCTTAACTCTGCCGCTTCCCACGGAGCACCGAGAACCAGTTGCCAGGCCGGAGCAGGCCAGGTCCATTGAGTCAAAAGTAATGGCGACATGATTTGCCAGCAAATCTATTATGTTATTGGCTCTGCACTGGACAAAAATATAAACCATTTATAGAGGTTTCAAGGCAAGGAGGTTTGGAGGAGGGTTTTAAAATGTATTTTAAATAGTTTTGATCGTAGTTTCGCAATGGAATGCTTCTATTTAACATTTATTAAACATTTTAATTATTTTCTATATTTAACCGTAAAATAAGGCCGTTGATGCTTGACTTTTTAACTATACTACCTCAAAATAAGTTCTTGAAATTTGATTTACTTTCAATTAAATCTTAATTTTTAGATTTTCCAAAGTTTAAGTCTTATAACTTTAAGCCAGTTTTAAAGTACAATTTTATTTAATTAATTTAATTTAAATTATTAAAATCTTTATTACAGTGTCCGCTTAAAAAGTGTGTGGGAACTCTACGCTGGCGAAACCGTGGCGGCCAACGCCAATGCAAATGCAAATGCGTTCCCATCTCGGGTTACCAAATCTTTAAGGTAGCTACCGCTTCTTGGTTCTTGGGAACTCAATTTGCTTATGGCCACATTTTACTGCCATTTTAATGGCATTAGCTCCGCCAGCAGGGGGTTGAATAGCGGCTAGGGTAGCGTGCGGGCTCCCAGAAAAAAAAACAGAGCAAACATTACAGAATGCATAATAATCGTAAAAGCAGAAACTATCAATATTGGAGCTAGGGAGAGGGAGCAAGGGGTCATACCAACTAATGTTTCAGCAATTGTTCCAACCTCTCCGTTGGCACTTAATTACGCAACTCATCAATTAGGCAGACGTCGAAAGACAGGGACAAGAGTGGAGGGCTGGACTGCTCCTCTTCGAAAAGGGCATTAAAAATGTAGAAATTGCGCGTCTTAACAATTATGGCCAGTAGCCGGGCGGTGAGCCAAGGTGAGTTTGCCCTGGGCAATTATGGGCAGTTGCCCCCAGACAGATCCTCTCACTCTCACTCCCCCACTCCGCACCCTGCGCATTCGGGGCCAAGACAATGGCCCATTAGCAGCGCGCTTTAATTATTTAGTTTGCGGCCAAAACCAAACCCAGAGATAGTGGAAAAGCACTCGGCAAAGCTCGAAAATGGCTGGCAGAGAGAAAGAGAATTACTAAATCATCGGGGGGCGGTTGGGCGAAAGGGGCGTGGTTCCGCGCATAAGCAAGGCTAGTACAGCTAAATGCAAAAGCGAAACTCTGAAACTCTGAAGCCCTGAAACCCTGAAGCTCTGCTTTCTTTCCTTCCCCGGGTATAGAGAACATTTTCAGTTCGGTTCTCGTTCGTATTGTTTTCGGTTTTCGGGGCGCAAAAGTTTTTTGCGCAAGTCAGGGTCAAGCAACTGCAGATGGCAAGACCTCCGAGGACGAGGCACCCCCAAATAGACATGTGTATCCAGGATACAGGAGCAACTTTCCCACTGGCTGAGAATAGCAGCATCCTCCTCCTTCCCTCGGGCATCTAATCAATTTTAATCGTCTTGAGTGCTTCCGCCCGGTAATCCATGAGCGACACACGTCGCGTATGCGTATCGAACCACCAAAATCGGAATCCAAAGTCTATTGATGGGCTCCGAGGGCAAACAAACACTAATTGTAAATTAAATGATCCCGATAATATCCGAAAACATCTATCTGGGCACGGGGTACGGGTACGGCACCCGCAATGAAAACAAACGTTGACCCCGTGCGCCGTGTTTTGTGACAACCCCTGGCAAAGGGGTCGGGGGAAAGGGCCACTCACCGGGGCACACGCCGCAACGGTTCTGGTCCATTAACCCGTCGTCGTTGTCCTGCGAGGTGCCCTGGTCCTGCAGGCCGCTGGCAAAAGGAAACTAATGTTTATATTGACTTTTCACAATGCACAAAGCGGCCAGAGGCACGTGGCCAGCGGCTGCTCCTTTGTGTTTGCTGTCCTCTAAGCCAACAGTTTGCCAGTGCAATTAACGCTGAGCTCCGCTTGACCGCTAATTGTCAAAATATTTACTCGAGTTTGTTACCTTTTCTCAGGCGCACTTCGATTTCTCGAGTTCGTGGTGGCATTGGTATCGGATTGGATCCTTAATTCTGCACTTAAGCTTAATTAAAGCTGTCATACCACACACCCGCGTCCGCCTGGACATTGCCAATTTTGTGGCTCCGAATGCGAACGAGGAGCAATTAAATATTTTCTTTATTTTCATTTTCAGTTTTTGTATTTTTTTGTTGTTGTGTTGGTCATTAAAACAAACGCGAAATGCCAACGAACCCGGGCGGACGAATCGTTAATCAAGCCATCAAGGCCCGAGAGTTTATTGCATTTGTTTTAATTAATTTAAATTATACAAATATCTTGACCCCTCGTAGCGTCCCCTACCGCCGCAGCGTTCAGCAACCCCCAGGTCAACCCACACATCGCGGCGGTCTCGGGCTAGAATAAAGCACCCCTGAGAGAGGTAGATACATATGTTAGGTCCTCCAGCTCCTGGCTCTACTCCCGACTGACTAAGCTGAAGACAACGTCAAATGCACTGGGGAAAATAAGCATAACATATCCAAAATTACCCAGGGGTGTTTAAAATCCTTTAATTGTCTAAAAGTCTGTTAGTTTTCAAAAATTGTGTAGGTTTTTTAACTTAAAACACTCCTTTAAATATTATGTTTTAAAATATGTCAGAGAATTTCCCAATTGAATAACCTTTTTGTTTTTTTTGGCAGTTCTTTTCCCCTAATTTTCTCTTTTCTCCTTTTTAGCCCTTCTCGACTCTATGCTAGACCGCTCCCCGCTTCCTTTGCAGCTCGCTGCTTCCTTCCTGACTGTTCCTTAATCCGTCAACAGCACGTGCGTGTGTTTGTCTGTCGCTGGTCCGAGTCGCCGCTGAGTTGTGGAACTGGCCAGGAGAGGAGAGGACCTCCTGGCGCGGCGTTGAAATTAGTTTTGAATCATTTATGAGTCATGTTTAGGGTCTGGTTCTGGGTCTGGGCCGCAGTCTGAGCAACCAAACCCAGAACGGGGAGTTCCTCGGACGCGGCATAATCGATTTAATAGGCCAAAATCGTTACGCGCCGTATGGCGAATGGAAAGGAGGCCCAGTCGTAGCCCAGTTGAGACCCAGTTGAGGGTGACTCCAGTGGCTACCCTTCGCGGATTACAGCTAACATAGAACTCACCTTGAAAATAACTTTTGGTTCTTAAATAACTAACGGACAGCCTTAGAATGCTCAGTCGATCCAGTTTGCTCAAGATGTTCTGCTCGAAGGGCAGCAGCGAGGCCAGGAGATCCAGCTCGGCGTTGAGGCGCTCCCGATGCCGCTTTGATGGATTGCTCTTTGTGACGCCATCCTTGGGCGGCGGCTTCAGGCTGCGGGGGTAAGGAGTAGAGAGAAGAACACAGGAGAAATGAGTGAAAGGGAAATTAAAAACAATTTTCATGCATAAATGGAAAGTGGCTCCCTAAATAGAACGCGCCTTCGCACGGCCTCGACCGCGTCAGCTGGCAGAGGCGGCGTTGTCGGCGTGAACTTGAAAAGGTCAAAAATTATTAATTGCACTTATCAGTTACCCGAAACTGTGTAATAGCCCGGGCCCTGGACCGACCCAAAATCCTCCCCCAGATGGTAGTCTCTCCAGGACTATGGTCATCCAATCTGGGGTAGTTTCCTTCGATTAGCTATGCCCACTTAATCCGCTGATTAGTCGATCCAAGGGGAGGGCGTAAATTGCACAAGCGATCCTTTAATGTAAGGCATTGTATCTATTCGACAACGACAGACTTATCAGCTAAGTTGTCGCTTATTTTAGGTAAATCAACTTATGGTCATTGGTTCAGTAATTACTTATCCTAAAGATAGAACAACTTTAAGGATAATTATCTGGTTACTAGGCACTTCTTTTAATATTAACATTTTCTGCTATATTATTAATAATTTAATTTCCTTAAAAATGACCCATTGTGGCTCAAAATCTAAATGATTGGTCAAATTATTACTTAAACCCACGCTTCTAGTCGCATATAATGATGCATAATGAAGCGTATTTGCACGTTTTAAATCCCTGTTCCGATTCCAGCAAGATAATCGGCCCCATTACCCGACTCCACCTCTAACTAACAGTTTCCGTGAATCAAATCATAAACGGGAATATGCATGGATACCCAGACACAAGTCAGAAGTCCGACCGCAATCTGGAGCCACTCCAATTAAATGTCATAAAATGTTCGAGGACCCGACCTGGAGGAGCCGTCTACAATGCCATTGTAAATCCAAATGCTGACTGGGGGCGGAGCGGGGCTTTCATAAATGCAAAATCCGTTTATGATGGCTATATGAGGAATGAAAATGGGGAATCGGGTGAGTGAGGAGGAGCAGCAGGCAATCTGGATGGATTAGCTCAAAAGCTTCGCCGCTAATCCATCATTATCCGTGGCCGTGAGCAGTTCTTTAGGATTTTCTCCACAAGCTGATGAATTCTCGGAGCCCCTCCCTTTCTCTGTCTCTCTATTGTGTTATTTTTTTAATCATATTTCGTCTCATCATTTTCATTGACATTATTACAAAGTTAATTGCGGTAATTAAATATAATTATTGTTGTAATTTATGAGACGACCCCTTCCATGGCCATACCTTGCGTGGCATTGTTTTTGTCACCGTTTTCAAATTTTTTAGCCGTTTGTTGTGCTTCTCGTTGGGGTTTTTGTGTGTCGCGTTTTATTTGGAAAACTTTTTGCTCGGCTGCACACACACGAGACGCGGAAAAAGGACGCGGACTGTTGCAGGATATTGTCGCGTTAAGTTAATTGGCCGACGGACCACGTCCTCTGAGCTGTTTTTCTTTTTTTTTTAACTGTTTCTGCTCATTCTTGCCGCTGCAGGATCCCAGGTAATTGTCAGTGGCATGTCCGTTTGATGTCACAAAACTGGACGACATGTTGCCTCAAATTGTCGCCGGTTGCCGGACGTACGGATAATCCCCCAGTTGCTATCGGAGCGCTCCCAATCCCAGTTCCATTATCGTGCCACCAAGGCGTTGTCCGGCCAGCGGAATGCGAACTTCTCGCCCAGCTGCTAGGATAAAAGGATCTCAGATAAGGATTCCCGCTACTCCAGAGACTACAAAGGATGAGCAGTTGTCCCTGCAAATCGACGCTAAACGTGGGACAAGCCATTCCCGCTCCACCTTCAAATCGGAGCAATCGAAAGAACTCATTTAATGAAATAGCCAATTACGAAGAAATTCGAAAATGATCAGTGTCTGGGCAAAAAAAAAAAAAAAGATGGAAGAAAAATAAAAAAGGATAAACGAACGGATCGCGGAATGATTATATTGATGAACGAAACCGTTAGACGCATCGGAATGCACTGGAGTCAAGGCTGCGAATTAGCAAAGGAATCGACATAGAAATAATTTCGATCCGGGGCCAAATTGAGGCCCCTGCCAAATTGGGGGCAATGCGGTGTATTATTTTTTGTTTTGCCGCTGTGCCCCTCTGTCTCTCGCCTAACCTGGCGGCATAAAATGTATAATTTTCTTATTATCTATAGCAGTCTAAGGCAACCAACCAAATGGCAAGGGCAAAGCAGCAGGAGCAGGAGCAGGAGCGGCAGCGGCAGCAGGAGGAGCAGCAGGAGCAGTGGGAATAAAATGAATTCCATAAACAACTTTCCAAAAACTAAAAGAACTTTCGGCGACGAAGAGGAAAGGTGAAAGGTGCCTCAGCCTTTTGTCTGGGGGCCATAAAAACGTCAAGAGAAATAGAGAAAAAAGGTAGAGAGAGGGAGAGAGAGAGAGAGAAAGAGTGTACGTGTAGAGAGGAATCCTAGCCAACAAAGGATAACTGCAGTGTGTGTGTGTGTGGGCCACGCTCCTTGCGAAAGTTTCAGCCCCAAAAAGCCATTTTTATTCTCCTTTAGCGCCGCCGTCGTCTTCGTCGTCGACGTCGCCTTCGTCCTTTCTATACATTTTTCCCCATGTATTATTTTTCGCCATTTTCGTTGCTTTCCCAACTCCACCGCCACCGCCACCCCATTTCCCATGCCCACTCTCCCCCCCATTCGGCATTCTTCTTCGCATTTCTTCTTTCCTTTTCCCATTATGAAATGAATTGCTTTTAAAGAAATTACAATGCGGACGACTTTTGGGATTGGGGCTTCGTCCGCCGGACCGCTGGAGGAATGGCGGGAGTAGCTCAGGGATTGCGGCCAGGGGCGGGGTGAGTGTGTCTCGCGATTGGGTTGACACAAATTGCAAGGTCCAAGGCTGCAGTCTCGCCCAGCACACGCCAAAGCAAAGTTCTCAGATCCAGCGACTACGATATAAGCCCTAAATCCCGACGCACCACGCCCACCACTGTTGTCCGGGGCAATAAAGATAAGCCAGAGCCAAGAAAAAATAATTAAACCAAAGGGTGATAGAATTAAAATAGAATAAGCTGGAATCGGTTGACAATCTAATTAAAAATATCGAAGATATCCAAAGTATCTAAATCAAAAGAAATAAAAGTAAATGTATAGAAGAGGTGTAATATATTTATACAAAAAACGGAGAAGGTCTTCTGCCAGGGTAATTAAGGAAGCTGCCAGGGTAATTTTCAAATGAAATGCTACTCGACTATTCCAAAAATAAAGCATATTGACGTCAGCATAAATAAGCGAAATATTTATTTGTGTTCAGGACTGAGAAAGGATTTCAATTTGTCGAGAATTTTGCAAGTTGCCTGAAAACTTTCCGCTCAAATGTATATTGCCATTTGCAGGTGTCGATTGTTGCTTAATCCCCGCCAGCGAACTCTGCCCCGCCGGCGCTGCTGCCTCAGTGATGTGTTTATAAACAAATGACACGCAATCCTTTGGGGGGCACGTGAGTTCATGGCATCCAGCTCAGCTGTCTACGCCTTCGCCTCGCTTTGTTTTTTTTTTTTTTCTTTCGCCGGCTTGCATGCAAAGCATTACGCATACGCAGCGTGTTCAGGCGGTTGTTGTTGTTGTTGTTGTTGATGATCATAGCACGCTCGATTTGGCGCCAAAATCGCAGCAAACCGTTAGTAACCCACACACACGCAGAGTAGAGCAGACCAGACCAGACCAGACACTCGTTCATTCATCAGCTGGCTCTTTTGACTTTGGCCTATGCGTGTTGGTCGAGAGCTGCGTGCCGCCATTGCAGCTGATAGGTGTGCGCCCCCCCAGCCCCCTAAATACACTTGAGCACCTCCGCTCCACCCCTCGACAACTCAACCCTTTCGGCATTCAGCGTTCGCCAAGTGGCGTGTCCAAAAAATAAAACTCTAAACAGCACCAGCGGCGGATTGTGGGTCATCATCGCACACTTTTACTGCAACTAATTTGATTTTACATACTCCCCCAAAGCAGCCACTTGTTGATGCCGCACACCTGCGACTCACCTGGCTACTGTGCAGTGCAACACCATCATCTCAGTCTGGAAATGTCACATTTAATTGATTCTGTATGAAAATGTCACAACACCGCGTTAAGCGCCATTTAAGGAAGCTGTCAGAGGCGAACAACATGCTGCTGCTGCTATGCTACCGTGTTGCAGCCTTTGGCCCAGCCACTTAGCAGCCCGCAAAAGGGAGCCACCTAATCTATGGACCACTTAATGGATCTGCGCCAAATTCACGCATAAATTTCGAGGCTCAGCATCCCAAAGCTGTTAAAATTAACGAGGAGCGCGCGGAGGATGGCGACTGAGAGGAGGAGCCTCACAGCGCGGCCAACTCATTAATTTTGTCAACCCGAAAGCGAGAAAAGTGAATCGCCAGGCAGTAGCTGAAACCAAAAGCGACTACAAAACGATCGCGCAACTCTGTCAAGATAACAAGTTGGCTGAAAGAGGGCAGGACGAAGTAAATTCCAGTTGGAGGAGCTACAGACAGAGGATAGATGCACAGGAAAAAAAAGGTTTCTTAACTGGTGCAAGGATTTTCTTTTAAGCTTTATTATTTAAAAAATAGGTTTAAAATAAGTCTTCAAACATGATATGTAAGACTGGATCAAGTTAATTTAAGTTTGAATAATTGGTTTATCTTTAAGATACGCTTTTTATGGGATATTCAAAGTTATCCCTTAAATACCACCAAAACCCCAGCTGTTAGTCAGAATTAAATACAATTTCTTAGATCTTGAAACCAAAATTTTCAACTGTGTATCTGCCAGAAGAGCCTGTGAAGTGAGAATCTCTGCAGAATCGGTCCCAGGCTCTCAGGTTCATGGCCCGCGCTAATCGTCAGAGGGGCGAAACACTTCTTCTGAATGGACTGTGAACCGAATTAAGTTGTTAAACGCATTATTTGCATATTTCGAATGCGGTGATGCCACATTAAGATGCCACAAGCAGTACATCCCC